AAGTAGGCCTGGCACCTTCCCCCAACCCCTAATAGCTGGAGACTTTTCACTTCCAGAGAGCGAGCGATTGAGCGAGCGCACAAATTGCTGGTCTATTATTGAGATTCCCCACAAAAGCCAGGGTGACCCCCCCGTTTCCCAGCCCCCATTTTTCCTCACAACAACCGTGTGAGGTGGGTAAAGGATAGAAAGAACAACTTGTCTAAGAGCCCCAGTGAACTTTCTGGCTGGAGAGGGGAGATTTCAGTTTATATTCTCCTAAAGTTAAGGCTGAGCATGTTAGGAATTTTCTATTGTTCTTCAGTTTGGCTTGGGGTTTATCTGCATTTTATTCTGTTTTCAGTCGCTTTGAGCCTTTTTGGGGGGTATGAAGCGACTGGAAATGCAGTAAGCAACAACTCATCTCACTTGCCTGGATGGAGAGGGTGTGTGTGTATTTGTGTTGAAAACTAGCCTAGAATTCAAAGGTAAAACTTACATTCATTGCCCTGCCCACTTTTGCCTCTGGTTCTGGAATGTTTTTCAGAAGAGAATGTGGTCCTCAGCTGAAAACATCTCACCCAGATCTCACAGGACTGGAAGGTGTCCTTCAGGTAACCTGGTCCCAAGTCGCTCAGGGCTTTAAAAACAGAAACGAGTTTATAGAGCATTCATTTGTTTGCAGGGAGGTCAACATTACTTGGCACTTCCCAGTGCATCTTCCCTCCAATTCCCCAATTGCCAAAAGTCTGGATATTTTGAGGAAGAGGGTTTGTTGAGCAAATGGCTCCCAATCAACTTGTTACACAACCTGAATTGGCTGGTTACGCCATTGAATCCCACCAGAGAAATTGAGACCCTCTGGAAAGAGCCTTGAATTGGAGCACATTATGCAAAGACCCTCCTCCCCCTCACTTTGGGGCCTTTGCCATAAGGAAAGTGGCAAGGGTGGCATTTGCTTGGTGTAACTGTCCTCTGAGTTTCCCACAAATGAAGCCATCTCCAAAACTACTGTTTTCTGCAGGCAGGCAGCTAGCTGATCTCCAGCCACAGGTGAGTGGGGGAAGACTCCTTCTCTAAGATATCTCTTCTTTCCAGAACAGCTTCAGGCCATTCGCTATCTGTGTGGGGCATCTGCTGATAAGGATTAGCTAATCTCCTTGACAAAAGATGTATCCACCCACAACACTGAGTGAATCTGTCTCTCAAAGGAGATATCCCAAACTAGTAAAGGTAAAGGTAAAGGTAAAGGTAAAGGTACCCCTGACCATTAGGTCCAGTCCCGGACGACTCTGGGGTTGTGGTGCTCATCTCGCTTTATTGGCCGAGGGAGCTGGCGTACAGCTTCCGGGTCATGTGGCCAGCATGACGAAGCCGCTTCTGGCAAACCAGAGCAGCGCACGGAAACTCCGTTTACCTTCCCGCCGGAGCGGTACCTATTTATCTACTCTTCTGATCGGCAAGCCCTAGGCTCTGTGGTTTAACCCACAGTGCCACCCACGTTCTTTACCCAAACTAGGCATGGCCAATCTGATTGACTTTTAACTCAGCTCTCTTTGTTACAATCACAGAACCACAGGGCGCAAACCCTCCCCCCCCCCCCCGTCTGATTGATTGTTTGATTGATTGCAGTTATCTCCCACCTTTTTCTCCAAGGACCTCAAGAAATCATAGAATTGTAGTTGAAAGGGTCCCTGCAAAGCAGGAATCTCAACCAAAAAATCCATTACAGACGGACACCAAACCTCTGCTTAAAAACCTCCAAGGATAGAGACTCCACAGTCTCCAGAGGGAATCTGTTCCACTGTCAAACAATGACATTAGGCTGAGAGGCGGTGACATGGAAGCTTTAGCTGAGATTCCTGCATTGCAGGGGGTTGGAATAGATGACCTTTGGGGGTCCCTTCCAACTCTACCATTCTATGACTGCCTCTAGGTCACCCAGTGAGCTTCATGGCCAAGTGGGGATTTGAACCCTGGTCTCTCAGGTCCTAGTCTGATGTGCTAACCACGAGGCCACCCTGGCACGTGACACTACTGTATTAGCGAAATCCCCATCCTTACGTGGTCCGAGTGGAGACTGAACATGCTTAGCAGTCACGTAATGCTGGCTGGAGAAAGGAGGGAGAGACCCACTGGGGGACAGAAATCAGAAGCTGTAGCTTGTAGACTGTGTGTAGCAGTCTACACACCAGCTGCTTTTAAAGACACAGCTGCAGCACTTGCTTGAAACGTTGGCAGCCATAAATATCTCGCCATCCACACTGCCTGTATAGTTTGATCAACTCCGGGAAAGCAGCTCTGTGTGACTTGCCACCAAAGTGGCACCTCCATGTTTGGACGCAGTCTACCTTGCTGCAATGAACAAGAGAGGGCCTACATGTTGCCTACATACTCTCCTTGTGATTTTTCTGGGGCTTCTGAGCCAGCTGCTGGAGCGCATGAGCTTTTGATCTGATCTTCCTATGCTCTGAATATAATCCCCCTCTCCAAAAAAACCCCAATTTTATTTCCTGAACTACGAGGGAGGCTACCTATGCAGAACTGACACAGCAGAGTTCCTCGAAAGCTGGACTCCTTAAACCAGTGCATCCAAAGCCTGTAAAAAGCCCCTTACCCACCACCCCTATAATGATGGCCACCAATCCTCCAGGGAGAATTCATGGGGATACTTCTGAATAGCCAGGGAGCTGCTGTTCTGCCTTTTGCAGACACAGAGTTTAATTTCCAGTTTTATTCTCTGCTTTTATTGCCGCTTTAATTGCTTTTCTATTTTATGTCTGGGATTTCTCTAGTGTGCTGGGGAGGTGTGCTTGGCTGCAAGAGCTTCTTAAATCAAGTGGGGTGGGGGGCTTCCTGGGAAAGGAAAACAGAATGGGAGGAAAATAAGCTGGGTGAGTCAGTGCAGGAAAGAACAATAGGTAAAGGGGGTGGGGAAAGAGAGAGAGAGAGAGAGAGAGAGAGAGAGAGAGAGAGAGAAGGAAGCCATATTGGTCCAAAATTATTTAGCTGTGATTTCTGCATTGCATGGGGTTGGTCTGGATGACCTTGGGGGGTCCCTTCTAACTGTTAGGGTTCTGATTCCGCGAGAAGAAAAATCCAGTTTTGCTAGAACCAACTGAAATGTCACAAAAAGAGTGAGCAAGCTTCCGTTTTCTCCAGAATTCTTCGTTACAGCCGCTAGACCTCACGCAACGTGGGAAGGAAGGCAAAATCTGGTCTAACCACAAGTCTTAAAATGGAAGCGTAGGTGGCGGCGGGCAGGTTTCAGGCTGCAGCTGCGACTGCTGGGGGAAAGAAGCACGCCATGGCTGACTGCCCTCCCTTTTGAAGAAAATAAAAATGTAGCCGGTCACCTACATCTGCCTCCACTCTTAATGAAAATGGACAGGCTAGCAGGGGCTTCACAGGAGGAATGGCCGCTATCAAGAGCTGCTTGAAAGGTTTGCAACTGTGAGTTGCCAGGTCATATCCAATTTAGTTAAGACTCCCTGAAACCCATGGGCTTTATTTCAGTGGGTCTACTTTGGGGATGACCAACAATGGGGGTTGGACTAGATGACCCTCGGGGTCCCTTTCCAACTCCACAATTCTCTGATCCTATGACTCACTTACTGCTTACATTTCCCCCCTTTCCCTTCTCTCTGTCATTTTGATGCTGTAACTCAGGGATGGGGGGGGGTCTTCAGTCTCCGAGGCCAGATGTGACCCCCCCCCCCAGTTTGGTCCTCAGCTCCCTCACCAGGCCACACTATTTTGCATCTCTTTACCTGACTTGCAATTTGTCCTTCGACTTTTCTGCCTCTTGCTTTTCAGGAGGGAGCAAAGAGAGGGATGTGTGGATGTACTTCACAAAGGTGACACTTGTGTTTCTTGCTGCACCCCCTTTTGTCTGTGGCTCCAGCACTTAGGGCTGGCATATGGCCCTCAAAAAGTGACTTAGAAGGGAACTGCGGCCCTCAAGTTCAAAAAGGGCTTCCCAACACTCTTCCCATAGCGGCTGTTTTCAGCGTTCTGAATGTGCTGCTACGTTTTGTTCCGTTCTGGGTTTCTTTGGTAAGCCACTTCGTTCTGACGAAAAAGCAGGTTACAAATAATGAAGCGAGCCAAACTTGCCCTCCTAAGTGTACAGTTTAAGGCAGGCTTCCTCAATCTCGGCCCTACAGATGTTTTTGACCTACAACTCCCATGATCCCTAGCTAGCAGGACCAGTGGTCAGGGATGATGGGAATTGCAGTCTCAAAACATCTGGAGGGCCAAGGTTGAGGAAGCCTGATTTAAGGGTTTGTTTTGGCTGCATTTAACATCTCTGTGACAGGTGGGAATTCAACAGGTGAGGCTTACGGTAGCAGCACATCTGCTGAGCTTCTATGTGGGAAAGGCCAAAGCAAAAGAGACCCATTCTTAAAAACCCAGACGTAAGTATGCATACTCTGACAGAAATCACAGAGAATTGTACAGTTGCTAGGGATCCCAAGGGTCATCTAGTCCAACCCCTGCAATGCAGGAATCTCAGCTAAAGAATCCCCCCTGGATCTAATGCCACCTGCTTTCCAAAACGCATGCCTTGCATTACTTTATTATGACATTCCTATCCCACCTTTCCTTTTCAGAGTTGGCCTCTCCAGTTTATCCTCCACAATAACCCTGTGAGGTAGGCGAGGCCAAAGGAGAGTGACTCGTCCAGGCTTATCCAGTAAGCCTCCTTCCTGAGCGGAGATGGGATCCCTGCCCTTCCAGGTAAATATATCATGCGGGTGCAGAAATGGGTCAATGATCCCATCTCCATATTCACCGTCGTGCGCTTCCGATTATTTAAATGCGGTGACTTCCGGGAAAGCCTTAAATGTCACGTTGAACACGTGTCCAGCGGGAAAGGTTGAACACCTTTGCTGCAGATCAATCCTACGCCTGTTTACTCGGAAGAAAGCCCCGGCACCGATTCCGATGCTACAGAGTTCTGGAGCCAGGCCGCCGGATCCTGTGCAGGTTTACTCGGAAGTAACACACACGTGCCTAATTTGTGGAATTTCCTTCCCAGTAAACACGCACAGGCTCGGGCTGCTGTTAGGACTTTGCCCTTAAGCGCGGACTGTGCACGGAGCAAAAGTCCCCATCATGCGCTTTTGCACGCGAGTAAGTCGACCCATCCAAAACTGAGCGCGGGGGGTTGTTGAACTCGATCCGGAGCAGAAACCCTCCGGCTCTCGCGGAACCCCTTACTCCCGAGTAGACCTGCGTGCGTGCGTGTGTGCACGTGGAGGTGGCTCGGGCGGCTCGGGCGGCGGCTTCCCTCTGCCTCCTCCGCGCTAGGCAAGCAGCTCCGCTTCCGTGGGAGACCCTTTACTCCCGAGTAAGCCGCTCCCCGCTCCCCTCCTGTCTTCCCCAGCAGAAGCAGCCCAGCCCGAGCTCGCTCCGGCCCGTCAAGGCAGGAGGCGGGGATCGGGGCGGTGCCGGGGGCGGCGCGTCGGGGCGGGCCGGTTTGCGCCCTGGAGGTGCCGGCGGCGGGGCCGGCCGTGGTAGTCCCGTCCCGTCGGGTCCCGCGCGCCACAGCGCCGTCGGAGCGAGCCGCGACCATGCCCCGGCCCGCGAGAGGCTCCGGCGGGCCGTCGGAGCGGAGCCCGCTGCTGAATTACCGGCTCTGCAGCAGCGTCTCGGTGGAAGCGGAGCCGTCCGCGGCCAGGGCCGCCGGGGCGCGCAAGCTGCCCACCTTCCTGGGCGTCGTCGTGCCCACGCTGCTCTCCATGTTCAGCGTGGTGCTTTTCCTGCGCCTCGGTGAGTGGGGCTTTCGCAGCGTGGCTGGAGGAATCTGGCTTAGTATTGTTACTTTTATTATTTAGTTCGAAAATCGAGTTGAGCGCGCGTGGCGGAGATCGTATCGCGTCTTAAGAAGCCGCCTGGCCCGAAAAGCTCAGTTTGGAGGCGGCGGGGAAGCGCTCGCACTTTGCCTATGCTCAGGAAACCTGGCTCCCAGAGCTGGAGAACCAGGGGAGGGAGCAGCCCTTTGGTTCAAGCCTCATAGTTGCCGCTGTAGGCGTTAGGTGAGCCAGGGATCTCCGGTCCCTCGCTGGAAACTTGCCTTGGGGTGGCAAGGAAACAGTGCCGGCCTGCTTTGCAGGGATGTTGTACAGCAGGGACTGGACAGGTGGGACCCTCCAGGACTGATGGGAGTCCAGTAATATCCTAGGCCACAGTATTCCCTGCTGCTGGTGAGAAGATGCCTTGAGATGAAGGCTCTGTTGGCGCCCACATGAACATGACAAATGTTGTTTCACATCTGTTTTAAAGCTCAGTCTGTGAAGAGGTTGCCGCCTCTTCCCCTGAACTTGTTGTCCTTCCTGTTTAAGCCAGGTTCTCCCTGAGGCAATAATCCTGTGTCCAGGTGAGAGCTTCTATAGATGTTCCTCATAGTATGTTATCCAAATATATCAAAATACGCCCCTGTTCATAAAAAGCTAGCATCTCAGGGAGCAATGTCGGCTAGAACCCTTCTCCCTGTGATCCTAGGTTTCTATGCGCAGGGGTTATCGTTTATGTATGGAGCTGCTTTTCGTCATGTTACTTCCCTGCCAACAGCTCTGCTGTCTGGAGTGGAACAGATCAGAGCTGACTCCTGCAGTGAGAATTAAATCCTAGTGACTGTCTGCTGACTTCCTCTTGGCTTCGGGGCACCCTGCCCAACAGCACCTTATAATTAACCAAGTGATATAAGTCCTCATAAGGTCCTAACTCCTACACTAACCCAGCACATCAGTGCCCTACTATGGGGCCTTTTAACTAGCCTGGCAACTTACCCCACCAAATGCCAGCTTCCCTAAGGAAGTGGTTCTCAAACTTTTTTCTCTGGACCACACTTTCTCAATAAAGACTTCCTTGTGCCACCCTGGATTTTTCATTGATAAGAAACACATTGGATAATAATAATAATAATTTATTATTTATACCCTGCCCATCCGACTGGGTTTCCCCAGCTACTCTGGGCGGCTCCCAACAGAATTAATGATAATAATAAAAAAAAGTGATAAGACATAAGAAACTTCCCTAAACAGGGCTGCCTTCAGAGGTCTTCTAAAAGTCAGATAGTTGTTTATTTCCTTGAGATCTGATGGGAAGGTGTTCTACAGGGCAGGCGCTACCACCGAGAAGGCCCTCTGCCTGGTTCCCTGTAACCTCACTTCTCGCAGTGAGGGAACCGCCAGAAGGCCCTTGGAGCTGGAACTCAGTGAATGATGGGGGTGGAGACGCTCCTTCAGGTATACTGGGCCGAAGCAACAACTTGTGGCAGTGTAAATGTAGAACACAACTATTTATAATATGATCACGGGTAAAGTAAGGGACGCGGGTGGCACTGTGGTCTAAACCACTGAGCCTCTTGGGCTTGCCGATCGAAAAGTCGGCGGTTCGAATCCCCGCAACGGAGTGAGCTCCCTTTGCTCTTTCCCAGCTTCTGCCAAGCTAGCAGTTTGAAAGCATACCAGTGCAAGTATATAAATAGGTACCGCTGTGGCGGGGAAGGTAAAAGGCATTTCCATGCGCTCTGGCTCTTGTCACGGTGTTGCCTTGCGCCAGAAGTGGTTTAGTTATGCTGGCGACATGACCCGGAAAGCTGTCTGTGGACCAACGCCGGCTCCTTTGGTCTGAAAGTGAGATGAGCGCTGCACTCCATAGTCGCCTTTGACTGGACTTAACTGTCCAGGGGTCCTTTACCTTATGATAACAGGACATCCAGAAGGTATAAAACAATGCAGCTACGTAAGATCATGAATCATTTCCAAAATATAATTATAAACTCTTATGTACCTTAAGGATGCATACAAACTTAGTGAGAGGCATGAGCTTGCTTTTGCTGGGAACTCCCACCATCCCATCAACACAAAGAAGCCTTTCTCTTGTCTGGTTTTCCTCCGAATCACTTGACGTTCTTGCTCTCCTTTTGGAAAGATATCTACCCATATTTGGCAAATAAAAAAGATATTGTCATACTATAGTATACAATGCCACACTGAAATGTTTAAATGTTTATTTGATGGCCCTTGAATCTTCCCACCACACTTGCCACCCTCTCCTGCCACACCCTCTGAGAATCACTTTGCTACAAGACCAGGGGTAGGCAACCTAAGGCCCGGGGGCCGGATGCGGCCCAATCGCCATCTCAATTCGGCCCGTGGATGGTTCGGGAATCAGCTTGTTTTTACATGAGTAGAATGTGTCCTTTTATTTAAAATGCATCTCTAGGTTATTTGTGGGGCATACGAATTCGTGCATTTTTTTCTCCAAAATATAGTCCAGCCCACCACATAGTCTGAGGGACGGTGGACCGGCCCACAGGCCTTAAAAAGGTTGCTGACCCCTGTACAAGACCCATATCCACTCTTTAAAGCCTGCCTTGCAGGGACCTCGAGTTCAGCTGTACCCTCTAGCCTTACTCCCTAGAGCATTTTTTCTGATCTGGCGCCTGGAATACAGTGTTACTCCCGGGTTCCTGATCACCACATTCAGCTCTCATACTATCTGCACTAGTGGTCTATGCCCCACAAAGACCCCTCTTCTGTTAATACTCTCACGCTTTTAGCAGTTAACTTCTACTTTCCTCTTCCAAAACCCTTACAAACAACCGCAGCACCTCTGCTTTGGTCTCTCCTTTGGTCGCCGTACAATCCAAGGCTGCTGCCTCTTATGAACTTGCCCCACTCATGTTATTGCAGTAATGGCTACCTAACCCCTTTCCAAATGCCCACCTCTGTTCTGGGCTATAAATACTACTCATTGGCCTACCCGCCTGCAGCGAATTTGAAGCGCCTGCAGGGAACCAGGCTGGGATTGGTGGAGATGTTGTAGTCCAAAACATCTGGAGGGCACCAGGTTGGGGAGGGATGGGCTTTGGGCCTTTACCCAGCAGTTTGAATTGGACTTGGGAGAGAATAGGCAGCCTGTCGTTGGCATCCGTCTGTCTTGAGAGACAATGGAGTGTGCCTCCGGGGGCAAAGTCAAACTGCTGCCTTAGCAGCATTGAAGTTACCCCTCTGTGGTGCAAACCTGAGCTATGTGTCTGGAGGTCCTGGGCTGCCCAGACGACAAGACCCCCCTCTCGGCCTCCCTGATGGGGTCCAAAGGAAAGCAAAGCAAGACATTTGGCACCAGCTTGGCTGCAGGAGTTGCTGGAGGGAGGCGTCCAAGGAGCCATACAACCGTCTTAGGGACTGCACTCCAGATTTGTGTATGGTTTACTCCAGAGTTTTCCAAACCTTTTATGTTGGTGACACACTTTTTAGACATGCGTCATTTCATGACACAGTAATTCTTTGTGTGTGTGTGTGTGTGTGTGTGTATATATATATATATATATATATATATTAGTTTTTTAATATATCATTTTCAACAGTAATTAAACATGCTTTTACATCTTACACAATTTTTTGACTTCCCTCAATCTCATCTGGAAATTTTCTGGTCTAATCTCTTAGTATACATTTCTTACTTTCCCTATGACATTTAAATCTCATAACTGTTATCTCTATTCTTTTTCTACTTTGTAACGTTTCATAGATTTCTCCTTAGAGAACTTCTTGCAGTCCTACTAGCGTGATTTGCTGATTACAATTGCTCTTCAAATAGTTCATCTACTTCTTCCAATCTTCTGTGAATCTCTGGTCCCGCAGGTTTCGAATCCTTCCTGTCATTTTGTCCAATTCTGCATAATCCATTTTTTTCTGCCATTCTTCTTTCGCACGACATAGTAATTCAGTTTTACTAGCAAAAGGGAGGGTAAACTAACTCCTTTCCAGCCCCGGGAGGAACTCGGGGAGTGTTCACACGACACAACCACACACTGCAGCCGACACAGTAACGTGGCACGACGTGCAGTTTGGATAGCTCTGATTTACTCCTTAGCCTTTTCTTCTTCCAAAGATATCCCACAATGCAGCAGACCTTTAAAGCCCTTCACGGCCTAGGACCCTCGTACCTATGGGACCGCCTCTCCTGGTATGCCCCACGGAGGACCTTAAGGTCCATAAATAGCAACACCCTAGTGGTCCCGGGCCCTAAGGAAGTCAGATTAGCCTCAACCAGAGCCAGGGCCTTTTCAACACTGGCTCCGGCCTGGTGGAACGCTCTATCTCATGAGACCAGGGCCCTGCAGGATCTGATTTCTTTCTGCAGGGCCTGTAAGACAGAGTTGTTCCACCTGGCCTTTGGCTTGGAATCAACTTGATGCCCTCCCCCTCTTTTCTTTTTCCTTCTGTGATGGAACTCCTATTCGGGGACTTCCCTGGCTTTTTTCTGGCTCACGTAGGACCAGTCTGGATAGTTAGCCTTGGTGAAGACTTGACGTTTTTATCCCCCAAAAAGTTTTTGATTAGAGTTTCCACTGAAAGGAGGCTGCATTTTAATGTTTGAATGTTGTATTTTAATCTTGTTTTTTAAGTTGTATTTCGATCAATTGTGTTATATCGGGTGTTAGCCGCCCTGAGCCCGGTCTTGGCTGGGGAGGGCGGGGTATAAATAAAATTTATTATTATTATTAGCTATTTTTCCAGCATTGCAGGGGGTTGGACTAGATGTCCTTCGGGATCCCTTCCAACTCGACAATTCTATGATCCCCTCTTGCTGCAACCTGCTTCTTCAGTCTGCTTGAGTGGAAGCAAATGTTCCTGCCCCCCCCCCCCCCCAACACACACCTGATGTTCGATCGCAAAGTGCTTTCCCTCAGAAATGGTTGTGGCAGCTGGGAAAATGAAGGAAGCGAGCCCATAAGTGCTGGCCGTAATAAGCCTTCGCTCTTCTTGGGCTTTGGGCCAGCCGGGGTCACTCCAGTCGTTATATCCCCTTGCGTCTTGATTAATACCTTTCTGCAGCTGTAATGGAGCACTCCGGCTGCAACTTGGTGTTAATTAAGTGTGCAGGGTGGCCGTGCGAGAGGTGATGTGGTTTGTAAGTTCTGGGCTGGAACCACAACTGGATTAAGGCATCGTCTCTTGGCACACAAAAATCTGTTCAGTCCAGCATCTTGTTTCTCCCAGTGGCCAGCCAGATGTTTTGGGAAGACCACAGCAACAGCCCTTCCTTGCTGAGTTTCCCCATGCAGCAGCTATTGAGAGATAAATGGTAAAGGGACCCCTGACCATTAGGTCCAGTTGTGACCGACTCTGGGATTGCGGCGCTCATCTCGCTCTATAGGCCGAGGGAGCCGGCGTTTGTCCGCAGACAGCTTCCAGGTCATGTGGCCAGCATGACTAAGCTGCTTCTGGCGAACCAGAGCAGCGCACGGAAACGCCGTTTACCTTCCCGCCGGAGCGGTACCTATTTATCTACTTGCACTTTGATGTGCTTTCGAACTGCTAGGTTGGTAGGAGCAGGGACCGAGCAACGGGAGCTCACCCCGTCGCGGGGATTCAAACCGCTGAACTTCTGATCAGCAAGTCCTAGGCTCTGTGGTTTAGACCACAGCGCCACCCGCGTCCCTTATTGAGAGATACATTGCCTCTATATGTGAAGGTTCCATTTAGCCAGCACGGCTAATGCCCATTGGTGGATCTGGCCTCCATAGATCTCTCTCAAGCATGTCCAGTGTTGGAGGTCAGCATGGCTAGGATTCTGTTGACAGCCCCAGAACAGACCCTGCCCCACCCCCCACAGGGTCCGCATCTGTCATTACTGGTGCATTCCTGCATTGCATGGGGTTGGACTGGATTACCGTTCCAACTCTATGGGTCCAGTAGCGCCCCAAAAGTAATCCAGCTTCAAGAGCCCAACTCTGGAAAGCAGGGGGTGGGGGGGCACTTGTAGAGAGAGTGTCTGGCATAGACCTGACCAACATACATCCCACCACCTGGAGAATGTGGAAGATTTCTCCCTCTAAACCCGAGTGCCGAATTGCAGAAATGACTTCCAGAGGGTAGCCGTGTTAATCTGCTGGCAGTTGAAGCAAAAGCCTTGTGGCTTTTGCAAGAGACTTTCTGGTTCGATTTGCCTGAGGCTTTCCTGGCCTTGGGGAGTCCTCTAAATCGGGAGGCACAAAGTTGCCAAAATGGTGGCAGTGAGGATATGTGTCTGTTTCAAAATACGCTTTCGATTATATGTCGAGTTCTTTGCATGCTCAGAGCAACGGAAGCATTGCAGCGGGGCTAGATCGAAATGGCTCTTGTTAAAATGTGTTTTCAAGAGTTCAAAACGTTTGCGCCAAAGCATGAAGTTTGCACATCTGTGTGTCTGACTGGACTCTAAATCTAGACGCAGCAACCGGCACCAACAGTTAGCACTTAAATCGGTTTGATGTTGTTTGCATGTTTCAAAAGATTTCAGATTTATTTCTGTTAAGTGAGAGGCAAATGATTGAAGGGTTGCTGGCCTCCCTCTCTCTTTGGAGGGGCAGGCAGTATTTCGGAGTCTCTTGCCGTGCGCCCATCTGAGACGGCAACAGGTGGAGTATCTGCTTTACCCAGGTCACATTTATTTTTTACGACAAATGGCTGCCCATGAGAAAGCAATCAGGCAGGCCTGCAAGACATGGAAGCATCTCTTAGGAGGAAGAAAGGAAGACGTTGGATCACCTTTTCCCCTCCTTCACTAAGCGATCTCCCGTGTTCAGTCTTCAGCCTTTCCTTAGTGCCTTACACTGAGTCAGACTTGGTCCACCTACCTCAGTATTGTCCACTCTGACTGGCAGCATCTCTCTGGGGGTTCAGGAAGGAGACTCTCCCAGTCCTACCTGAGATACTGTGGATTGGGACCTTCTACATGCAGAGCAGATGCTCCAGCTCTCCTCTGAAGAAGTGCTAGTGTAGGATTCAAAACAAGGCATGTGGTTTTGAATTCATTTGAAATATAAGTCTATTTGTAAGCTGTTCCATTGTTTGAAATGCAGGTTCTTTGTCCTGGAAGCAGACTGCCATCATTTGGCTTGCCTGAGTGATCTGAACAGTCTTCTTTGCAAATATTCATTTAGGCTTAGTCAGTAGGGTATGAGACTCTTAATCTCAGGGTCATGGGTTCAAGGGGCAAAAGATTCCTGCATTGCAGGGGGTTGGACTAGATGACCCTTGGGGTACCTTCCAATTCAACAGTTCTATGTTTCTAAGATTTTGACTTGTGACCTGTCTGATTTGCATGGGGAAGACTGGGGATTTGAAGTTGTGGGTGATTGGTGGGGCAAGGACTTTGGACTCAAAGCCTTTCAGTTCCCACAAATTCGGCTTGGTAGTTTTGCTCTTCGTTGCATTTGGTTTAGAAGTACTCTGGGATTGAGATCTGGCTTCCTCCTTTTCATCGCCCATTGAAACGCTTCAATTCTGCTTTTTCAACACGCGGTTACTGCAGTCTCCAATATGCTCTACACTTCTGTCGTCCCACCATGTGCGCATGCAGTCTTTAGTTTGGGATTGGGCACAGAATCTGGAGCATCAGCTTTTCTAAGCAAATCAAGTTTCTAGTCCATATGAAAAGTCAGCTGTGGCAACCAGTTGTGATTTCAGTGTCTTCCACAGTTCTCTCTCCCCCCACCGCGCCCCACCCCACCCTATTGAAGTAGAAAGATTCTCTCTTGCCAATTTTTTGTTCTCCAGCTAAGTTTTAAACCTTACAGCGACATTATGTTAATTATTATTCTAATTAAGCTTATTGTTTATTTAAAAACAACAACAACAACTGCTGGTTGAGGGAGTCCTGTGCAGGACCAGAAAGCAAAACAAACAGAATGCAGAGCAAAGAGCCTGAATATAACAATTTTTGTGTGTGTGTGTGTTAATTGTGGTGAAGGTAAAACGGATTCTATTCCAAGAAAAGCTCAATTTCCTGCACCACTTCCTATATCCCTTATACAAGTCTGCAAAAAGTTGTTCGTTTTGAATAATGTATTCCCCCCAGTTTCCTGCATGTTCTAACAGGCTCAGACTGTCCTTTTTTATGTATATAAAAAAGACTGCAGTTCCATTGAATTTGGTGGGAATATACTTTGGGCAAGTGTCTATGGGACCGCAGCCTTAATCAAGGAGAAACTAATAGTAATAGGATACTGTAGAAATTAATCCGGGATCTGTGCAGCCTGATAGTATATGCCAGCCTTAACAAAGGCCAGGAATGCCGTGCAGTTACACCCTGCGTTCTCTTGCAAGCATTCTCAAATATTTAGATCTGAACCCCGTGGGGGAAAACAGGACACAGGGTTCTTTCAGAACTGTCCTGATCTTCCTTATGACTCAGGATCCGCTCATTATCCTGGGATCCTCTCTGTTTGCAGCAAGAGCCAGCTCTAAGCAGAGGGCAGAGTCCGGGCCCAAATTTCCTCTCCCTAGCGAGGAACAAATTGGGCAGCTCGCTTTGCCAGGTCCGCGTGGTTGGCGGGGCGTGGGGGGGGGCACACCCTCCACAGATTTGCTCAGGGCAGCTGGGGACAGTTTAAAGCTGTGTCTAAAGCCCACGAGCTCCGCAAGGCTCAAATCCATTTTCTCTGCTCATCCTTTCTCCATCGCTTTTAACTTCCCCCAGAAGCAGCCTGGGGTCAATCAGGGTCATCCCTCTTGCAAAATCTGCCTGCAGAAACATTTTCCTCCCTTGAGTTGCAAGTAGCACTATCTCCAGTCTCCGTTGTGGGACAGAATATACAGCTTGGGGGCTGCCTTAGCCAGGGCCTGTGACACCAGTGGTGCCCTTGATTCAGGATTAATTAGAGCAAAGGCAATTTCCATGTGCGTGGCCTCAGCAAGGATGCTCCGCTTCTTCAAGCAATAAATAATACTTTAAATAAAAGATCTGGGAAACAATGGGAGGTGTTGATACCTAGGGAGGGATAGCTGAGCTCTGGCATTTGTTCTGTTCAAAACGGGAGCAGGGAAATCCCTTTCCATCCGAAGGGCCCCATTCCCACTTGTGGGAGCCGCCTGCCAGTCAGGGGCGTGGCTAGAGGCAAAAGTGGGCGGAGCCACAGGAGTGACTCTTTGAACAGCATAGGCCACATTCTGGCCATGGAGAAGTCGAGTGTTTCCTGCTTGTCTCTCCATTTTATCCTCATCCTATGATCATCGCAGCGATAGGCCTGGTCTGTGGGATGTGGCGCTTCAGAGTACGTTAAGGAAAAGTGTTCTTGCCTAGCTTGTTCCCTGCCTTGCTAGATTTCTACTTGCAGGCGTTTTCTTTCCCTCTCTTTTTTGGAAAACGGGACCCTTTGCAAAAAAAACCAACCTATTTCCCACTTGTGGGCTGAAGTGGTCGAATCCTTGTAAATCAAGAAAATCTTTAATAAAAAACAAAACAAAAAGAAAACTACCTCACTTGATTCCTTCACATTGTTTGCATCAGGAGGCATGAAGAAAGAGATTTGTTCTGCTGATAAACTAATTACCGTTTGGACTTAAGGTGGACTTTTATTTCGTGCTAGTGATTTTGTGGGACACGGCAGAGACTTATACGTGGTCTAGGATGGGGAAATGGTCCCAGGCGTTTCGGTGCTTGCGGTGGAAATTCCAGTTGGTCCCCCCACCCTCCCCGCTAATAACTGGGAAGTTCTCTTGCACAAGCTCCGTTGAAATGAGTGGGTCTTGCTCAGCAGAACTTCCCTGTCAGGTGAGACACAGGGAGGGGTCTCTCTAAATAGTCCACTTTGCTGCTGTTACAGGAGACCCAAATCTCTTTCCCTCCTTCTGGCAGCTTCCTCATATTGCCTTATGACAGGGCTGCCTCAGTTCTCAAATAACTCTGTGATCTTATGAAAGTCCTCTTTCTTCTTCTTCTTCTTTTTTTTTAAAAAAACTAACAAACCAAAGAGAAATCGAAAGCGTGAAAATCCCATGGTGGAGACACTTTGGAATTCCCCCCACAGCTCTGGAAGAAGTGGCTTGATCTCTTTACCCGGCGCTGACTGGCTTCCTTTCGCTCTGCTGCTGAGGTTTTCTGGAAATCTCGGGCTGTCAGGGCAGGGTGGCTGAGTAACACCCCCCTCCACAAACACAACACCCAGCCTGCGGTTGCAAGGGGAAAGGCACCACTTCCTGGTCTGCGTGTTTGCCCAATCCCAGCTGAGCCGGCAACATGCAGAGGTTCATGACCTGCTTCTCCTTTGCAGGATTTCTGCACAGAATTGCTCCGGAAACCTGTCAAAGGTGATGTGTGGTGCCAGAACAGGTTGGCTCTCCTGGTCAGCCCCGTGACCCTATCTTCTCCCAGTGTTAAAAACTCAGATATATATGTTAATCACTTTGTTGTTGTTTAGTCGTTTAGTCGTGTCCGACTCTTCGTGACCCCCTGGACCAGAGCACACCAGGCACTCCTGTCTTCCACTGCCTCCCGCAGTTTGGTCAAACTCATGTTCGTAGCTTTGAGAACACTGTCCCACCATCTCGTCCTCTGTCATCCCCTTCTCCTTGTGCCCTCCATCTTTCCCAACATCAGGGTCTTTCCCAGGAAGTCTTCTCTTCTCCTGAGGTGGCCAAAGTCTTGGAGCCTCAGCTTCACAATCTGTCCTTCCAGTGAGCACTCAGGGCTGATTTCCTTAAGAATGGATAGGTTTGATCTTCTTGCAGTCCATGGGACTCTCAAGAGTATCCTCCAACACCAGAATTCAAAAGCATAAATTCTCCGGCGATCAGCCTTCTTTATGGTCCAGTTGTCACTTCCATACATCACTACTGGGAAAACCATAGCTTGAACTATACAGACCTTTGTTGGCAAGGTGATGTCTCTGCTTTTTAGGATGCTGTCTAGGTTTGTCATTGCTTTTCTCCCAAGAAGCAGGCGTCTTTTAATTTCATGGCTGCTGTCACCATCTGCAGTGATCATGGAGCCCAAGAAAGTAAAATCTCTCACTGCCTCCATTTCTTTCCCTTCTATTTGCCAGGAGGTGATGGGACCAGTGGCCCTGATCTTCGTTTTTTTAATCACTTAATGGCACCTTAAACCTAGGTTACAGTTGCCACAACAGAATGTCTAGGTGCCATCTTTTTTACAAGGATATTATTACAGTCGTACCTTGGTTCTTGAACTTAAATCCATTCCAGGAGTCCGTTCGATTCCCGAAACCATTCAAAAACCAAGGCGCGGCTTCCGATTGGCTGCAGGAGCTTCCTGCACTCAATTGGAAACCACGTCAGACGTTCAGCTTCCGAAAAACATTCAAAAACTGGAACACTTACTTCCTGGTTTTCTGTGTTCAGGAGCCAAAATGTCCAAGTACCAAGGTGTTCGAGAACCAAGGTACAACTGTATTATTATACTGAACTATGGCAGTTTGATCAACAAATTGTCGCTGGATAGCAGATAAGAACTCGTGAGTGACTCCTATGGGGAAACCACCGCGATAACAGGGTTTAATCCAGGAGCAAAACATGTTTCCGTTCATTTGGGTTTTCCTCTGTTTCTTTTTCTTATGGGGTTTCCAAAATTGACAAATTAATTTGCAGAGTTGTAAAATCGGCCTGTAAAACCAAAACCAAAACACACCAACCCTCCTGATTCTGCTTATTAAACATAACTTGTGGTTTCACCTCGAGTCTCTTGACCAATTCCCCCCCCCCGCCAAAAAAATTTTTTTTTACAGGGTTTCCACAAGGTTTCCTCATGGTAGTTTGTCTTTTGTGGTGTCAGGCACATTCCCCAAGGCTGAAAAGCAGCAATATTTCGTCAATCTGGAAAACCGGATTGTCGCAGCGCCCAGCTAGAGAAGTCCATTGCAGCTGTGGACGGAGATTGTGATGGTGTCATTGTCGTGGGTGCCTGTTGCAGGTCTCTTACAGCACATTCACTCCCCCCCCACTTGCTGCCCGCCCTCGGTTGCCAGATATATATGTACTCAATTTAAAAATCAATTGGCTTGTTTTCGAATCAATACCTTGTTTTTGCTTTACAGCTCTGAGGCCTTAAGGGAACTCGGTGGAGTTTATAAATCTAAATAAGTCAGGCCTCGACGCTTTAGAGCTTAAACGGTTCCGTGGAGAAGGGCGGGAGTGTTCCAGAAAGAGCCGTGTGAAACCCCAGAGGCCGGGAGGCTCTGATACGGCGTGAAACGGACAGCAGTTTGAAGCTGCTAGGGCTTGTTAGCTGGGATCCGCAAAGATCTGGACTGGGTTCTTGAGCCAAAGGACGGTTCTGGCCTGGTTCTGGCAGCAGCATGGGTGCGGGTGGGCCAAGAGGGTTGTGCCAGGATCAGTGCACCTCCAGGTGGGCAGCATCCAGCTTGCCTTGGAGAACTTGGGCCAGTCGCCTACTCTCAGACAAGCCTACCTTAAAGGGTGGTTGTTGGGGTGATAGGGTACGTTTACCTGTGTTCGGTCCTTGGGGCCAGGAAGGAGAATGGTGGTGCAAACCAGGGTTAGAAGCTCAGATAGATAAGCTAATCGCCAAATTGCACCTTAAACCGAGGTTATGTTCACCACGGTTGAACATCTAGGTGGTTGTTTTTTGCATTATTTATTTATTTGTTTCATTTCTGTATTGCTTTATATTTTAAAGAAAACATCTCAAAGCAGTTTACAACATATTAAAACTTCAAGCAAAACAATCCAGAATAAAACAAATTCAGGCTTCAAGGAAAACATATCAGATTCTTCTTAAAGTGACACTTGGCTTTCCCCATATTTATTTACCGTATTTTTCGCCCTATAGGACGCACTTTTTCCCCTCCAAAAATGAAGGGGAAATGTGTGTGCGTCCTATAGGGCGAATGCAGTTCCCGTCGGGCTCCCAAGGCTTGCGGATAGCAGCCTGCAGCCCGAAGCCTGGGGCGCACTGCACAGCGCACCCCGGGCTTCGTGCAGATATCGGGCAGCCCCACAAGCTCGGGGGACAGCGGGGAGGCAGAGCGCCGCCATCCCGCTGTTCCCCGACCTGGTTTGGAGGCTGGCGCTGGGAGAAGCACACTTCTCCCCACCGCCAGCCCCATAAGCTCGGGGGACAGGATATCCGCAAGCCTGGGGAGACCGGCGCGACTTCCCACCGGGCTCCCTAGGCTTGCGGATAGCAGCCTGTTCTGGAGGCTGGGGTCGGGGGAAGCTTGGGCATCCCCCGCCCCAGCCCCGCGCCTGGGGGAAAAATAAATTTTCCCCCTTTATTTCCCCCCCAAAAAACTAGGTGCATCCTATGGGCCGGTGCGCCCTATGGGGCGAAAAATATGGTATTTACCTACTTCATTTATAGAGCTGCCCCATAGTAGAAGGAAGCCAGTGTGGTTTAGTGGTGAGAGTGTTGGACCAGGACCTGGGAGATCAGGATTCAAATCCCCACGCAGTAAGGAATCTCACGGTGTGATCTTGGAGTCAGTCACAGCCTCTTAACCTGCCTTGCAAGGTTGTTGTAGGGGATTAACTGAGGAGGGGGGAGAACTATGTACTCCTTGGAGAAAAAGGTGGGAGATTAATGCAATAAATAAGGTCTTTGGCTCACCTGCTTAAGAAAGCTGGAAGGATATGGAGATGTCAGCTGCCAATCTGGCATCCAGAGATCTCCACGTGATCGCCATTGGACCCGTGCCTGTCGCAAAATGCGCCTGGTGCCTGGCTAACTTCTAACCCTGGTGCAAACATTGGGGTGCTGCCCCACTGTGGAGGGGATAGGTTAGCTGCCACTGTTGCAGGGAGAATTGGACGGAGGTCTCGAGTCTTCCTTCGTTCCTGGCTGCCAAGCTTTTGCCCTCTGGCACATTGCTACCTTCCCATTTGGCTCGCTGCCTCTGGGCAGGGAACGTTGCCTCCTGGGTGCCTGCCGCTGGCTTGCTTAGACAGATCCCTTGATTCACAGAGCTGTAAGGCACTGCAAGGTGATAAAATTCTCCAGGGCTTGGTTTTCTACACATCCTTCTGTGTCTCATCCATACACAACACAGACATCCCTGCATGGAATTCAGCAGCCAGATTGCTGATTGAGGCAAGGCAATCTGAGCGCCTGAGGCCAATTCTGGTGCAACTGTGTTAGCTGCCTATTCTTCTTCTCCTTCTTCTTCTTCTTCTTCTTCTTCTTCTTCTTCTTCTTCCTCTTCCTGCCCTTCACCCTAAGATCCCAGGTTTATTTTTTTTAAAAAATGTTTTTATTAAAGGATTTTCATGGTTAACAAGGCTACATACAACGTCTCTGTTTTTTGGCACCTACCTTATTTTCATGGGACACGGGTGGCGCTGTGGGTTAAACCACAGAGCCTAGGACTTGCTGATCAGAAGGTCGGCGGTTCGAATCCCTGCGATGAGGTGAGCTCCCGTTGCTCGGCCCCTGCTCCTTCCCACCTAGCAGTTTGAAAGAACGTCAAAGTGCAAGTAGATAAATAGGTACCGCTCCGGCGGGAAGGTAAACGGCGTTTCCGTGCGCTGCTCTGGTTCACCAGAAGCGGCTTAGTCATGCTGGCCACATGACCCAGAAGCTGTATGCCGGCTCCCTCGGCCTATAGAGCGAGATGAGCGCCGCAACCCCAGAGTCGGTCACGACTGGACCTAATGGTCAGGGGTCCCTTTACCTTTACCTTATTTTCACACTTGCAAGTTGTTTTACATTGTTTTTCAAACTGTAACCTACCCTGAGACCTTAGGGTGGAGGGTGGCTAAGGAATGAATGAGTGAATGAATGAATAACGATACTAAAAAATAAATAATATTTAGCCCAGCCCTCGGTTTCCTGTTGCTGAACCCATTCCCAGTCTGCAAGATAACCTGACACCCCCAGATTACTAAATTTATGCAGTTCATAAAGCTGCATTGGGTCACTTCAGTGCCCTTTTAAATCTCTCCCCCCTTTCCCATGTCTCCCCCGCTGCCTTCCCATTGCCTGTTTTAGATTGTCAGCTCCTAGGGAGCAGGGACCTGTTTATGCGTGTGGATCTCTGTGGGGCGGCACCCACGCTTGGTGTGTTGACAATGAGGAGAATGCGGAAGAGGAATGCGAGGTTTGAACCTGCGGCTTCCCTTCCCGGCTACTGTGAAGATGACTCACGTTACTGTGTTGTAACAACTCGTGCATAAATTGGTCTAGTTGGCTAATTGGGAGTCTGCAGGTTACAAAGGAGCCATGTATTTAGCAAGTCACCGGGTCACCCAAGGTGATCGGGAGTTTTAGGTACAGTACAACTATTTTACTTTTAAAAGACAACTGAAGGCGGCCCTGTTTAGGGATGTTTTTAATGTCTGACGCTGTATTGTTTTTAATATTCGATTGGGAGCCGCCCAGAGTGGCTGGGGAAACCCAGCCAGATGGGTGGGGTATAAATATTAAATTGTTATTATTATTATTATTATTATTATTATTATTATTATTAGACTTAATATTTTATGTAATTCTGTCATACTCCATTTTACCAAAGTTGTCCATTATTTTTGTCATTTTGCCCCTTCCTCTATGACCCACATGGAAAGGAAGCCGGCTGGCAGAGGAGAGGCAGATCATTCCTTTGTCAGTCCCCTTGACAGAACTTTCAAACCCCGTTTCGCTTAGGGACTAGAAACCTGCATTCTCATCATGGCGACTCTGAGCCCCTAAGCAGGCCAGTAACTTATGTGGACTTATTTATGAGGCTCTAATGAAGTATTTGCTTGTCAGGAGCCCATCGATATCCTTAAGGGGCCTGGGGTGGCTGCCCAAAACCAGAAAGGGGCTTGTGCCTCTTCTTTGTTGAGAGGGTAAAAACTTGCTTGGAGAGTAAGGGAACACGGGAAGCCTTTAAGGCAGGTTTTCTTTTTGGCTGGGTGGGTTGATGCCCTAGCACTCAGAACCTTTCCTGGGGGCTCTTGTTCCAGAGCAGGAGTGGCCTAACAAAACTCTGGGGGAAGGCCAGGAAAGTTGGGGCAACATCCGCCCTCCATATTTCCTCCTCTGTTTCTCTCTCCTTCCTGACAGGCTTTGTGGTGGGCCAGGCCGGGCTGTTCCAGTCGCTGGCCATGTTCGTCGTGGCCTATTTCATCATCGGGCTGACGGTTCTGTCGGTGTGTGCCATCTCCACCAATGGGGCCCTGGATGCGGGTGGCGCCTACTGTATCCTTCGCACGCAGACCCAGCGAGTGTCCGGTTGGCTTAGAGCATCTCCTAGCACCTCTACAGCCATTGCACCAGGGGCTGGGAACTGGATCCAACCAGCGGGGCAATTTCTTCTCCTGCCCGCACCCCACAGCCAAGTGCCACAAGCAGGCCGGGCTGCCCAGTGCTACAACAACATCAGGAATCAAAGCCTGTGGACTGTGGATTCCGGCTTCACAGTGGGTTGGGCTAGATGACCCTCAGGGGGCCCTTCCCTCTCAGCGGTTCTAGGATTCATTGAAGGCTGGTCCATTTGAGCAAAGGGGGCACTGCCCCACCAACCTCAGTCTGCCCTTAGCCAGCCCCCTCCTGTCTGTCTTCCTACTTCCAACCCTTCCCTGGGTTGGTGACATCACTGCCATCATTGGCCTTTTGCCCCACCAATTTCTATTTTACACACGCCTTTGCAACTATCTATGTCAGTGTTTCTCAAACTTGGATCTCCAGTTCTTGTTGGACTGCGACTCCCATCATCCCTGACCACTAGCTATGGATGATGGGAGTTGTAGTCCAACAACAGCTGCAGACCCGCTTTTAAGATGCGCTGGTCTGTGTGACGGATGCAGCAAACCTTAGTTTGGCCTTCTTCAGCCTGATGCCCTCCTGGACTACAACTCCCAGCATGCTGGTTAGGAGCTGATGGGAGTTGTAGTCCAAAATGCCTGGAGGGCACCAGGGTGGCAAAGGCTGCCAGCCTCCCTCCAAATGGCATGTAGATGCTAGTGCCAGTACAGACCTTCCTCTTAGCTGCCTCTCAGGGTCGCTGGGTCCCCTCGACTTCTATGTTGCTCCTTGACGCGCCGGGCGCAGACATGATCAGCCGGGCGCTGGGGCCCGAATTCGGCGGCAGCATTGGCATCATGTTCTTCTTGGCCAACGTTTGTGCCAGTGCGCTCTACATCCTGGGGCTGGTGGAGGCAGTCGTCGATGACTTTGGAGCCCCAGCAGGTGAGTGCCATACGAATCTCCCCAGGAGATGCTGACCCCTGTCTGCACTGCAGGGTTTTCCTCTCTCTGTGTGCAAGGCAGCGAAGGTGCCCGCCCTGACCTCCTCCTTGCCTGTCCCCGCAGAGGGTGTCGCTGGCAGCGCCACCCAGGTCCTTCCTCGCGGCTACTGGTTTGACCTCCTCTATGGCACGGTCTTTCTCTTCCTCTGCCTGCTGGTCTGCCTCGTGGGCGCTGGCATCTACGCCAAGGCCACCTTCCTCATCTTCCTGATCGTCATGCTGGTGCTGGGCACCGTCTGCCTCAGTTTCTTCGTGGTGGCCCCCCGCAAGGTGAAATTGCCCCCGGGCATCGATGGCAACAGCACGGAGCAGGGCAATGCCTCCTTCACGGGGTTCAAGCACAGCACCCTCCAGGCCAACTTGTTTGGTGAGTTTCACCTCTGCACTTGAAAAGTATTATTTTGTGGGGGGCGGGGGGCACAGAAGCTGTGACTCCGGAGGAGCGGGGAGAGAAACAGGAAGAGAGGGCCTTCTCTGTGGTGGCCCCTAAGCTGTGGAACTCCCTCCCCACAAAGATGTGCCTGACACCTTCATGGCACAGCTTGCAGAGGATGCTGAAGATGCACCTCTTTCCCCTGTATTTCGACCCTTGAAGGGGTCTGTTTTTAGGCTCTGGTATGTTGTTATCATGGGGACACGGGTGGCGCTGTGGGTTAAACCACTGAGCCTAGGGCTTGCTGATCAGAAGGTCGGCGGTTCGAATCCCCGCGACGGGCTGAGCTCCCATTGCTCGGCCCCTGCTCCTGCTGAACTAGTGCAAGTAGATAAATAGGTACCGCTCCAGCGGGAAGGTAAAGGGCGTTTCCGTGCGCTGCTCTGGTTCGCCAGAAGCGGCTTAGTCATGCTGGCCACATGACCTGGAAGCTGTACGCCAGCTCCCTCGGCCAGTAAACCGATATGAGCGCCGCAACCCCAGAGTCGTCCGCGACTGGACCTAACGGTCAGGGGTCCCTTTACCTTTACCTTTATGTTGTTGTCATAGAGCTGGAAGGGCCCCCCAAGGGTCATCTAGTCCAACCCCCTCAATCATACACATGCACATGCAGGAACCTCAATCATACATGACAGGTGGCTATCCAAACCTCCAAGGAAGGAAAGTCCACCACTTCCCGAGGGAGTCTGTCCCACCATCGCTTTTTTTTGTGATTTTCCCAAGGGAAAAAGCAGCTCACAAACTGTTTCAATAAATGCATTCTTCACTGCCTCCTGCAGCTGACTACAGTGTGGATTACACAACGGGTCGCCTGATGAGTTTCAGCACCGTCTTTGCCGTCATGTTCAACGGCTGCACAGGAATCATGGCAGGTTCCAACATGTCAGGTGGGTGCAGACTTTTCACGGCTGTTTGCGGCGGGGCCAGAGTGCATGCTTTGAGAACAGAAGGGTCCAGGTTCGACTCCACGGCATCTCCAGATATGGCTAGGGGGAGACCCTGCCTGAAATCCTGGAGACGCTGCCAGTCTGTGAAGGCAGCACTGATCTAGATGGGCCCTCTGCCTAAAAAAGGGCAGAGTTGCAAAAGGCTCAGAAGATGGCAACCAAAATCCAAGGGGATGGAGCGACTCCCGTCCAAGGAAAGGTTGCAGCAATTTGGGGCTCATTGGTTTAGAGCAGGGGTAGTCAACCTTTTTATACCTACCGTCCACTAATGCATCTTTCTTGATGGTAACATTTCCTTACCACCCAGTGCTTGATGGAAGGAGGATTCAGCTTGTGCTGTAGAACCCCCTGTCGCCCACCTAGAATCCTGAAATGCCTGCTAGTGGGTGGTAGGGACTAGGTTGACAACCCCTGGTTTAGAGAAAAGCAAGTCAAAGGTGACATGATAGCAGGTCATAAAACCATGCATGTCACAGAGAAAGTGGAGAGAGGAACGTTTTTCTCTTTCTCTCCTTAAACTAGAACTTGTGAACGTTGGAAGAGTCATGAATTCGTTCTTCATGCAGACCTTAGTTAAACAATTATTATTATTATTATTATTATTATTACAGTGGTGCCTCGCAAGATGAAATTAATCCGTTCCGCGAGTCTCTTCGTCTTGCGGTTTTTTCGTCTTGTGAAGCACGGCTATTAGCGGCTTAGCGGCTATTAGCGGCTTAGCGGCTATTAACGGCTTAGCGGCTTAGCGGCTATTAGCGGCTTAGCGGCTTTAAGAAAAAGGAAACAAACTCGCAAGAACTCGCAAGACGTTTCGTCTTGCGAAGCAAGCCCATAGGGAAATTTGTCTTGCGAAGCGACTCAAAAAACGCAAAACCCTTTCGTCTAGCGAGTTTTTCGTCTTGCGAGGCATTCGTCTTGCGGGGCACCACTGTACAGTGGTACCTCTGGATGTGAACGGGATCCGTTCCAGAGCCCCATTCGCATCCTGAAGCAAACGCAACCCGCGTCTGTGCGGGTCACGATTTGCCGCTTCTGCACATGCACATGACGTCATTTTGAGCGTCTGCGCATGCGCGAGCGGCGAAACCTGGAAGTAACGCGTTCCGTTACTTCCGGGTCGCTGCGGAGCGCAACCCAAAAACGCTCAACCTGAAGCAATTTTAACCCGAAGTATGACTGTATTTATTAAAATTAATTTGTATTCCACTCTTCATCTGTAGATCTGAGTGGTTCAGAAAAATACAAGATGAAAACACAAAATACATCATAATTTCCAGAACAAAACAAACCAATAGCCCCCTCTCCCTGCCTGTGGAACTCCCTCCCACAGGAAGCAGCGATGGCCACTAACTTGAATGACTTTAAGAAAGGATTGGACAAATTCACGGAGGAGGAGAGGGCTATTGTCAACTACTAGCCAGGATGGCTGTGGTCTGCCTATGCAGCTGAGGCATCAATACTTCTGAATACCCGTTGCTGGAAATGGCAGGAGGGTAGAGGGTTCTTGCATATGTCTCCTTCTTGTGGGTTTCCCATAATGGGCATCTGGTTGGCCACTGTGAGAACAGGATGCTGGACCAGATGGATGTTTTTATAAAATAAAATAAAAATTCCTTCCAGTAGCATCTTAGAGACCAACTAAGTTTGTTATTGGTATGAGCTTTCGTGTGCATGCACGCTTCTTCAGATACACTGTTTTTATGTTCGTGGTCTGACAAGGTATAAGGCAGCTTCCTGCCTTCTGAAAGGAACATGAACACTTTGTGAGTGGGATGCTCTGGCCTGGGAGATGTGGAGTTTTCCCCCCCTGTCTGGCATGTCCCTGATCCTGCCCTCCTTCCTTTCCTCAGGGGATCTGAAGCGGCCGAGCTACTCCATCCCACGAGGCACCATCACAGCTGTGATCTTCACCTACATTGTGTACAACCTGTTGGCTTTTCTGCTGAGCTGCACCTGCGACAGGTAGGCGTTGCGACTGGCCGCCAGGGGGAGCTCCTACCCCATAGCTCTTTACTTCCCCCCCTTTAAAACAACAGCAATAACGAGCAGACAAAGACTCCTGAAACCTGCCCTGTACTGGGGTTCAGTACAGGTGGCATCATCTCCTCATTTTATCCTTGCAGCTCTATCTCTTGTTAATGCGATTTTGGAATTATTCCCATTTCAAAGGCAGAGAAACTGAGCTGACTTATCCCGGGTTTGTCTAAGGGGTTCCTGAGCTGAGCAGACCTCATAGTTTCAAGTTAGCCTAGAGACTTAATTTCTTCTCCTCCCCTACTGGGCATTTAAGGTCTAAAGCTTGGGAGGTCTAAAGCTTGGGACCAGCTTATTCACAAAGGGGCATCATATGAGACAGTCGTTCTTTTGTACATGTTTGAAAGTTCCTTCGAAGGTGGGAAGGAATTATTATTATTGTATTTTTCGCTCTATAAGACGCACCAGACCATAAGACGCACCTAGTTTTTGGAGGAGGAAAACAAGAAAAAAAATATTCTGAATCTCAGAAGCCAGAACAGCAAGAGGGATTGCTGCGCAGCGAAAGCAACAATCCCTCTTGTTGTTCTGGCTTCTGGGATAGCTGCGCAGCCTGCATTTGCTCCATAAGACCCACACACATTTCCCCTTACTTTTTAGGAGGGGAAAAGTGAGTCTTATAAAGCAAAAAATACAGTAATTAGATTGATATACCCCCCCCCCCAATCATAAGATCTCAGGGTGGTTCACAGAATAGAATGCCTCCCTGCAGCTAGAAAGGAAGAGTGTCAGGGACGAGGATCGCAGCTTTGCTTTCTCCCTTGATGTACTGCTGTATGGCTCTCTCTATATGGGGAATGACCTGCAGCTCAGTGGTGGAGCATCTGCATTGCTTGCAGAAGGCCGTGGGTCCAATCCCCAACGGTATCTCCACGTAGGGCTGGGGAAGAGTCATACCTGAAACCTTGGAGCCCAGCTGCCATATAAGGGAGAGAGAGAGAGCGCGCACATGGAACTAGGTGGTCTCACGGTCTGGCTCAATGCAGGCTTTCTCCATAAGCACACAAGACGTAACCGGCTGTACTTTTAATTAAATGAGGTATACAGTCATACCTCGGGTTACATACGCTTCAGGTTACATACGCTTCAGGTTACACACTCCGCTAACCTAGAAATAGTGCTTCAGGTTAAGAACTTTGCTTCAGGATAAGAACAGAAATCGTGCTCCGGCGGTGCGGCGGCAGCTGGAGGCCCCATTAGCTAAAGTGGTGCTTCAGGTTAAGAACAGTTTCAGGTTAAGAACGGACCTCCGGAACGAATTAAGTACTTAACCCAAGGTACCACTGTACTTCATTGTATCAAATTGTAGATTTCAACGGAAGTCTCATAAAGTTCAATGAAAAAGCAGAAGACACAGTGGATCAGTTCATTCTCTACTCAGTTCATGCATAAGGTCCACACATGTATAAGTGTCTATTCCACCTGTCTGTTCATATAGTCTAATAATCCACATGAAGCGTTGTTACAGTTCCACAGAATCCTTTCACAGAGTCCCAGACAAGGATTTCCGGAATATTAGCCTTGTTTCGCCATCCTAGGCTTCATCAGTAGCACAGGCTCATAGTAGTTGCAACCACTACTATGCTATAAGATCCACTATCCTGTAATATTACATATGAGCCTGTACTACTGACGAAGCCTAGGATGGCGAAACAAGGCTAATATTCCAGAAATCCACTGGGTCTTCTGCTTTTCTCGTTGAACTTTATTGGACTTCCGTTGAAATCTACAATTTGATACAATGAAGTATACCTCATTTACGTCGGTTACGTCTTGTGTGTTTATTGAGCATGTTTCACGTAACCATAGGTTTGTTGTTGTTTTGCTAAGGTTTCTTCATAAGGACATAAGAAGAACTTAGGAAAACTCGCAAGCGGGACCTGAGCAGAACAGAACTCATTCCACCTGCGATTCCTAGCAACAGGCGTTCACTGCAGGGAGCTAGGCATGAGGTCTAGAGGCCCTTGATAGTTACGCCCTCCATAAATTTGTCTTCCTGTGTTTGTTTGTGGCAGGAATTTCATTTCTTTTCCTGTGCTCTCTGGTCTAGGTCTTGCTGACTGATCTTGGGTGACTGGCAACACACAGGCTATGTTTATTTATTAAATTAAATTAAATCTATACCCGTAGAGCTCATAAAATCACAATATTTTTTAAAAAAGAAAATACGTAATAAAAACAAAGACAACCCAATAATCTAACCCCCTTCCACAACACGTTTTAAAAGGGCATTGGATGCCAATCAGCCAAAGGCCTGGTTAAAGAGGAACGTTTTCGCCTGGCACCTAAAGGTGTATAATGAGGGCGCCAGGCTCCACAAATGGGGAGCTACTGCAGAAAAGGCCCCGTTCTCATGTTGCCACCCTCTGGACCTCTTGTGGAGGAGATACACAAAGAAGGAGCTCAGAGGATGATTTCAGGATCCAAGTGGGTTCATATGGAGAGAGGCGGTCTTGTATGGCTCAGTTGGTTGCAACAGAGAGAACTTCCTTTCCCTACCAGCTCTTTGACTTTCTGCACACTTGACACTGCCCGTTTTGCTTTGTGCGTGAAGGCTTATTATCTGCCGTCTTCCTAATGCACACTTGTTTTTCCTCTGCGCCTCTTTGTGTGCCGGATTATACATCCAGCCCCTCGGGAACGGATGTCCCAGGCTTCCTTGTCTTGTCACCTGGATTAGCCCCCTCTCCCTCCTTTTGAGATTTGTGCAGCCCAGTTGTACACAGGCAAAGAAACCCCAAGTAGGCTGGCAGGCGGCTGATTGTAGTAATCTGCCCCCCCTCCAAGGGCATGGGAAGACACTCAAACACAATTTCCTCTACCTGCTGGCAATTGCACCCATCCGCTCTCTTGTGGCTAACAGAAGCATAACGTTAAGCGTGGCTAAGATTGCGCTGACCTGCCCCTGCCACCAATTCTGAGAGATTTCAAGGCGGGTGATGCAGGTCAGGTGCACACGGAAGACTCCAAATCAGAACTGACGTGGCAGAATGCCAGGCGCAGGAGGGAGCGAGAGCGAGGCCTTCCCACGCCACTAGATCAATTCTGCCTCTCTTTGCCCACTTCCCCTTCTCCCACCCTCCCCCAAGTGGCTATCTAAGCACCCGGGAAATTTTCTGGATTTGGCAACCCATTGCCAGATAAGCGCACCTTGATCTCCGCCATGCATACTCTGGTTGCAGGTTTAGGGCGTGGTTTTGTTTGTTACTACCATTCCTGCTACCGATAGGGCAGATAAAAGAAAGCACTTCTTCATACAGCATGTGGAACTCACTGCCACATGAGGCAGCGACAACCACCAGCTTGGGTGGCTTTAAAGGAGGATTAGACAAATCCATGGAGGGGGATAAGGCTATTGCTGGCTACTAGCCACAAAGTTGGAGCCAGTAGCATTTCTTTTTCTTTTTTATAATAATCTTTATTGATTTTCATTTACATACTCCACATACACATAATGTATTACATTTTACATTTATATTTGCTCCTAAGAGCCGACTTCCTTCCTTCCTTCTTCTGGCTTTTTATATCACATCTAAATTTTTTGCATTGTCTTCATCCGTTTTGTATATTATTGTTCTTCTTTCGTATTTGTCTATAGTCTATAGCCAAATAAATCCTCCTGTATATACAGTGCCAGTAGCATTTCTGAGTACTAGTTGCTGAAAGTTTAGGAGGTGACAGGGCTCCTGTGCACGGGTCCAGCGTCTGGATTTTGCACATGCATCCGGGTGGCCGCTGAGTCCAGGAGCCTGGGCTCTCAAGGCCTTTGCAGTTTTACAGCACCAGCTTTTAAAAGCGTTGCCCCGTATCGCATGTTGAGAGCAGAGCACTTGGGCAGAGAGGCTCAGTGGCTTGGCTACGGCTGCCTATTTAATCTGTGGCCGAGACGAGATTTGAACTCTGGACTCCTCTTTATTTGCTTATTCCATAAAATGTGCGCACTGCTTGATTTCTTTAAAGCAGCCGAAAAGCGGTTTGCAAAAAACGAACGACAAAAATTCAAGACTTTCAAAAAGCTAAAATAACAATAGAAGGAAAACAGATTGGAACTTGCATCGACTTTCTAAACATTTGGGTAGGCTTGTCTGAACAAGGATGTTTTTAGCCGGTGCCAAAAAGCATACAGTGAAGGTATGGGGCGTTTAGGTGCTGCCACACTAAAAGAGTGAGTCTACAAATGCAGAAGGGGTATCTTCCATCTACAAATGCGGAAATGGCACCAGTAGCAATGCCATTGCACTGATCAAAGCAGTTGAGTGAACGTATATGGGGCCAGGCAATTTTGCAGGTAAACTGTTCCAAAAGGCTTTGTATCCTAATAACTTGGCCCAGTAGCAAATGGGAAACCAGTGCAGATCTCTGAGCTACAGGTGCCATAATATGCTGACAAGGCCTCACTCCTGTCAGCTGCAGCATCCAATATTAACTGATGCTTCCAGATCAAGCACAATGGAAGTCCCACTTCGAGCGTGTTGCAGTCACCAAGGCACAAACCTAGGCTCACAGCTTGGCCAATGGGCCACCTCCCACCTGCCTTGCCATTATTTTTTCTGGCTCGCTTTCATGTGGGTCTGCAGTGCCCCCTAACACAATGACACCAGTGCTTTCCCCCCCGAAACCCCTGCAAAATCCAGGGGTAGCAAGGATCTGAACTTGAGCTTTGGCTGGAGACATGCCCGGGGAGATGGGGCACTGGTGGTCATGTCCCTTGGTGCATTTTTCGGATTTTCAGGTGGGGTGCATGTGTGTATGTGTGCCTGCCTTGTTCTCGGAGACAGAGAGCGGCTTGTTAATTTTCTGCTCTGGAAAGTGCTGCCATAAATCGCGGCTGTGCCGGGGCAGCCGGCAGGAATTGGCTAGAATTATAGCTGTCATGTTCTAATACCTTAATGCATGGCCGTTGCTCATAATGACAGGGGACAGGGCAGCTTGCGAGGCCCCCGCGCATGACATGCACCTGCCCCCCTCCCTCCCCGCCACTCATCCCTCCTCCGCTGTGAGAGGTTTAATAGGCCTCACCGTCCCCTGTTCCTTCCCCCCACCCCCAACCGGCTGATTCTGATATCAAATCAACATGAGCTTATTGGAAAGGCACGAAAATGAAATCTGGGGCCCCGTTCGTCTCCTGTTGCTTTGTTAGGCATGCCCTGCTCTGCCCCTGGGTGGGATTTATTTTGGGGAGGGGGGGTGGCTGCTACGTGTGATTAGAAAGATGGGGGGGTGGAGGCACAGCCCAAGAAAGGAGACAGCTCTCAACCAGACCATCCCGGCTAAAGGACGATTGTCGTGTTGCAGCCCTGATAGAGAAGCAAAAGCCAGAGGTTATGGTTGTTATGTAGCTGTGCCTTTAAGGGCAGGTTATTCATTTCATAGAATTATAGAACTATCAAGATAGAAGGGACCAGAAGGATAATCTAATCCAACCCCCTCTATTGCAGGAATCTTTTGCCCAACATAGGCCTTGCACCCGTGACCCTGAGATTAAAAATTTCAGGCTCTGCCAATTGAGCTGTTTATTTATTTGCCCACACAAATACCCACTGGGGTGGCTTTAAAAAAAGGTTGGACAAATTCATGGAGAGGGCTACTGATGGCTACTAGCAGCTCGAAAACACACCAGTGCAAGTAGATAAATAGGTACCACTGTGGTGGGAAGGTATACGGTGTTTCCATGTGCTCTGGTTTCCGTCAGGGTGTTCCGTTGCGCCAGAAGTGGTTTAGTCCTGCTGGCCGCATGACCCAGAAAGCTGTCTGTGGATAAACACCAGCTCCCTCGGCCTGAAAACGAGATGAGTGCCGCAACCCCATAGTCACCTTTGACTGGACTTAACTGTCCAGGGGTCCTTTACCTTTTACCTTTTACCTTACAACTATGATGGGGACTCTCTGCCTCTATAGTTGAAGGCAGCAATGCTTCTGAATGCCGGTTGCTGGAAGTCACACGAGGGGAGAGTTGCTCTTGTGGTCGGATCCTGCTTGCTGGTTTCCCACAGGCATCTGCTTGGCCACTGTGAGAACAGGATGCTGGACTTGATGGGCAATTGACCTCATCTATCAGGCTCTTCCTATGTTCTTATGACTGGTAGCATCTCTCCAGGGTCTCAGTGTTAGAATTCCTGCTCCATGATTGCAGTCATGGGATTGTTTATCACATGACGGTGTATGTTTTGACTCCACAGAGTGGGAAGTGACGTAGACAGGATGTTTGTGTTACTGTGTTCCGTGAAGTGGGACTATTGTCCTTTGTTCTTTTTCTCTTTGCTGCCTGTTCTTTTTCTCTTTGCTGCCTGTTCTTTTTCTCTTTGCTGCCTGATGCTAAAAAGAGAGAGGGAGACATGTTGCAGTGCTCCGTGTGTGTTTATATGTAAATAAAGTAGATTAGCCAAAATGCTGAGTTGCTGAGGTCTGTCACGCGAGATAATAATAATAACAATAACAATAACAATAACAATAATACTAATAAATTTTATTTATACCCCACCCTCCCCAGGCAAGACTGGGCTCAGGGCGGCTAACACCCGATATAAAACAAATTGATTGAAATACAACTTAAAAACAAGATTAAAATACAACATTAAAACATTAAAATATTAAAATACAGCCTCATTTCAATGGAAACTCAAATAAAAAACTTTTTCGGGGGATGAAAACGTCAAGCCTTCACCAAGGCTAACTTTCCAGACTGGTCCTACATGGGCCAGAAAAAAGCCCCCAAATAGGAGTTCCATCACAGGAGGGGAAAGGAAAAAGGGGAGGGGAGAGGGAATCAAACTGATTCTAAACCAAAGGCCAGGTGGAACAACTCTGTCTTACAGCCCTGCAGAAAGAAATCAGATCCTGCAGGGCCCTGGTCTCATGAGGCAGAGCGTTCCACCAGGCCGGGGCCAGTGTTGAAAAGGCCCTGGTTCTGGTTGAGGCTAATCTGACTTCCTTAGGGCCCGGGACCTCTAGGGTGTTGCTATTTATGGACCTTAAGGTGCTCCGTGGGGCATACCGGGAGAGGCGGTCCTGTAGGTACGAGGGTCCTAGGCACAAACTCTGCGGATCCCTAAGTGTGCCGGTATCGGTTGGCATCGGTTGCTGTGATGTTCAGGCAGAAGAAAGCTTTTGAAGCTCCCGAACGATCGACCAGGAAGGGGAGAACATGCCAGTCGGGCCTGTGTCTCTGCCAGGGTCCTACTCGAGTGTAGGCTGAACTCCTGACACTCAGATGGGCGGCATTCTCCTTTCTACCTGAAGATGTCACTGGGGATTGGACTTGGGGCATGCCAAACAGGTGCTCGGCCACTGAGCTATGCTCCTTCCCTTAAGACTCCAGAGTCTGCTCTGCCCTGTTAGCAGTGCTTCCATCCCCGCAGGAGCAGTGAGAGCATGAAGCATGTCAAACACGCCTGCCAAGCGACAGGTGTGTGCTCTGAACGCCACATCTAGTCCTTAATTGTACGGCAGTAACAACTGTTTGACAATGGTCTAGGCCAGAATCATAGAATCTTAGAGTTGGAAGGGACCCCACGGGGTCATCTAGTCCAGCCCCCTGCAATGCAGGAATCTCAGCGAAATCATCCCTGACAGATGGCTGCCCACCTACCTCAGAAGATGGGAGCATATTCACCCAGCGCTTTACCAGTTGCACTGGCTTCCAGTGGCGTATCGGGTCAAGTTCAAAGTGCTGGTTTTGACCTTTAAAGCCCTTTGTGGCTTAGGGCCCTCGTATTTATGGGATCGCCTCTCCTGATCTGCCCTGCAGAGGACCTTAAGGTCCATGAGTAATCATAGTTTAGAGGTCCCGGGCCCTAAGTAAGTCAGATTATCCTCCACCAGGGCCAGGGCCTTCTCAGTGATGGCTCCGACCTGGTGGAAAGCTCTGTCCCATGAGACCAGGGCCCTACAGGATTTAACTTCCTTCCGCAGGGCCTGTAAGACAGAGCTATTCCGCCTGGCTTTCAATTTGAACTTAGCCTGATCTTTATTCCCTTTCCTTCCCTCCCCCTCCCTTTTTTATGAAGATTACCCGCTCTGGGATCCCACAGCTAATTCTCCCCTGGTCTCCTCGCTGGCCCAAATAGGACTAATTTAGAGCCCTGGTGATCATCTAAAGTTTATTGGATGGATTTCCCCCCTACATTGATTTTAGAGCTTTGAATTTATTGTTATTCACGCTTTTATACTGTATTTTATGCTGTTTTTTGTTGCATTAAGTGTTTTAAATTTGTTGTTAGCCGCCCTGTGCCTGGTTTTCTGAACCGGGAAGGGCGCAGTATAAATAAAAAATTACTATTTATTATTATTAGAAGATGGTGGAGTTTCCTTGGAAGTTCTTTTGAAACAGGTGGGATGACCATCTTTTGGGGCTTCTCCATCTGTGATGCCTGCTTTTGCAGGGGATGGACTAGATGACACCACAGGTCCCTTCCAACTCTACAGTGTTGGCCGTGGGTGCTGCTGCCTTGGGAGCCACCAACTGGGGCAGGGAGGGTGTCAAACTGGTTCCCCGCAACACCAGTCCCACCTGCACCCCCGCCCCCCTCTGCTGCGCTTATTAGCAAAGCGATCAATTTGGGGGTAATTAGGTATTAATTGCCCAAAGACACTGGCGTTGATAGCCCGTGCTAATTTATCTCCCACCTGCTCACTGCCTCTTGTTAAAATCCAATTAAGGCCCGGCCATTTGTATAGTTTAATGCGTGAAGGAAAGTTCTGCCTTCCCTCTCCTTTTATTTCTGTTACTGAATTTTGGGCAAGCGGCTCTTCGAGCGCCGTCAGCCGCGAGACTGACCAAGCGCCTTCGATCAAATCAATGGCTCATTCAGGATAGATCATCCTTTGCCAAGCACTGTCTCTTTTGGACTACAACTCCCATCAGCCGTGCTGGCTCGGGTTGATGGGAATTGTAGTCTGGGGGGCACCAGGTTGGCAAGAATCCTCATAGATGATGAGCTACTTGTTCCGGCAAATGAAAGCGCAGCTGCTGGGTTTGAGGCAATCCTTAGAACTGGTGGGCATGCCGTGTGGGAAGATTGTTAATCTGTGGAACTCCCTCCCACAGGAGGCAACTTTGAAAGAAGAGGGCTATTGATGACTACTTGCCATGATAGCTATTCTCTGCCTCCATAATTGGAGGCAACAAACGATGCTCTTGAATGTCAGTAGCTGGAAACCCCAGGAGGGGAGAGTTGTTCTTGTGGTCAAATCCTGCTTGCTGGTTTCCCATTGGGTTATCGGGTTGGCCATTGTGAGAACAGGATGCTGTACTGGCTAGGCCATGGGCCTGATCCACCAGGTTCTTCTTATGCTCTCATGGGTCCAAACATGCTGCCAAGGAGCTCAAGGTGGTGCACATGGTCCTATCCTTCCCCAGCACCCACAACAGCCCTGTGAGGTAGGCTAGGCTGAGAGGCAGCAACTGGCCAAAGGTCACCTAGCAGGCTTCATGGCCCAGTGGGGTTTTGAACCCTGGTCTCCCAGTTCGTAGCCCAACACTCAAACCACTATGCTGCGCTGCCTCTGTGTTCTTATGGGGGGTGCCCAGACCTTGACCATACAGAGCATGCTGGCTTACCAAACTGGCCATGCAGATGCCAGGCCATCTCAGCGTGCTTCTCAAACCAGCTTGACTGGCAGGAATTGACCTTCCAAACGTCTTCCTGCAAGGAGGGGAACATGATTACAGTGGACGCTCGGGTTGCAAACGTGATCCGTGAGGGAGGCATGTTCGCAACCCACAGCGCCGTGCCTGTGCACGTGCGGGTTGCGATTCAGCGCTTATGCGCTAAGTGTGATTTAACGCCTCTGCGCACACACGACCACCGAAACTCGGAAGTAACCCATTCCGGTACTTCTGGGTTTTGGTGCATCCGTAACCTGAAAAAACGCAACCTGAAGCGTCTGTAATCCAAGGTATGACTGTATCTGCTTGCGTCTGCAGGACAAGCTGCTCTTTTAAGGCCACGGCAGCAAATAAAATGGGGTCAGGGGAGCATGGCAGATTCCTTTGGGTCTGATTTTGATTTGGGCTATGTTCAAAACAGGACCCGGGTGGCGCTGTGGGTTAAACCACAGAGCCTAGGACTTGCCAATCAGAAGGTTGGCAGTTCGAATCCCCGCGACGGGGTGAGCTCCCGTTTTTCAGTCCCTGCTCCTGCCAACCTAGCAGTTCGAAAGCACGTCAAAGTTCAAGTAGATAAATAGGTACCGCTCCGGCGGGAAGGTAAACAGCATTTCTGTGCGCTGCTCTGGTTTGCCGGAAAGAGCTTAGTCATGCTGGCCACATGACCCGGAAGCTGTACGCTGGCTCCCTTGGCCAATAAAGCGAGATGAGCTCCGCAACCCCAGAGTCAGCCACGACTGGACCTAATGGTCAGGGGTCCCTTTACCTTTACCTATGTTCAAAACAGTCCGGCCCTCTGGGGGCTTCCCTGACCTCTTGCTGACTGTGCTCCAGGAGGGAATTCAGAACAAGTGCCTTGCCAAGGTGGGAATCAGCTTGTCTCCTTGGGATATAGAATCATAGCATTGTAGAGTTGGAAGGGGCTACGCAGGTCATTATTCCAACTCCAACCCAATCGTTTGCCCAACATGGAGCTCAAACCCACAACCCTGATATTCAGAGTCTCGTGCTCTACTGACTGAGCTCTCCCCGTGGGTTTGGAAGCCTCCCTCTGCAGGGTCTTGGCCGTCCCTGTAATGGACTGAAAGCAGAAGGCTCTTCCCCCAGCAAGTGTTCCTAAGGGGCTCATTTTGGAGCCTAATGGAGCAGGGAGGAGGCCAGGGTTCCTCACCCCAGGCAAAAGCAGAGGGGGTCATTTCAGATGCCCAGATGGAGAGGGACTGGCTGGAGTCTGGGATGGCAGAGCCGTAGAGAGGAACCAGCCTGGTTCAGCCAAGCTGTCTCCCTGAGAAGCACACAGGAGCCTCTCCCGAGCTCATGCCCAGATTGAGGATGGGGTTATCACTCTGCGGCAAAATGTCCCTATGACATCTTACGTTTATTTATAAAATTGCTTAGAGACTGGTTTTTCATTAAAAAAAGCATAATAAAATCATAGATTTGTAGAGTTGGAAAGGGACCACTGGGGTCATCTAGCCTAACCTCTTACAATGCAGGAATCTTTTGCCCAACCTGAGACTCGAACCCACAACCCTGAATTTAAGAGTCTCACGCTCTGCCGACTGAGTCCTGCTGTATTCTGCCGTGCGCAGTTTGCAACAGAGAGACATGAACAGACACCAATTGACCAGTTGCTAGGGATTCTTTAGCTGTGATTCCTGAATTGCAGGGGGTTGAGCTAGATGACCCCACAGGTCCCCTACAGTTCTATGAATTAACTGTTGTCAAAGGATGTATCCTTCATTGCCTGCTTGTTCCCAAATCCTGCTTGCGGGTTCTCCACATGAATCTGCTTGGCCGCTGTGTGAACAGGGTGCTGGGCCCGATGGGCTGTGGGCCTGATCCATCCGGCCACCGCTACGTTCTCATGAGTCTCCCCCTTCTCACCCCTCAGGCTCCTCCTGCAGCGGGACTACAGCTTCCTGAGGGACATCAACATCTGGCCTCCCTTCGTCATCATTGGCGTCTACTGCTCGACTCTGTCGGCCGCTATGAGCAACCTGATCGGGGCCTCCCGAATCCTCTACGCCTTGGCCAAGGACGACCTCTTTGGTGAGTTGACCTTCTGCCTGCCTGGGCCTACTTCTTGCCTGAGCAACGTCTCTCCTTGGCAGGCAGGCATGGACCAACATAAGAACGTAAGTGGAGCCATAAGTGGGAGTGGCCGCCGAGACCACATAACACTGGTCCTGAATGATCTTCATTGGCTCCCAATGCACTGAATTGTGGCTCCGAGCACAATTCAAAGTGTTGGTGCTGACCGTTAAAGCCCTAGACAGCCTCGGCCCAGTATACCTGAAGGAGCGTCCCCACCCCCATCGTCCAGCCTGGACACTGTGGTCCAGCTCTGAGGGCCTTCTGGTGGTTCCCTTGCTGTGAGAAGTGAGGTTACAGGGAACCAGGCAGAGGGCCTCCTCGGTAGTGGCGACCGCCCTGTGGAACGCCCTCCCATCAGATGTTAAGGCAATAAACAACTATCTTACTTTTAAAAGACAGCTTCCCTGTTTAGGGAAGTTTTTAATGTTTGAAGCTGTATTGGTTTTAATATTTGGTTGGAAGCTGCCCAGAGTGGCTGGGGAAACCTAGCCAGATGGGCGGGGTATAAATAAATGATGATGATGATGATGTATCAGGCCAGTGACCCACGTAGTCCAGCATCCTGTTCTCAAAGTGGCCAACCAATGCCTGTGGGAAACCAGCAACCAGGATTTGAGCGTGAGAGCCTTCCTGTGGTTCCCAGCAGCTGGCATACGGAAGCATCACTGCCCTGAATTGTCAGGGCACAGTGCCAGTGTGCCAAGGCCACAGTCTGGGACAGCGTCTCCCAGCTTACCTGGATTTCTTATGGACTACAGTTCCCATCATCCACAGCCAGATGCAGGGCACCACGTTGGGAGAGGCTGATCTAGGGTACCAGTTTCTGATTGGCTGCGTTTACTAAGCTTTTCCACACTGAGCTGATTTGATTGATTGATTGATTGATTGATTATATTTCTATACCGCACTTCATTCACACGAATCTCAAAAGCGGCTCACAAACAGTAAATAACAACAACCGAACAAATGCAACATAAATCGTATAGATTAATCAACAAATAATCAGTGAAACAATTACAAATCACTAGTATCTCACAGCAAACATTCAAAACATCAAAAGACAAAAGCATTGAAAGCACAAATACACAAAATGAAGAGCGTGTCAGTAGTTTGAAAAAAACGACAAAAACCAGCAATTCAACAAACGCAGAATAAATTTGATGTTGCAAAAGAAAACAAATCGTTGTTTCAGTACGTAAATACAAAGCAGAACAGGAATTAACCTGCCACCTTTGGTCTTTTAGTTTCCCTACACACACATAGACACACTCCATGCCTTAATACTCTTTGGGGGCTGTTGCTGAATGCAGCTGTTTCTGCAGTCTGGAAGATCCTTCGCTCTGCCTGGCAGTCCTCTGCGCCCTCTCCTCTATCTCCTGCTTGGCTCTGTCTGCCTCCCTGCCTGGCTCTCCCCAGCAGCTCCCTTGTTCCAGCACTTGGCCGTTCTTTCAGAGTCCTCTGCCTCCCTGCCGGGCTGCGTGGGCAACTGCCAGTCAGGTTGGTTTGCCTTTGCCCTCGCCTGGCAGGGCCTGTTGACGGGGCTCTGCTCCTGGGCAGAGATGAAGCCCACCCTCAAAGACTGCTGCCGGCAGGGCAGGGGATGTGGGAAGCTGCCTTATATATTGAACGCGGCTGTTGGTAACATCTGGCTCAGTATTGTCCACCCTGGCTGGCAGAGGCCTTCCAGGATTTTCAGAGAAGACATGCTACTGGGAGATGCTGACAGGGCTGGATTAACCATTAAGCAAAATAAGCATGTGCTTTAGGGCATCAAAGGAAGGGAAGGAACCACATAAATTTTCCATTGCTGGGTTTTTTTAACCTTAATGGTCCCAAATGGCTCAGCTGAGCATTCGTTTTCTCCCTTGAAGTATATTAAAAATCCCAACAGAACAACTAAACAACAAGGCAGGCCGGGTGCCTTATCTTTATTAAGTATAGAAGCAGATTCATTACGTAAGATGAGTTTTGAGGATCGGGTCAAAGACTTTTCAGTTAGAAAAAGAAAGAGATTTCCCCCCCACCCCCAATACAAAGTCTACAAAAATTAACATTATTTTCCACCTTACTGTAGGTTTAGTTTCATTTTGAAAAATAAGATTTTATTTTACTGTTTATTATGGTTTATATTTTGAATTAGATATATATGGAGCACCAAGATTTTTTAAATGCTTAGGGCCTCTGAAGATCTCTCTTTGCCCAGCAACAGCCCAATAACCTCACTGAGAGAAGGGGCTGCTGCTTCCATTCTGCCGGGCTCCTTTGCTGCTCTTGCATTTCAGCAACCTTTACCCCACACTCCAGCTCATACGCCAGCCTTCCCCAACCTGCTGCCCTCCAGTTGTTTCAGCGCCAGCCAGAACAGGGCGCAGGGCGCTTGTCTTCATAAACAGAAGTGGCTGGTTTCATCTCTCCCTCCCATCTGTGCCTGTGTGCTATTGCATTGTAAAAGAAGCAATCATGTTTGATTCAAGGGGTGCCTTCTTCCATAAGTAGATTGCCAGCATGTACCCCTACTATCTAAATCATGGACAGGCAAACTAAGGCCCGGGGGCTGGATCCAGCCCAATTGCCTTCTAAATCCAGCCAGCGGATGGTCTGGGAATCGGCATGTTTTTACATGAGTAGAAAGTGTCCTTTTATTTAAAATGCATCTCTGGGTTATTTGTGGGGCTTAGGAATTTCTTCATGTACAGTGGTACCTCTGGTTGCAAATGGGATCCGTTCCGGAGCCCCATTCGCAACCTGAACGGAACGCAACCCGCATCTGTGCATGCGTGGGTCGTGATTCGCCGCTTCTGCGCATGCGCGTGACACCATTTTGCGCGTCTGTGCATGCGCAAGCAGCAAAACCCAGAAGTAACCCTTTCCGGTACTTCCGGGTTGCCGCGGGACGCAACCTGAAAAGACGTAACCCGCAGCGTTCACAACATGAGGTATGACTGTATTTTTTTCAAAATATAGTCCGGCCCACCTCATGGTCTGAGGGATGGTGGACCGGCCCCCTGCTGAAAAAGTTTGCTGACCCCATTCTAGATCAAGACATAAAGGGTGGCAAAGAGTTAAATTTCCCCCTACCTATCTATCTCTCGAACTAGGGACCCAGTCTGCATCTAGCAGCCCCCCTCCAATTGGTTTCACTTCCTGCTCTGCACTTAAAAGCACATAGCTTGGCCCTGATTAATCCAGGTGGGGTGTGTTTTAGTTGATTTTCCCCCAATCCATTAAGCCAGCCAATTAATTGATGGAACATTTCAGCCTCAGTGTTTAATTAACATGTAGTAAAACGGGCGTCAACACTCTGCTGTGGACCTGTCCATTAGGAGCGGGCAGACGCCAGCCTTGTGGGATTTACTTTACCTTCTGCTGGAACCCCCAGAGGGAGCCAGGTGCAAACAGAAGTGGCTCAGGGAGGCAGGTGTATATTTGGAATTAAGAAACAGGGTGCCTCTGAGCACATGCTCATCCCAGGGATCAGAAATCAGTGCCCGAATCAACTTCACAAAGCATTTTCATGCATGCATTTTTTTTAAAAAAAGCCTCTCTTGTTCCTTCTCCCAATTATTATTATTTATCTAATTGCGAGTGGTTTTGCTATCGTTGCTAGCATTAGACAATTGGGAGTCAGAAACTCTTGCGGACGTAGTGCAGATTACTGGAGATCTAGCAGCAGATTCTGATCTGCCTTCTGCGCACTGCTGCTCTAGGTGGTCACTTTCCCTGCTCTCTCTTGCTCTCTGTCTCTCTTTAATAAACACCGATTTTATAGAAGCCCTTGTTCTAATGTAGTGTGCTGCCTCTCTCTTTTCCGTTCCCCTTCTGGTAACGAAGGCAAAGTTCTGGGGCCTGCGAAGCGGACTTCCCATGATGGAAACCCCTGGATGGCTGTAATCTTCTCCTGGATCCTGGTACAGGTGAGTTGGCTCCCATTGCCCTGGATTTGCTGCTTCTCTTCCTCCTCCCAATGCTGCTATTTTAACCACGATGATTTCTGTTTGGTTTCTGTTCATTCCATCGATCAGCCACCCAATAACAATGGCTCCCTGGGCGACGCGCAGAATAGAAGAGATTAAAAACCACTGTCCCAATAAAACGGGGATCGATAGAGCAGCGGAACAAAAGCCAGCAGGAAGCATCTGCCAGGGATGCTTTCGCTGAGGTTCCTGCCTTGCAGCGGGTTGGACTAGATGACCCTCGGGGTCCCTCCCAACTTTACAATTCTATGGTTCTATGAAACAACCCCCAGCACTAGAACCAATGTTGCAAAAGTGAAGTCTGGAGAACTAAAAGCATCACAGCAACTGTCAATTAATATAGAAAGTCAATGTTCTCAAACAGGGAGGGTGGGGTCTGCCTTGCTGGCCCCTGAAGGTGGGCAACTTCAAGCCCAGGGTGGCAGCTGCAGAAGAGAGCAGACTGGATCTCAAAGGGAAATGTAGATTTGTCAATGGGGACTACAAAGGACCAAGAAGCCAGGAACGCAGAGACCGGAATATGGGCTCAGTCTCCTCTTTTCCAGGCTAAACATACCCAGCTCCCTCAAATTCTCCTTGCAAGGCTTGGTTTCCAGACCCTTGATCATCTTGCTCACCCTCCTCTGTACATGTTCCAGCTTGTCAACATCCTTCTGAAATTGTGGCGCCCAGAATTGGACACGGTATTCCAGGTGTGGTGTGACCAAGGCAGAATAGATCAATAAAGTGGTACCTCTGGTTATGTACTTAATTTGTTCCGGAGGTCCGTTCTTAACCTGAAACTGTTCTTAACCTGAGGTACCCCTTTGGCTAATGGGGCCTCTTGCTGCCGCTGCGCTGCCGGAGCACGATTTCTGTTCTCATCCTGAAGCAAAGTTCTTAACCTGAAGCACTATTTCTGGGTTAGCGGAGTCTGTAATCTGAAGCGCATGTAACCTGAGGTACTACTGTCCTAGTAGTTCCCTTGATCTGGACACTATACTTCTGTTGATGCATCCAAGAATAGCATTAGCTTTTCTTGTTGCTGCATCACACTGTGGACTCACGTTGAGCTTGTGGTCCACTAAGACCCCGAGATCCTTTCCACATGTACTATTCAAAACAGGAACAATTTGTAGGCATCCATTTGTATCGAGAGACAATGGAGCGTGCCTCTGGGATTGAAGTCAAACCGCTGTGTTAGCAATGCCGCAGTGACCTCCCTGGGCATAAGCCTGGGCCGTGTGTATGGGGGTCCTGGGCTGCCCAGACAGCAAGACCCCCCCTCTCAGCCTCACTGATGGGGATCCAAAGGAAATCAGAGCAAGATGTTTGGCACCAGTATGGCGGCAGGAGTTGCCGGAAGGAGGTGCAGAGGGTGCGATCCAACTGCCTTAGGGACTCCACTCCGGATTTGTGTACGGTTTACTCCAGAGCCTTTTCTTCTCCCAAAGATATCCTGCAAAGCAGCGGGTAACTTCTAAGGGGATTGGCCTGATCCAGGCGGAGGGCTTGCCTTATGATCTTACGTTGAAGTTCGTTGTTTCCTGCCGATCATTTCTCGTTACGGTTCAGATGGTGACGGTGTCCTTTCCTGTAAAATAATGCTTATGTTTTCCTCCTTATCGGCATCTGTTTTATGTTGTCATTAGCTGCCTTTGGGAGGCACTTTGTTCAAAAGGCTGGTTAGGATTCTTTTTCTAAATGTGCAGGTGAATAAATGCATTAGACGGGCGAGACGGGAGATGCGGATCTGAGCAAATGCGTAGCTGAGGAAGGGCAAGGAGCGAGTCTGGTGTCCCTGGAGCCGCAGACGAGGCTGGCCTGGGACTGGCTTACTGGGGTGATGCATTGATTGTGGAACAGGCCTCAGCTCTAAGATGCAGGAAGAAGAATGCCGCTGGAGAACATGCAGAGTGCATTTCCTCCGTTGCTGCGTAAAACCAGTGTGCACTCAAACGCAACTGAGGTTTAGGCAGCTGGGCTTGCTGTTAAGAGCAGTTTGAGCCCCAGAACTTTTTCTCCTTTTGATCTGAACCCCAGCAAAGGAGCAAGTCTTGAAGGAGAGGCGAGGAAACTATGTTGATGAATCAGAGTGTGCTGAGGAGGCTATCTCGTGCCTCAAGGTGTGACAGGAGGCACATGGAGCATTCAGCATGAGGACCAGAAACTTTGGAAGCTGTTGCAACAAATAGCAGGAGGGGCAGGGTGGAAGCTGCTAAGATAGCCCTGGGGGGTGGGAAGGAAATGAATCCCTTTCCCATCAGGTAAAGGTAAAGGGACCCCTGACCATTAGGTCCAGTCGTGGCCAACTCTGGGGTTGCAGCGCTCATTTCGCTTTATTGGCCGAAGGAGCCAGCATACAGCTTCTGGGTCATGTGGCCAGCATGACTAAGCCGCTTCTGGCGAACCAGAGCAGTGCATGGAAACGCCATTTACCTTCCTGCTGGAGCGGTACCTATTTATCTACTTGCACTTTGACGTACTTTCGAACTGCTAGGTGGGCAGGAGCAGGGACCGAGCCACGGGAGCTCACCTCGTCACGGGGATTCAAACTGCCGACCTTCTGATCGGCAAGTCCTAGGCTCTGTGCTTTAACCCACAGTGCCACCCGCGTCCCCTGCTTTCCCATCAAGGCCTCCTACGAAATGACAGTCCCCTCCGAGATGGTAAAATTGGAACTGTGGCTGGGTTGGAGAGAGGCAGCGCTGCACAAAATAGGCTTTCTGTGAAGGGAGAAGTGGATTTCAGGATCAAATGTTACCAGATAGTGAATCCAAGTCTCAGCGATGTTGTGGTTTGGTTAGGCAGAGAGGGCAGCAACCTGGGGAAATATGGAGACTGAGTTGGGGGAGATGTGTAGTGGCTGGTTCTGAGCTGTAGAACCATAGAACTGTAGAGTTGGAAGGGACCCCAGGAATCTTTTGCCCAACGTAGGTCTCAAACCCACAATCCTGGGATTAAAGAGTCTCATGCTCTACCGACTGAGCCATCCTTTCAGTCAGCTGAACCAGGACCCACAGAGGAACACAGGAAGCAGCCTCTTATCCCGAACCAGACCACCGGTCCACTTAGCTCAGGACTGCTTATGCTGACTATCAGCAGATCTCCAGGGGTCTCGGCCCAGGGGCATTCTCAGACCCGCCTGGCGATGCCACTGGGGAACTGAACCTGGGACCTTCTGCGCGCAAGCCAAACGTCTTACCGCTGAGCTACACCTCTTCTCCAAGTCTTGCCTGGCCACGACAGAGGGCGCCAGCTTGGGGGAGGCTGCTGTAGGCCCTATGCCACCTGTGCCCCGGAACATGGCAAGCTTTGGGCAGCTGTTGCAGGCCCGGGGGAGAAGCTGGGAGGGGTGGGAGGAAGGGGGCTTGGCCAGGGAGGGGGTGCGGAAGGAGGCAATGGAGTGAGTTGGCGCACGCTGAACATGAGATCCCTATCAGGGCTCCGTCGGAATCGTCCCAGGTGCATTAAACAATTGGTCTGACGCCACGTGCAAACCTATCAAAGCGAGATGCCCCCTCTCCGCCTCCGAGAGAAGGATTGCAGCGATGCCTCCCCCCCCCCCCGAGACTCCCATCAGCTTAATCTGCTGGAGCTGCCGTCTATCTCTCCCCCCCCCCCGGCTCCCTCGGCCGCACAGGCGTGCGCTGCTCCGCCAAATTGGACAAATACATGTAATGCAAAAAAAATTGCCCCATTAGCCGGAAAAGAACATTGCGGTGCACTCACAAAAGGGGAGGGAGCCATTAGGTGCTTCAAGCCCAATTGAAGTCACCATGGATCAGATTCAATGGCTGGCGACAGATGCGGCATCGCTCGCTGTGCAAAAGACTTGAGGGGTTTTTTTGGGGGGGGGGGAGGCAGCGCTTGCTACATGGCTTGGAGCTTGAATGGTGCTTGGATTTCTTCGAGCTAGAGGATAGCAATGACCGTCAACTCAGGAGTCTGCAAGCTTCTTAGGCCCAGATCCCATTTTCTGAAACCAGAACATACGTTTTGAGGCCCTGTTTCTTAATCTTTCCCCCACATGTTTGGTGCTGTTCCTGCACCCTACCTGGGATCAGTGGCACAGCACAGCATTGGTTGATTCCAGGTAGGGGATCTTCCCACAGAAGTGGCCGTTTTGGGCACCTGAGTGTTTCCTGCATGCCCGTAATTGGGTGGGAGAGCAAGGACACTGTCTTGTCATAGAATCATGGAATTGGAAGGTTCTGAAGCGTCATCTAGTCCAACTCCCCTGCAATGCAGGAACCTCAGCTTAAGCATCCATGGCAGATGGCCATCCATCTCTGCTTAAAAACCTCCAAGGAAGGAGAGTCCACAATCTCCCGAGGGAGACCATTCCTCTGTCAAACAGCTCTTACCACCAGAAAGTTATTCCTGTTGTTTAGTCGGAATCTCCTTTCTTGTCACTTGAATCTGTTGGTTTGGGTCTGGAGTGGAAAGCAAGCTTGCTCCATCCTCCATAGGACAACTCTTGAGATATTTGAAGATGGCTCTCATATCTCCTCTCAGTCTCCTATTTCCCAGGCTAAACATACCCAACTCCTTCAACCGTTCCTCATCAGGCTTGGTTTCCAGGCCCTTGATCATCTTGGTTGCCCTCCTCTGCACACCTTCCAGCTTGTCAACATCCTTCTGAAACGGAGGTGCCCAGAACTGGACACAGGATTCCAGCTTGGTTCTGATCAAGGCAGAAGCGAGTGGGACTCCATGAATTTGCCCAGTCCTTTTTTAAAGCCATCCTAGTTGGTCGCTATCACTGCTTCCTGCGTTGTGAGCAAGTTCCGTAGTTCAACTGTGCATTTCCTCAATCCTCTTTCCCCATACCATTCATAATTTTATAAACTCCTATAACAACAACAACAACAATTTATTATTTATACCCCACCCATCTGACTGGGTTTCCCCACCCACTCTGGGCAGCTTCCAACAGAATATTAAAATATAATAACCTATTAAACATTAAAAGCTTCCCTAAACAGGGCTGCCTTCAGATGTCTTCTAAAAGTCTGTTAGTTGTTTATTTCTTTGACATCTGGTGGGAGGGCGTTCCACAGGGCGGGTGCCACCACCGAGAAGGCCCTCTGCCTGGTTCCTTGTAACTTGGCTTCTCGCAGCAAGGGAACTGCCAGAAGGCCCTCGGCGCTGGACCTCAGTGTCCGGTCAGAACAATGGGGTGGAGACGCTCCTTCAGGTATACAGGACCGAGGCCGTTTAGGGCTTTAAAGGTCAGCACTAACACTGTGAATTGTGCTCGGAAGTTGTTTGCCTTTTCTCTAAACTAAGAAGTCCCAAACGCTGCAACCTTTCCTCACTGGGGGTGCCACTCTGTCCCCGTGATCATTCTGGCTGCCCTTTCCTGGACCTTTTCCAACACTTCCCTGCCTCTACTTTGTTGTATGAAATGCAATTAAAAAGACAATAAAACTGAAAACAGTTTTAAAAAACCCACCACCAACGTAATCAGCTAGGAGAGAAGACAAACAACTGGGTGATATATATATATATATATATATATATATATATATATATATATGTGTGTGTGTGTGTGTGTGTGTGTGTGTGTGTGTGTATTTTAAAAAGGTATGAACAAAAGCTTTAAAAGGGAGCGAGCTGACAGCCAACCCTATCTTGGGAGGGAACACCACAATATATTGGTTTATTCATCATTGCTGTTATCATTAGCAGTTTTTATGTCACGCTCCAATGAGCTGAGGGTGACAGCCATTGTCTCCCTTTTTATATTCACAATAACCCTGTGAGGTAGGTTAGGCAGAAAGGGGAGAGGGCAACTGGATCAAGATCATCCTGGGAGTCTGTTTTTGGCCTTCCAAACATTTTGGACTACAACTCCCATCATTCCCTGCTACCCAAGACCCTTTTCCCTGGAGAAGCCAGGGAGTTGATGTGGGATCTTTAGTGCCAGGACTGAAGAGGGGGAGGTGTAAATTGTCATGGCCAATCAAGCCAAACCGCTGGGATGGCTCAGTTGGTACAGCACAAATCTCTTAATCTCAGGGCTGTGGGTTCAAGTCCTGGGTTGGGCAAGAGGATTCCTGCCTTGCAGGGTGTTAGATTAGATGACCCTCAGGTCATCTTTTCGATTTTAGGAAAGAGAGAATCTGCTATCTCTTAACTGTCAGAATATTCTCCCCAATGTTTACTCAGAATTTCCCTCCTTGTCATTTGAATCTTTTGGTTCAGGTCCTCCAGAGCAGCAGAAAACAAGCTTTCTCCGCCTTCCATGTGACAGGTCTTCTGATATCCTATCACCTCTCAGGGGTCAGCAAACTTTTTCAGCAGGGGGCTGGTCCACTGTCCCTCAGATCTTGTGGGGAGCCAGACTATATATTGAAAAAAATATATGAAGGGATTCCTATGCCCCACAAATAACCCAGAGATGCATTTTAAATAAAAAGACACATTTTACTCATGTAAAAACATGCTGATTCCCGGACCGTCTGCGGGCCGGATTTAGAAGGCAATTGGGCCGTATCCAGCCCCTGGGCCCATGAGCTAGTTCTTTGGCCTGATCCAGCATCCAGTTTTTTCTTAAGCACCCGCCCCCCAAGCTTGAAAAAAGACTATTTCTATTTGGCCTTTCTTGGAGCTGTGATACCACAGCCTTGATCTCTTCGAGGTCCCCCTAACAGGCAGTGATAGTGTCCCCGGCCTAGCCTTGCCCGGACCACCCCTTCCCCTGTGGTCCCCCTCCCCCTGCAGTCACACAGTGTCCCCCCCGCCCCACTCAGGGCTGGGGCATGCTACTTTTCAGCAGTGGCTCTTTTACCTTGATGAGCAGCTAAATGAATTATAAATCAAAGGCAAGTGCCAGGGGAGGGGGACGGGAGGGGGAGGCCCCATTACAGCGGCCAGGCACGATCTCCACTCAGTGCACACTATTAACTCGCAACCAGCTGAAAATCCCCAATTGCTTAGATGGTCTGCATAATCTCAGCCTCTTCCCTGCCCCCCCCCCGCCAAGCAGTGATGGCAGGTCGGCTGCACTCCTTGCCAGCGAGAGGGGGGCTGTGGGGATCCAGGGCAGCAGGGGGGCACCTCTTAGTGGGGAGGGCACACGCGCAATCCCTGGCATCCCCTGTTGAAAGCATCTTGTCTAGCAAGGCAGGGGAGAGGCTTTTAGGGATGAGAACTGATTTGTGAGGACATGGGAGCTGCCTGATGCAGTCAGACCTCTGTCCTAGCCAGCTCAGTGCTGCCTACACTGACTGGCAGCGGCTCTCCAGGGTTTTAGAGCAGAGGACGTTCCCATATGCTGCCAGGAATTGGCCCTAGGATTCTCCACCGCTGATATTACAGCTGTTTCCCATAGCACTGAGTCCAACTCAAAATATCCTGGCAGGAGCTCCCTGGGACCTTTCTGAGCAGCTGCCGTCTGAGATCCTGTTGTGGGCTGGTAAATGGAGCACTTTCTAGCTGGTATCCTGTTGGAGGGGACGGTCTCCTTCCAGCAACTCCTGCAGCCAAGCTGGTGCCAAACACATTGCTCTGCTTTCCTTCGGACCACATCAGCGAGGCAAGAGGGAAAAAGCAAACTGTGCTGGTCCTGTGGGTTACCCGAGAGGCGAGGTCCAAGTCCGGTCTGTGGTCAAAGGTGGAGGCAGTCCGTAGTAGCTGAAGCTGGGTGCAGGGCAGGGAGCCGGGTGAAGTCAGGAACAGGCACGCAAGCAGGGAGCCAGGGCAGGTCAGGAGCTCAGGCAGAAAAGCAAGACAGGATTCAGGCAGGAACAGGCTACCAACAATGTTGCTCCCGCAACTTGGGACTGGGGCTGGCCGGCTTTTATCTGCCCCGAGGCATAGGGCAGCCCCGATCCTCAGGTGACTCGCCTCTCCTGGCCTGGAGGCGAGCCCTCCTCCTGCGGGAACTTAGTTCCCTCCGCCACTCTGCCCTGAGCCTCTGCAGCTCAGGAGCGCTGGAGGGTTACCGGACCAGAGGCAACCTCAGCTTCCTCTGACGGGGCTGAGAGTGGAGCACCTGCAGGCAATGGGTCCTCCATCACCTCAGGAGCCAGAGCAGACTCAGCTGGTGCCTGCACCTGAGGATCCAGCACAGGCAAGGATCAGCTGGTTCTGGAGGCGGGGACTCCTGTGTAGGCTGGGATCCTTCAGGTTCAGCATCCGAGTCCGAATCCCAGGCCATCACAGAAACCCAGGCACCGATTGTTAATATTAAAGAGTAGTTCACATAATCAGTGGCTGTAATGGAAGCAGTTTGGGGACATGAGGAAATGAGCCCCACTTTCCCCATATATATTTTTTATTCAAGTAACCTTTATTGGCATCACATAATACAAACAGAATAGATAGGCCAGTGCAATCTCTTTGCCATTTCAACAGTACAGTCATTTGCCGAAGGGAAGAAAAGGCGAGCAACCTGTTTCATCTCTGTGGGTTTCCAGCAAGGGCAGGATCCTGCAGCATACTTTGGCAACAAAAAATCAAATAGAGGAACTTAGCTACTGTCTTGGTGAGCTCCTGGTCTCTCCCCTGTAATAAGAAGCGTATAACCTCTGTCTCTGGTTTCCATGTTGGAATACATAGATGGTCTGGAAATTGTTGGTGGAGATCATCATACCTTTTACATTTAAGGGCCATGTAAGCTACAGTTTCCACCAGGTGGGCATCGCATGGGCAGATCCTGTCTCCTTCTGCTATACCCGCAAATCTACCGCACTTTCCCCATATTTCCCACTGCTTCAGCCTGCTGATGCCAGTCATGGGAAAGGAGCCTGATGGGAGCTGCTCCTTGTTGCTCTCTCTAGGGCAGCGGTTCTCAACCTGTGGGTCCCCAGATGTTGTTGGACTACAACTCCCATCATCCCTGCGCCCCCTTCCCTATAAAACTCAGCGCCCCCTTCCCTATAAAAATAGCAGAATAGCAGCCTGCATGACCCACTAAGGAAGATAATAACCCAATAAAACAGTAGCAATTAATTGCACATTCATTCAGAATCCAATTAAAACTGTTTAGTTTAATTAATTCAACAAAATGGATGAACTTGATTCAGAGTCTAATAACCATTTGCAGCTCCCTGCAACCCCCTTGCCTCCCACCCCACCCAGGGGGGAAATACCACCCAATTTGGGAGCCACTTCTGCAAACAATTATTGAACCTGGTGTACATAAAGATTTTAAGTAAGCAAAGCCCTCCATCGCCTGTATTTTACCTGCGCTGTTGGAGTCTGTAGTCTTCCGTCTCCTGTCTCTCACCGCCTCTCTGTTCTCCATCCCTTGCAGCTGGTTCTCTTTTCTGGCAAGCTGAACACCATTGCCGCTGTGGTCACCATCTTCTTCCTGCTGGTCTATGCCACCGTGGATTTGGCCTGCCTTGCACTCGAGTGGGCATCTGCCCCAAACTTCAGGTATGTGGGGCTCTTGCGTGTAGGAGTTGGGGGTTGCGCCGGGATCATATTACACCAGTCCTGAAAGGCCTACATTGGCTCCCAGTCCATTTCTGAGCACAATTCAAAATGTTGGTGCTGACCTTTAAAGCCCTAAACAGCTTTGGCCCAGTACAGTGGTGCCTCAGGTTAAGAACTTATTTCGTTCTGGAGGTCCGTTCTTAACCTGAGGTACCAATTTAGCTAATGGGGCCTTCCACTGCCACCGCACCACTGGAGCACGATTTCTGTTCTCATCCTGAAGCAAAGTACTTAACCCAAGATACTGTTTCTGGGTTAGCAGAGTCTGTAACCTGAAGTGTCTGTAACCTGAAGCGTCTGTAACCCGAGGTACCACTGTATACCTGAAAGAGGGTCTCCACCCCAGTCGCTCAGCCCAGACAATGAGGTCCAGTGCCAACTGCCATTTGGTGGTTCCCTCACTGAGAGAAGTGAGGTTACCAGGAACCAGGCAGAGGGCCTTTTTGGTGGTGGCACCTACTTTCTGGAATGCCCTCCCATCAGATGTCAAACAGATAAACAACAATTTGACTTTTAGAAGGCCTCTGGAAGCAGCCATGTACGAGGAAACTTTAATGTTTGTGTTTTATTATGTTTTTTATATATGTTGGAAGCCTCCCAGAGTGGCTGGGGTAACCCAGTCAGATGGGCAGGGTACAAATAATAAATTATTATTATATTATTATATTCACCTTGTGTGAAAACCAACCATGAGCCCCGTAGGCTGAGGGCGAGTGAGAATCTGGTGGACAAGTCTGTGAAGTGTGAGGACTAGCTGCTTGAGTCGGGGTGGGGAGCTTCTTTCAGCCTGGGCATCATGCTTCCTTCTGGGCATATTTTTTTTGGGGGGGGGGGAGTCACATGATGTCACATGTCAGTGGTGGGTGGGGCCAGAGACAAAAGTGGGCGGGACAGCATATGTAAATTTTACCTAGTTTCTGCACAAACACACCGTACCTCACTGTCCTCTACCTGGCAAGGACTGTCAACATTCAAGGGGGAGTGTGAAGCAGAGGTAGTTAGGGGTGCGGCCAGGGGAGTGTCCCGAGGGCCAGGTAGAGGCTCATCGAGGGCCACATTCAGACCCTAAGCCTGAGATTCGCCATAGTTGCTTCGTAGAGCAACAGTTTCGAGAAAGGTATTTGGCGGAAAGAGAGGAGAATGTATAGAAAATTCTGTTCCTCCTTTCTCAGCTCACGGGCTCTCACAGCAGCCTACAAATCAAGGCAGAGACCTACTATAGCAATCGTGTGCAAACGTTAAACACAGTCGTAAAACCAAACATATGCACTAGCCAATAAAATAACTGGAGTTCTAAACAGAAATACCATTGTTTGCATATGCAAAAAGCCTTCTTAAACCGGGAGGTTTGTCCTGGAGGTATGGTGTTTTGCTGGGCACTAGAGAGATCTGGGAGGGACGCGGGTTGCACTGTGGGTTAAACCACAGAGCCTAGGACTTGCCGATCAGAAGGTCGGCGGTTCGAATTCCCGTGACGGGATGAGCTCCCATTGCTCGGTCCCTGCTCCTGCCAACCTAGCAGTTTGAAAACACTTCAAAGTGCAAGTAGATAAATAGGTACCACTCCAGCGGGAAGGTAAATGGCATTTCCATGCGCTGCTCTGGTTCGCCAGAAGCGGCTTAGTCCTGCTGGCCACATGACCTGGAAGATGTACGCTGGCTCCCTCGGCCAATAAGGTGAGATGAGCGCCGCAACCCCAGAGTTGGTCATGACTGGACCTAATCGTCAGGGGTCCCTTTACCTTCACCTAGAGAGATCTGGGAAGGAAGTTCTATGGCACAAGCAGTCAGTTCATATGGGAAGGGCAGCCCTTTTGGAAAACAGCACCATGGTGCAAAGGCTCTGTTGCTTCTTCTGACAGTTGCCAGCTTTCTGGGGTCGAAGAAAGCCTTGTCTCAGACTCCTTATGCAGCTGTTTTCCAGGATAAACACCCCCAGTTCCTTCAACGGTTCCTCATAAGGCGTGGTTTCCAGCCCCTCGATCATCTTGGCCCCCCTCCTCTGCACTCTTTCCAGCTTCTCAACATCCTCCTTAAATTGTGGTGCCCAGAACACCTCTCAGCCTCCTCTTTGACTCTCCATACTGCTTCTTCCTCTGCTCCTGTAACTCTGCCTTCCCCTTGACCCCCCCTGCACCCTTCATATGGGTCTTCCGGGCGGGTAAAATGCTTGTTGCATGTTGCAAGGTGAGTGCGCCTGCCTGGGGCTGTCTGAAATACTGCTGGCGGGGATTGGGGGGGCGCGGGTAGATGGATGGGGAGGAGGTACCCCCCTTCGACTTTCTCTCCCTCTCCTTGCTTGCAGAAAAGCCAGTCCACCCGCTGGTGAGCAGCTCAGGGAAATCACCTCTCCCCCCCCCCACACACACTTCCCTGCCTCCAGTGGTCCCTCCTCTCTCTCTCTCTTTCTCTCGGTGGGGGGAGCGTAGGGCCTGGTGATCAATTTCTCCCCCTAGCTAATCCCATCAAGCCGAGCACATCGCCCGTGTAATAAGCATTTATGATCCTGTTTAAAAAGCTTTTGCCCTTGAGCAAATACCGTTTTTAGCCAAGAAGGGGAAAAGGGAAGGATTGCCGGGAGGGGGAGTGGGGCGGGGACTGGGGGGCGAGAGAGAGCAGAGAACCCAGACTGCATTCTGCTCTTTGCAGTGAATTTATGGTACTTGTCTTGCTCAGCTTTTCGGGGCCGAGTGCCAGCCGTTTTTATGGAGCACAGTTTACATTAGTGGTAATTAAACCAAGGGGACTAGGAGACAGTGGGGAGTGGTGTGGAGCAGCGTTCCTGGAACAGCGTCCCTCTTCCTTTCCTTTTCTTAGCTGGGATTTACTCAGCTGCAGCCCTGCGTGCAGGCGAGAGCTTGCATTGTTTATTTGTGATTAATTTCCTGCATTGAAGCAGCGTTGGACTAAGTGACCCTCGAGGTCCCATCCAACTCTGCAGCTCTGTTTATTGAATCTATCTCTCACCTTTCCTCCACCATGCTGAGGGTGTTTTGTACATGGTTATCCTCATTTAATCCCCACAACAACCCCATGAACTAGGTTAGGTTAAGAGGCAGGGACCAGCCCAAGGTCACCCTGTGTTGTTCATGGCCCGAGTGGGGATTTGAACCCTGGTCTCTCACATCCTCGTCCGACAATCTTAACCACTACACCATACTGGGAAAACCAAGATGAGTAATGTTTTGGAGGATTCAAAGTGCCATGAAACGAATTTGATGCAAAGGGTCTTGTTTGTTTCCGGTGTGAACTTTGCAAAGTGGTTCCTGCAGGTTTTTTCAGAAAGTTCCAGTTTGAAGTGGGGGTAGACGCCAACTGTGGAAGGCGCCTATTGGCCAGCATCAGTGCCGCCAGCAACCCAACTCCTTCCTTGGAGGAGAATTATTATTATTATTATTATTATTATTATTACAACTGTTCCTGTGATTATTTTCTCATAAAGTGTGCTGTTTAAAATAGCAATGTGGAGACCTGGAAGCATGAAGGAAAAGATTGAGGACTGTACCTTCGTTGGTATGTGTTCGTTTGTGTGAATGTTAGAAAAGTTGCAATGGTGGAATCATGAGAGAAGGACCTTCTGGGACCACAGTTAACGTGCTGAGTGTGTAGGAGTGTCGTCTGGGTGTTAAAAATGCTGGGTGCTGAACCTCTTGCAATGCAAGAATCTCAACTAAAGCATCCATGACTGATGCTTCAACCTTGCTTACAAAGGAAGGAGAGTCCACCACCTTCCGAGGGAGTCTGTTCCACTCTTGAGCAGCTTTTGCCATCAGAAAGTTATTCCTGCAGGTGGTGCTGTGGGTTAAACCACAGAGCCTAGGACTTGCTGATCAGAAGGTTGGGGGTTCGAATCCCCACGATGGGGTGATCTCCTGTTGCTCAGTCCCTTCTCCTTCCCACCTAGCACTTTGAAAGCATGTCAGAGTGCAAGTAGATAAACAGGTACTGCTCTGGCAGGAAGGTAAACGGCGTTTCCGTGCGCTGCTCTGGTTTCGCCAGAAGCGGCTTAGTCATGCTGGCCACATGACCTGGAAGCTGTACGCTGGCTCCCTCGGCCAATAAAGCGAGATGAGCGCCGCAACCCCAGAGTCAGCCATGACTGGACCTAATGGTCAGGGGTCCCTTTACCTTTACTAGTCGGAATCTCCTTTCTTCTCCTTTGAATCTGTTGGTTTGGCTCCCAGCCTCCGGAGCAGGAGAAAACAAGCTTGCTTTGTCTTCCATGTGACAACCCTTGAGATATTTGAAGAATATAGTAACCTAACAAGCTGTCGGGCCAGTAGTCCATGTAGCTGAGTACTGTCAACACTGACCGGCAGTGCCTGCGGGTTGGACTAGATGACCCTTCACGTCCCTTCAACTTTTATGATTCTGCGATTCCAGGGTTTCGACCTGGGTCTCTCCTGGCCCTGCCCAGGGATGCCAAGGGTTGAAAACGAGTCCTTTTGTGTGAACTGTGGCCCTTTCCTCAAGCTACAGTCCCTGGGTTATTCTCATTGAGGGTGAAGCATTCATTGTTCAGAGGGCCCTTGCGCCCATGCGCAGACTCTCTGTCTCTCCCGCCCGCCCCCTTGCTTTTTTATGGTAGCCAATAACCGTCAGAGTGCAGTGAGGGTCACACACTGAAATTAACTGCTGTCAAGAGCATAAATTAGGCAAGACCTTTTTCTCTCCTGCTCCTGAGTTTTCTCTCTCCTTCTCTGGGATCTGGGAGACGGAAGTTTGTGGGGTAACAGAAAGTGGGTGCTCAACGGGTGCCTCATTTGGCTGAGGCCTGGCCTGGACCAACCCAGGTCATTTTGCTCCCAGGGGCAAAGGGCAGCATGGCAACCCCTGCCAAGTCCATCTCCATAAGGCTGCTAGACTGGCAATTGAATCTGATTGCATCGTCGACAATGGGGGGGCACCCACCGTGCACCCAAGGCCAGGGCGGGGGGACCCACACAGTTCTGCTGTCTAACCCCACACTCCTGCTCTCCACCTCCCAGCATCTGCTGCCCGAGGCAGATGCCTCCATCTCCCCAACAGTAGGGCCGTTAGACCTGACTTAGCAGGGAAGTTTTTTCCCAGGCGATGGAAACGGCGAAGGCGCCCGGCCAATATTAATAATTAATTTCTGCGTGCGACCATAATTATTTAAACTCAAAAGACGTGCATGCATCCTAGTCGGCGTTAACACCTCTCCATTTCAGAAAGACGTGGGCTTTTAAGTTTAATGGATAAGTTTTTATTATCTCTGTAAAGCGTCTGAATTGATTGTAATATCTGGATCAGATGCTAGTAAGCCTCCCGGACAATTTCAGTAAAATTCACATGGTTTTCTTTCTTTCTTTCTTTCTTTCTTTCTTTCTTTCTTTCTTTCTTTCTTTCGTTTAGAAGTGGGGGAGGGTTTGAAATCTGGGTGGGTGAGATTGTCTGTTTTATTTAGAAGATCACGGATACCTTGCCTTTCCAGTTCTAAAAATGGAACCACCCGAGGCAGCTAAAAGCATAGAGTAAAACAAAAAAAACCACCCACACACAATCTAAAACAAATTTAAAATGAAGCAACAGATAGATGAACAAAAAAGAAAAAGAAAAAAAGAAAAATCTAAACAGGAAGCAAAGCAGGTTAAATCAACCAAAAGACGGGCTGAAGGAGCTTGCTGAAAATTTATTTTGTGTGGCCTTGAGGTACTATCTAAGAAATAATCGGTGGAATCTCCCGGGGCAGGGAGTTCCAAAGTTCCAAATTGGGGTCACAGACCAGGGGCTCACAGGTGAGGATACCAGAAAGACAAGAGTGAAGGCCGGTGGGGAGAAATGGAGGGGGCGTAGTCATCTGAGAAATGAGGCACAGGGAACTGTGGGTGGAGAAATATGGGGCAGAGGGGGGTAGAGAGATAGGAAAAGGAAGGCTACTTTTTCTGTGTGACAGAGGTGAGGTTGCAGAGATGGGGGCATGCAAGAAGACCCCAGTGGTTTGGAACTGCTACTGAAAGTCTGGCACAGGCTTCTCCTGAGCATGTGCAGAGTGCTGTTGCCTCCCTGTTGTACATTTCTATCCACACTTTTTCTCCAAGCAGCACAATAACCCTGTGAGGTAGGCCAGGCTAAGGGAGGCCGTGGCCGGCGCAAGGTCACCTAGTGAGCTTCTTCATGGCCAAGTGAGGATTCGAACTCTGCTCTCCCAGGTCCTAGCCCCCTCCCCCCCAATATACAATTTCAAGGCTGTAAGAGAATGAGGTCTCTGGGGCAGCATCTTAAAAAACACACAACCCGCACCCTTTTTCCTTTGCCCCCCCTTTCTCCTGCCATGGCTTCCTTCCTCCCCCCCCCCCACCTTAAAATGCCACTTCCCCCCTCCTCCCCTCCCCTCCCTCTCCGCACAGCCGCCGAGGTCTCCAGCACACACGAAATAAAAAGGGATTTTAATTACCTTTCAGCAAAAACAACAATTAGAGAAAATCACAGCTTGTGGGCTCCCCGCCCCCGGCTGGCTAATCGCGCTCCAGCGCTGAGCGCTGAGTAGACGGGGGGGGGGGGGAGCAGGAGGCCACCCCTCCATGCTCAAACACACACACACACACACATTCATAAGCTGGTCTGTTACCCATAGACAGGCCCTTTTACCTGCCTAATCGATTGTGCACGCTTGCGCACACCCACACGTGTTTTTCCAGGTTGTCAGCCTCGCAGCCCAGGCCTGGAGCAAAATCAGGGTGAGTTCCCTGCAACAATCCTATCACATTATTATTATTATTATTGTTATTATTATTATTATTATTATTATTGAACAACAAAATGCAGTGCGTGTGGCAGGGAGTATTATTTGCTTTGCAAAGCAGCAAAGCCAAGCGTGCCCAGAGACCACCTGGTTTTTGCCCCCCAAACCCCCAATGGTTCCCGGAGATAGCAGGATGTCATGACCGATGCTTGCTAGCTAGATAACCTGTTGAGTTTTTCAGCTGGGAGGCAAAGTTCTTTATCTGTGAGCATGTCATTTATTTGGTTTACATGCCAACCTTTATCCAAAGATACCGTATCTTCAGGTGCCAGGCAAAAACATTCCTTTCTAACCAGCCCTTAGCTATCAGTGCCCTTTTTTTCTCTGTGGGTGAGATTTTTCTAACGTGCTTGTTCTTTGCTTAAAATACTGTAAGCCGCTTTGAGTTGCAAAAAAGCAGCTAATAAATTTAATAAGCAACAACCGCAGCCAAGGCAGGTTTTGCTCTTGACTCCCACCCTCTCCCCAGCCTACTGCAGCTCGGTTGTAGAGCAGCTGCTTTGCACAGACAGGGTCCTGGGTTCAATTTCTGGCCTCTGAGACCTTGCAGTGCTGCCGGTGGTCAGTGCTGACAACACCCAGCTTGATAGATGGACCAAACTCTGGCTCTGTTCACTCCATCAAAGTGAGGGGGGGGGCATCCGCTTCTGTGCAAGGAAGTCAGTGGATGTGCTTTGGGGCAGGCACCCTTGTTGTGGGACTAATCCTGCTCCTGGGTGGGCTTGCCTGGTTTGCAGCCCCCTCCCCTTCCCTCTGCATGGCTCTATCCTGCAGGGGTTTCTTCCTTGGCGTGTGACAGGATTCTGGGCACTCGCCGTTGTCTATCCATAGGGAGGAACTGGCACAAAGCCCAGCATGACGGCATCTTGCAGGGTTTCCTGGAGAGGCTGGATGCATCTTAACCACACAGTGATCTCTGTGCTGCCCCTCCCTTCAGAGTCCCACCCAAGGAGTTCCCTTCCTTGGTGTGAACGCAGGAAGCTGACTTATACTGAGTCAGACCATCAGGCCCCCTCTAACTCAGGCTACACAGACTGGCAGCAGCTCTCCAGGGTCTTCAGAGAATCATAGAGTAGTAGAGTTAGAAGGGACCCCTGTGGTCATCTAGTCCAACCCGGCTGCAGTGCAAGAATTCTCAACTAAAGCATCCATGACAGGTGTCCACCCAACCTCTGCTTAAAAACCTCCATGGAAGGAGAGCCCACCATCTCCCAGGGCTGAGTGGCTCTCAGAAAGTTCTTCCTGTTGTTTAATTGGATTCTTCTTTCCCATAACTTGAAGTTGTTGGTTCAGTTCCTGCCCTTCGGAACAGAAGAAAACAAGCTTGCTCTGCCTTCCATCTGACAGCCCTTGAGATATTTAAAGATGGCCATCATATCTCCTCTCAGTCCTCTCTTTTCCAGGCTAAACATACCCAGCTCCTTCAACCGTTCCTCATCAGGCTTGGCTTCTGGGGCAAGGGACATTCGCAGTCCTGCCTGGAGATGCTGCAGTGTGAACTTAGAAACTTCTACATCAGAAGGTTGTCAGTTCGAATCCCCGCAACAGGGTGAGCTCCCGTTGCTCAGCCCTGCTCCTGCCAACCTAGCAGTTCGAAAGCACATCAAAGTGCAAGTAGATAAGTAGGTACCGCTCCGGCCGGAAGGTAAACGGCATTTCCGCGCGCTGCTCTGGTTTGCCAGAAGCGGCTTACTCATGCTGGCCACATGACCCGGAAGCTGTACACCAGCTCCCTCGGCCAGTAAAGCGAGATGAGCGCTGCAACCCCAAATTCGGCCATGACTGGACCTAATGGTCAGGGGTCCCTTAACCTTTACCTTACATGCAGAGCAGCTGGTCTGCCGCTGAGCTACAGCCCTTCCCCACCGGACTCCCTCACCCTACCCAGGTTGGGGAAGGAGGAAGAAAGACTTTGGACCAGTTGAGGCAGCACTGCGCAATGAGCACACATTCCTTTCTTTGTCACTGGAGTGAATGGGAGGCATTGATTTTTCTTAACTTCCATATGTATTGATTTAGTTTTCTTTGTTGCATTCATATCCCAGCTTTTCCTCCAGGGAGCTCAAGGTAGTGTTCATGGTTCTTCCCCTACCCATTTAATCCCCACGACAACAACCTTGTGAGGTAGGTGATGCTGAGAGACAGCTACGGGCAGTGGAAACTAAACTGGTCTTTCATTCTGCATCTAGCCAGCTCCTAAGAAAGCAGCAAGAGAGAGAAACTCAAACACACTGGGTTTTCAGCTCTCCAGATTTATGGGGGTAATCCTGAGATTCACTTCTGCTTCCATGGTGGGGTTTCCCCCCCCCCCCCTGCATGTGCTCTTTGCTTACAGCTTGCTGTTTGTCGGGCTTTTGCAGGTGGTTGGAGAGGAGCAAGGAAATAAATAAATGCATTTAGGGGGTGCGGCACTTAGGGGAATCTCCCTGAATGCAAGTTTCTGCAAACTCCCCCCCCCATCCGCCGCCCCCAGAATGGCTGTGGGGCCGGAGGGAGCCCAATTCATGTTGCCAAGGAAGCCTGGAACCATTATCCCAGCTGGATGCATTAGTGCTTAGAACCACGGTTTGGCGGATTGGGGGGTTGAGAGAGAGAGAGAGAGAGAGAGAGATTTGCTGCCTGAGATAGTAATTGTCGCCGTTCGGCCCAGCTAATGGCTGTTATGATTAAGTTCTATTATGGAGCCCGCGCTCAGGAGCGGGTGGGTGGTGGTGGGGTGTTTTGTTTTTTTTTGTCGGGGAGCTCAGCGGGGAAAGGAGGGGATTGACAGCTTTTCAGATGGAGAGACGGAGCGTGCTGCTCCTTGGCCGCACTGCCCCGCCCCCCCACCCCCACCCCAAAAGGATCTTAATAGCAGCCCACGTAATAACCCAGGAGTGGTAACGGAGAGTGCACATTGCTTTGCAAGAGCAGGCGGGCGGGAGTTGGATGAGAGGCTTCGCCCTCCCCCTTTCCCCTCCGCAAAGGACACTTTCTCATCTATTCCCGGGTTCGTTCTGCAGGCAGGCCCCAGCTGCTTGCCACCCCCCTTTCTCTTCCTCCAGCCCCCGCCTTTTGCTGCTATCTGGGGAGCCGACCTTCGCCTCGCTGGCTTCCAAGCCTCTGTTGATGCGATTGTTGATGCGACCCCATGCACCCATTGTTGCAGAGTAATGAGGCTAGCAGCAGCCAAGCAACCTGTGGCACCTGAAAGGTGTGCACATATTTGGTGGAATAAGCTCTCGGCTGCTGCAAACGTGGTTTCCCCCATGTCAGATTGCCACGCACCCCCCTACATGCAAAGACACCTCCAGGCCATGCTGCGGCAGAGACAGCCTCATGTTACAGTAAATGAAGCACCCACGCACAAATGTGGGAGACCCTCTCCCCACCACATCCTGTCTCTGAGCATGTTGCTCTGTCCCTGGGGAACACTCAGCTCTCGAGCCTTTAGTGGTCCTTGAACTGGCACGCAGCTGACCTGATGAATGCGAGGCAAGGGCTTGGCTTGGGTGCTACCCGTCCGCTCTGGCCAAAGGAGGGAGGTCAACCAAACCAGCAGCCAAGACCTCTTCATATCAGTTGGCTACAGGTGATCATATATCCTGCCTGACCCTGACAAGCTGGAAGGTGTGCAGAGGAGGGCAACCAAGATGATCAAGGATTTGGAAACCAAGCCTGATGAGGAACGGTTGAAGGAGTTAGGTGTCTTTAGCCCATAGGTAGGCATACTAAGGCCGGATCTGGCCCAATCGCCTTCTAAATCCGGTCCGCGGACAGTCCAGGAATCAGCATGTTTTTACATGAGTAAAATGTGTTCTTTTATTTAAAATGCATCTCTGAGTTATCTCTGAGACAGTGGACCGGCCTCCTGCTGAAAAAGTTTGCTGTCCCCTGGTTTAGCCTGAAGAACAGAAGACATAGAGATATTAGGATGACTACCTTTGGATATCTGAAGGGCCATGGAAAGTGGAACAAGCTTGTTTGCTCCTGCTCTGGAGGGTAGGACCCAAGCTGATGGATTCAAATGACAAGGAAGGAAATTCCAACTTAACATCGTTTTCAATTTTTTTTACTGTTTTAGCTTTTGTAAATCACTTTGTGATTGTTGTTTTTTTTACAGTCATAAATTTTATGAAATAAACGAAAAAGTTTGGTTTTTTCCTACTCCAGAGGCTAGGACCCGACCCAATGGAATCTAGTTACAAGGAAGGAGATTCTGACTAAACATCAGGAAGAACTTTCTGACAGTAGGATTTGTTAGACAGATGGATGGACTCCCTCGGAAGGTGCTGGACTCTGTCACTGGAGTTTTTTAAGCAGAGGTTTGATGGCCAGCTGTCAGGGATCCTTGAGCTGAGATTCCTTGGACCAGATGGCCTCAGTGTCCCTTCTAACTCTACAGTTCTAGGATTCTAAGTTGACAGCCATCACTGCCTCCCATTGGAGCAAGTTTCATAGTTTAGCCAGTTCACTTGGCCTGCCCTGGGGTCCTGAGAAGGAACTGCTTTGTGCTGGAGAGATGGCACTCTGCACATGCTCCAGACACACACTTTTTCACCTGCTCGCTCACAGGTGAAGTGAAGTTGAGTTCCAGGTAAAGTGCAGTGTCTTGCTTCTGGAAGAGATTCTGGGGCTCAGCCTCTTCGCTTGTGTGCTTAGTCATTCCTGCTGAAAAAAGAGCTGACACAACCTTTGCTACGAGTTTGCATTGTGTTCCCACTCATCATGAATGTTCCATTAAGGGACATTCTGGTCTGTGTGCCTGCATATGCTGTAAGAGGAAGCACAGGGTCTTACAGAATTGCCAGCAGCAGCATCTAAAAGGCGAGTCGCCTTCACCAAGATAACTACCTGAGCATTCGGATGTCAATATCCTCCTTTGTGTGTTTCTGTTGTTCAAACCTCAGAAGCACAGAGAGGGAATTGGTGGAAGCTGCAAGGAATGCAGAGACCTGGAACAAAAGGGACCAGGAGAGGCAAAGAGGAAACGTGTCTTCCTTTGCTTTGGGCCAGGCCTCCCCCGGACGCATTTGCAACAGCCCCGCACCCCTGCCTCACCCCCCTTGCTGATATCTCTTGGCACTTTCTGATTCACGATGGCCTCTGCCTGCCTGTATATTGGCAACATGGTGGATAATGAATTGTTTACGACCAGTAGTTCTGTTTTTCAATGAGCTGAAACGTGTCGGATAATAAGTTGTTTATAAGCCGTAAATCTCGGCCACCATAAACCCAAAGCGCATCACTTAATGGTGAATTGCAAGCTCTGGTTCCCTTCGGCAGCCAGCCTGGAGCCCAGCCGCCTCATTGGGTGGCGAGTCGATGGGAAGTGGGATGCTCTTCCCCATTAGACGGCGCTGGGATGATAAAAGCTGCGAGGCTCCGTCCCGTTGGACGGGGGAATTGGGGATGAGTTGCGAGGTCCGTCCCCATTGGTTAGCAGATTGATGATGAGCTGTGAGCCGGTGTCCCGTTGGGTAATGAATTACTCGGAGACATATTTGCTCAGGAGAAGTAAATCTGTTTGGTACATTGTTGCCGAGTTGTGATTATATTGTAGCCGCGCTCTGTAAATCACGAAGAAGGGCCTTGATATACGGCAACCAAGCCCGGCTGCAGAAGGAGGCAGCGCTGTGTGTCTCTACAGCCGCACCAGCAGGCTGGGCCTTGGATGCATTGAAGTAAGCCAAGCAGCCAGCAGCTCCCATCTTATACTGGTCTTGCATTGCCACCAACCCATGGGGTTGGTTGTGCCTTGACTGTGTGCCAATATACAGCCAATCCAACTCATGCTGGCAAAAACATGGCGGCAGGAATGGTAATGGGTAACATATTGAATGGTGGTGTTTAGACCTGGCTCTGAAACCTTTGCTATCTGCACCAAGATTATAATCTGGAAGCCAAGCCTTGAGGAGGAATGTTTGAGAGAGTTGGGTATGTTGAGCCTGGGGAAGAGGAGACCGAGAAATGGCATGATAGTCATCTTCAAATATCAGGAGGGCTGTCACATGGAGGATGGAGCGAGCTTGTTTTCCTCTGCTCTGGAGGGTAGGACCCAAACCAATGGATTCAAATGACAAGGAAGGAGATTTGACAGTGTTTAGCAGTGGAACAGACTCCCTCGGAAGGTGGTGGACTCTCTCCTTCATTGGAGGTTTTTAAGCAAAGGTTGCACAGCCACCTGTCAGTGATTCTTCAATTGAGATTTGTGTATTGCAGGGGGTTGAAACAGATGACCCTCAGGGTCCCTTCCAACTCTGAAATTCTGTTATTCTAAGGCAAGCTTGATTCTGTGACGAGAAAATTCAGATGTAATTTTAGCATCCCTTATTCTGCTTCTACCAGCTACTGGGAAGATTTAAGGTGCGGAATTCTGAAGAACCAATTGCAGCCTCCTCTGGCTTTTGCAATTGCCAACACTTATTTATAGTCATAAGGTCTAGAAACTTGCCTGTTGTCTTTTTGAAAAAAATGAAAGTTTCAGATTTGCAGAATGGTCGCCATGATTCAGAATGGAGTGCGGAACCAGTTAAGCACTCATCCCTGGTGGTAGGCAATTGCATCTTGCCAATACAGAGAACCAACAAGGCATTGCTGGACCACAACTCCCATCACCCTGACCATTGGCCTTGCTGGCTGAGGCTGATGGTAGCTATAGTCTGTTAATCTGGAGGGTACCATATCGGCCTCACTGAGCCAGCGGCAGGGTGGTTGTTCCTGATGGCAGGCAAGGAAATGCAAAATTCTCTGCAGAAGAAGAGTTGAGATTATCTGTGAGCAACTCACAATTGAGTGCAAGGAAGAGCGAAAAGCCAAGGGATTTCTGTAGGCAGTTGTTGTTTCGGGATGACAACCCTGAGTCAACAAACTTCAAGGAGGCTTCCCAGATCACCTAAACTAGTGCTTAATAGTGATGCAGTGCCTCATTGCGCCCAGGCTGGGGAAAGGAATACGGATTTCGTAATTCACATGTTTTATCAATTTAGCTCTTGCACAGAGCTAGAAAAGTTTCAGGAAAGAGCAGCTAAAATGATTTGCATCTAGAACTTCTTAATTTGGAAAACAAGTAGGGGGCATGGCAGAAGCACATAAAAGAATGCCCAGTGTGGAGAAAGCGGGTAAAGAAAAGTTTTTCTTCCTCTCCCACAATAATAGATCCCAGGGCCATCCAGTGAAACTAAGAACAAACAAAAGGACCACTTTCCCCCACAGCTGTGGGATTTGCTCACACAAGATATAGTGATTGGCACCAATTTTGGGACGCGGGTGGCGCTGTGGGTAAAACCTCAGTGCCTAGGACTTGCTGATCATAAGGTCGGCGGGGTGAGCTCCCGTCGTTCGGTCCCAGCTCCTGCCCACCTAGCAGTTCGAAAGCACCCCTAAGTGCAAGTAGATAAATAGGTACCGCTTTATAGCGGGAAGGTAAACGGCGTTTCCGTGTGCTGCGCTGGTGCTGGCTCGCCAGTTGCAGTTTCGTCACGCTGGCCACGTGACCCGGAAGTGTCTTCGGACGGCGCCAGCTCCCGGCCTCTTGAGCGAGATGAGCGCACAACCCTAGAGTCGGTCACGACTGGCCCGTTTGGGCAGGGGTACCTTTACCTTTACCTTTACCAATTTTGGATGGCTTTTAAAAAAGAGTCGGGTGAATTCTTGAAGGATAAGGCTTCCAGTCATGATGGCTTCATAGAATCGTAGAATTGTAGAGTTGGAAGGGACCACAAGGGTCATCTAGTCCAAGCCCCTGCAATGCAGGAATGTCAGCTAAAGCATCCATGGCAGATGCACATCCAGCCTCTGCTTAAAAACCTCCAAGGAGGGAGAGTCCACAACCTCCCAAGGGAGACAGTTCCACTGTCAAACAGCTCTTACTGTCAGAAAGTTCTTCCTGCTGTTTAGTTGGAATCTCCTTTCTTGTAACTTGAAGGCCGTTGCTTCAAGTCCTACCCTCCAGAGCAGCAGAAAACAAGCTTGCTCCCTCTTCCATGAGATGGTCCTTGAGATATTTGAAGATGGCTATCATATCTCCTCTCAGTCTCCTCTTTTCCAGGCCAAACATACCCAGCTCCTTCAACCGTTCCTCATCAGGCTTGGTTTCTAGACCCTTGACCCTCCTCTGTGACCTACAGTAGCAGAGGCAGCATACTTCTGAATACCAGGATACCCTTGAATGCCAGTTGCTGTGAATCACAAGCAGGAGAATGTTGTAATCGGGTCCTGCTGCCCCGAGGCATCTAGCTGGCCACTGTGAGAAGAGGATGCTGCACTGAGTGGCCAGTCTGAGTCTATAGCAGCGGATGCCAAGCTGTGTGTTGGTTTGTCTTTAAGATGCTGTTGGATGTTTGCAGAGTCCCGCTCCTGCTGCCCTGTTGAGGGTCGGAGCTGCTGGCCACAGAAAGCAACAGAGCCCAGCCTCCTCTGAAGTTAACATGGGAGCTGTGCGTGGAGGTTGTTCAGCACCTTGGAGAGCGGATTTATAGCTTGGCTTAGGAGAGCTGGAGTCCTCTCCAGCCCTTAAGCTACTGATCCAAGCCTGGATAGCTGTCCTGGCCATAGCTGCCAACGTTTTCCTTTTTTTTAAGGGAAATTCCCTTATTCCGAATAGGATTCCTCGCAAGAAAAGGGAAGAGTTAACAGATATTGTCCTGGCTCAATCACCAGCTGCACGTTGGAGAGCTCTTAAGGCTGGGATGATGGGAGCTGGACTCTTAGAAATAGGAATGTTGAAAGATTTGAAAAAGGACTTTTTCACACAGCTTGCAGTTCAACTGTGGAACTCACTCCCACAAGAGGCTGCGATGGCCACTGAGCTGAGTCGCTTTAAAAGAGGATTTGACGAATTCTCGGCTATCAGTGGTTGCCAGCCGTGGTGTCTCTTCCTCTGCAGTTTCAGGCAGTGATGTTTCTGAATACCAGTTGCTGGAAACTTTAGGAGGAGAGAGGGCTCTTGTGCTCCGATCCTGCTTGCAGGCTTGCCCTGGACCTCTGGCTGGCCAAGGTGAGAATTGCATGTTGGACTAGGTGGGTCCCCTCTGGCCCGACGCAGCAGCCGGTCCCTCCTTGCGTTTCCATGCAAGCAGCGCTTCTCAGAAATCCTCTCTGGCTAAGGCAAAGCAAGTTTGGAGTTGGCTGATTGGGCTTTGCCTCAAGGGGAAGACACATTAATGGAATCAAATACCTCTGTGAAGACAGGGCAAGACAGCTAAAATTGGGAATTGAGCTTTTGATAAGGCATTTAAATAGAGTTCGCTTCCAGGAGAATAGAGGGGTTTGGTCTGTAAATGATCCGAGAAGCTGTTAACAGACTCCTTTCTCTCGGCGCTTCTCTCGCTCTTCAGGTTTGTGCTGCTAAGGTAGCACTGGGGACTCTTTTGCAGCAAGGTGTGTAATTTTAGGAGGGGAAACTTAATTTTTGCACATTTCTTTGGTGATGGGGTCTTAAAAAAATATGTTTTTGGGCGTGAGGAATTCAGATCTGCTGTTACTTTTGTGATTAGACATTTAACTTGGTAAGGCTACATTTAATGGAGAAGCACCTAAAATGCTCTTGGAAAACCAAATAATTATAATTTTACCTTCAGAAAATGTTAGGTAATGCTAAATACTACTACTATACTACCACTACTAAATAATAATAATAATAATAATAATAATAATAATAATAATAATATAACTGCAAGTACCGTATTTTTCGCCCCATAGGGCGCACCGCCCCATAGGACGCACCTAGTTTTTTTTGGGGGGGGGAATAAAGAAAAAAATTTATTTCCCCCCCTGGCGCGGGGGAAGCCTGAGTTTCCCCCGACCCCAGCCCCCAGAACAGCCTGCTGTCCGCAAGCCTAGGGAGCCGCGCCGATCTCCCCAAGCTTGCGGAGAGCTGCACGAAGCCCGGGCGTGCTCTTCAGTGCGCCCCAGGCTTCGGAGTGCAGGCAGCTCTGCGCAACCTTTGGGAATCCGGCGTGGCTCCCTAGGCTTGCGGATACTGTGCCTGGGGGGGACCGCACCAACCCCTCTCGCTCTCCAGGCTTCAGCGAAAGCCTGCATTCGTCCCATAGGACACACATACATTTCCCCTTCATTTTTGGAGGGGAAAAAGTGCGTCCTATAGGGCGAAAAATACGGTACTTGGCAATTGTTTTACACACATTTTACTTGCCAAGTAAAACTAAATTACATTAATTTAACCAAAATATCCTTTGAATCCCCAAATCATGTTGGCGGCATGTTTGAATTCCCAAGTCATGTAGTGGGCATTTTTGGGGTATACGTTTGGTATATGGGGAGATGGCTGTCAAACCTAGACCTGGAAAGTGTGTGCTTCTGATTAGGTCAGTTGCTTTTTGCTGGAGGAAGTTGGAAACAGCATTGGTTGCTCTGTGGAGCAGGTGAATCATAGAATCAAAGAATTGCAGAGTGGGAAGGGACCCCAAAAGCCATCTAGTCTAGCCCCCTGCAGTGCAAGAATCACAGCTGAAGGTTCCCTGACAGAAGGCCACCCAACCTCTCCTTAGAAACTCCCAAGAAAGTCCCTTCCGCTCTTGAAGAGCTCTTAACCACCAGAATGTTCTTGCTAATGTTTAGTCAGAATCTCCTTTCTTGTACTTTGAATTCATCGGTTTGGGTCCTACGCTCCGGAGCAGCAGAAAACAAGCTTGCTCCATCTTCCATGGGACAGCCCTTCAGATAAGGCTCTAAGGCAGCCTTTCTCAACCTGTGGGTCCCCAGATGTTGTTGAACTACAACTCCCATCACCCCTAGCTAGCAAGGCCAGAGCTCAGGGATGATGGGAGTTGTAGTCCAACAACATCTGGGGGCCCACAGGTTGAGAACCGCTGCTCTAAGACCACCGTCTCCTGGGGATGATTGCAGGCTTAGCCAACACGGAGCCTTGTTGCTGTCTGTTCTACATTGCAGGGTCTGCTGCTGACACACCTTTTCTACCTCAGGAGTGAGCCTGAGGCTGCGCCATCCATGGCACCACAGACCCCTGAGGCTCCTCGTTTGAGCTTCTGAATTTCTGTGCTTCCGTTGCACCTGCACGAACAGTTCTCGATCCGGAGGTGTTGCTTGGCGCATAGCTAAGCTGTGGAACTCCCCAGTTTAGGCAGCTTCAAAGAGGGCTTAGACCAGGGGACGGAAAAATTTTTTAGCCGCAAGCCAGTCTGCTGTCCCTCAGACCTTGTGGTGGACTGGAGAAGCGGTACCGGTGGGAGGAAGCTGAAAGAAGAGGCAAGGGGGGCAAGTAGTCCTCCTCCCCACCGCCAGCCCCAGCTGCTGCACTTACCATCCCAGGGGCTGCCGCCGCCACTGCCACCACCACTGCTGCTTCTTGTGGGTAGGCAGAGTGAGCTTGTCCACTCCATTCTCTGGCCCACAGGAGCACCAGGGCAGCAACGGCGGAGGGAAGATGAGTGTCACAAAAGGGCTGGCTCCGGAGAGGGGCTGCGTAAAATGGCACTCAGCCAGCTCAGCCCAGCCCTCGTCCTCCTCTAGGCAGGGCGGGGAGAAACGAGGAGGAGGGAGGTAGGGGGCACCACCGCGGTGTGTGTGTGTGGGGGGGAATGGAATGGTGCAGGAGGGGAAATGGCGCAGCCCGAAAAAACAGAATCCCCACGCCAATCCACGGACAGTCCGCAGGCCGGATCCTTTTATATATATATATATATATATATATATATATATATATATATATATATATATATATAAATTTTTATTAGTTTTTCAACATATCATTTTCAACAATAATTAAACATACTTTCATATCTTATACCATTTTTTTAACTTCCATTAATCACATCTGAAAATTTTCCTATCCACTTAATATACATTTCTTACTTTCACTATTACATTTAAATATCATAACTAATATCTCTATTCTTTCTCTACTTTGCAATGTTTCATGTATTTCTCCTTACAAAACTTCTTGTAGTCCTACTAGCGTAATTTGTTGATTGCAGTTGCTCTTCAAATAGTTTGCATATTTCTTCCAATCTTCTGTGAATCTCTGGTCCCACAGGTTTCCAATCCTTCCTGTCATTTTATCTAATTCTTCGTAGTCCATTAATTTTGTCTGCCATTCTTCTTTCGTCGGAATTTCTTCCTGCGGGCCAGATCCTGAAGGCAGTTGGGCCTGATCTGGCCTCCGGGCCTTAGTTTGCCGACCCCTGGATTAGACAAATTCGTGGGGGAATAAAGGCTATCAGCAACTGCTAGCCATGATGGCTGGATGTTAGGTTCAGGATCAGAGGCACCATGCCTCTGAAGACCAGTTAACTGGGAACTGCAACTGGGAGAGCTGGTTTTGAACGCGTGTCTCGCTTCTGGGAAACAGGACAATTGATTAGATGGGACCCCTTGGACCTGATCCAGCTACAGTCTCTGCTTAATTTCTGAGTAAGTGAAAGAGAGGCTTTTAAACAAGAATCGTTAGTAGCATCTGCCCAGTATACTTTTTTTGCATTTTCATTAAGGGGGGAGGGGCAAGACACAGGGAGTCCTTTTAAGCATCTTGTGTGAAAACAGCCTCCCAAGTGGAAAAGTGGGAGCCTTGAGTGCCCTTCTCTGTGCATTCCCCCCCTCAGCCACCAAGACAGGGCTCTCCAAGCGCTGATTTCTAAGAGGATGCTAATTGATAATTACCCAGTTTGCAAGCCCTTGTGACTAGCAGGAGCTGAAGGGCTCGGAACTGGTGTTTTCACAGTGTTTGAAGAGGGCAAAGAGGAGGAAGAGGGGGAGGTCCGCTTCCGGACAAAAGGAATCCTGGCTACAAATCCAAGTGAATGGGATATCTGGCCAGGCCTCTTAGGGTTCACTGGCGATGGGGATTAAATTCTGCACCCCGGCAGTCTGGATTCTGTGTCAAGAAAAGCTGTGGTTTGGTTCAGGTTGTGTAACAGATACATTTGCATTTGTGTGCAAAGTTTTTTTCCCTCTTTGTGTGTCTCTGTGTGTGTTATTATATTTTATTAAGTTTATTGTGGCTTTCTTTCTCATGGGTGAGTGTTTGGGTATGCAGGGGGCTGAAGCCCCGCTCCCCCTTCACTGGAAAATCTTTCTCAGTCCCTCTCTGTGGTTCAGCAAGCAATTTGTGTTCAGATTTCAGCTTCTCAACAATAAGGACGAGAGAGAGAGAGAGAGAGAGAGAGAGAGAGAGAGAGAATGAAAGTTGAGATTCTTGTGGCAGCTGAAACCTGTATCCCTTTGCATATCTCCCAGTGCTGCAGATTCAGTTATACCTGCTGCCCTGAATACGACTTCCTTACAGGAGTATTGAGGTGCCTTTGTTTAACCCAGAGAGGATGGGGATGTTGGGAATTTCCATTCCTCCTTTAGTTGCAGACATGGAACTGTTGCATGTCACATGTCTGTTTACATACCAGCACAGCTTGCTGGGAACTTCCCTTTGTGTATAGCTTTTGTTTTTCACTGTCTCTCTGAAGAGAAGAAAGGGAGACGACATGTTTTCTTTGTCTTGGTTTATGCTTGATAAATCTTTAGCTGTTAGTATGTTTCCACAAGCCTCACGCCTGTTCTGTCTGCGCAGTATGCTCTGCTAATATAGCGTGCTCTGGCTTTTGAAGTCTGAGTCACTGATTTGCGTCGCACCAGAGATCGGGGGATTGTCACGGCTGGAAGGGCATGATCCAGCTGGGGGCTTGCCAGCTGGCATCTCGACCCCCAAAAGATGCCAACAAGGGATGCCCAGAAAAATGGACCTCACCCCCCATAGGCCAGAGGTCTCCAGGACCCTGGAGCAAAGAGCCATTCTCCTGGACATGTTGAGTTCAAATGGAAGCTGTGAGTGTAGCCTCCAGTTTGCAAATGCCGGTGCCAGAGTAGGCTATACTGAATGGAGTGTAGAAATAGAGTTGGAAGGGGCCGCAAGGGCCATCTAGTCCACCCCCTGCAATGCAGGAATCTTTTTGCCCAATGTGGGACTCGAACCCACTACCCTGAGATTTAAAATCTTGTTCTCTGCCGACTGTAGTGTTCTGGTTCCATATAAGACAGCTTCCTAGGTTCACATTTAACAGGTGAAACCACCACCCTGGCAATCCATTCAGTGTAGGGATGTGGAACCTTCTGCCCTCCCAATTGGACTCCAACACCCATCAGCCCCTTCCATGTCACGGATGATGGGAGTTGTAGTCCAGCAATATCTGGCGGGCCATGGGGTCTCTATCCCTGATTAAACTGGAATGCAGATCCTGCACGGACCCCCTAAAGATGGCAGGTTATGAACCGTTAAAGGGGGTATTTAAGTTTTAGGATGTTCCCCAAGAGTGGCTTTGGGGCATCCAGGTTCTCCCACCCAGCTGTGGCGCATTTCATCCCACCTCTCCTCCTACTTTGGCCAAAAGCCGAATTGCCTGCTTTGGCCTCCCTAATTCTCTGACACCACGTTAACCAGCCACCCGCTCTTTCCCCCCTCATCACGCCTGTGTGACATTCATCCTTGCAGACAGCTCTTTAGCTCTCGCTAAGTGGGGCCTCATCCTGCCCAGGGGCTGAGCCCTTCCGAAAAGGAGTAATTGAATTGAGACCTTTCTCAGTAAGAGTGATGGGGACTCAGCACCACGCTGGGTGGAGCCCTTTCCAGCATTGGCTAGTTCTGAGAAGCCAGAGAATATGGAGAGGAACACGTCTCCCCACAATTATCAGCACTGGTGAATGGCAGCTCCCTGCTGCTGAGAGTTGATGCGCCTTTGCATTCTTTGAGGTACAAGTCGAAGAGGGGGGGGGGAGATTCTTTCATTATTGCAGCCTCCTCTGGCCGCCTTTTAAACATTATCGTTTAGCGTCTTGTTCCTCCAGCTCTGGGCATGTCCCCGTCTTTAAAGTAAACAAGAGCTTGCGTTACTTTTTCAATGCTCCTGAGCACGTACAGAGTTTTCCTCCGCACTGACCAGCTATATGTCTGGTTACCACAAACAGACAGATGAGGGGCGACCTCTCTCTCCATCTGCATGCGTTTTAACACCTCCCTTGAAACAGTCCAAAATTTATTTTGAAATCCCGTGAGGAAAGTCCGCCATGGTATGACTTCAGAAACTGAGGTCCAATAATTCTTGGAGAACAGATGAGGTCCCTGCAGACTGGAGGCAGGGAGCTGCTGAAGCATGGCCCATCACATAGAATAATAGAATTGTAGAGTTGGAGGTCAGACTATCCTCCACCAGGGCCAGGGCCTTTTCAGTGATGGCTCCAACCTGGTGGAATGCTCTTTCCCATGAGACCAGGGCCCTGCAGGATTTAACCTCCTTCCACAGGGCCTGTAAGACAGAGCTATTATGCCTGGCCTTTAATTTGAACTTAGCCTGATCTTTTATTCCCCTTCCTTCCCTCCCCCTCCCCTTTTATGAAGATCACCCGCTCTGGGATCCCACAGCTAATTCTCCCCTTGTCTCCTCGCTGGCCCAAGTAGGACCAATTCAGCCAGCTAGCCCTGGGGATTATCTAATGCTTATTTCCCCTAAATGGATGTTTGAATTTTATTGTTATTCATGTTTTTATACTGTATTTTATGCTGCTTTTATAATTAAGTGTTTTAAATTTGTTGTTAGCCACCCTGACCCGGCTTTTGAACTGGGAAGGGTGGGGTATAAATAAAATTATTATTATTATTATTAACCCCCTGAATGTAGGAATCTCAACTAAAGCATCCATGGCAGATTGGCCATCCAACCTCTGCTTAAAAACCTCTGAGGAAGGAGAGTCCACAGTCTCCCGAGGGAGATTGTTCCACTGTCAGGCAGGGTGCCAGAGAGTTTTCCCCTGATGTTTAGTTGGAATCTCCTTTCTTGTAACTTGAAGCCATTCGTTTGGGTCCAAAAATGTGTACGCCAGGCAGAATACCGTAGATTCTGGCATATTAGGTGACTGGGTGTATAAGATGACCTCCCAAATTGGCAGCTGCCAATTTGGGGGGTCGACTTATATGCCCAGTCTTATACGCGGCAGCTTTGCTGCCCAGCGAACCCATACCTGGTGTATAAGACGATCCCTGACTTTTTAGAGGATTTTCCAGGGTTAAAAAGTCGTCTTATACGCTGGAATCTACGGTATATGCAGAAATGCATAGACAGTATTTGAGAGCGGATTCAACAAATTCATGGAGAAAAGGGCTGTTGATGCCTAATGTACCTTCTGCAGCTGGGGCCAGCAATACTTTTGAATCCAAGTTGCTGTGAAAACCGCAGGAGAGAGGGCTCTTGCACTCGGATCCTGCTTGCTTGTTTTGCATCTGGTTGGCCACTGATAGCAGGATGTTTGGGCTAGAAGGGCCACTGGCCTCATCCAGCAGCCTCTTCCTATGTTCTTAAGTAGCTGGGGTGGTGGGAGGTGTAGTCAAAAACACCTTCGAGAGCACCAGGCTGGCGAAAAGCCTGCCGAACGTAGGCTGAGGCCCCTTTAGCCAAAGTCGCAGGCATTGTGCATGTGTGGGTTTCGGAGCTGAGCGCGGCTCCCTTCCCCTCCATTTAACCTCTCTGGTCCTTGCTGAGGCTGCAACATCCCGCGAGGGGGTTAAACTCTGTGCGCTTCGCAGAGACTCTAATGCATACTGCGGCTGGCTGCCAGGGCCCAGGAGAGACCCGCGTTTTATACACATCGATTACACACTTAACCACCATTTGCGTTTTTATCCCTCACCTTTTCTTCCCCTCCGAGCAGCAGCAAAAGAGGAGCGTCTCCCTTCTCTGCGTCTCCCCCCTCCCCATCTCTCTCTCTTACACACACAAGTAAATACACACAGCCTTTGTGCATTTTTTTTATTTTTGCGGGTCCGGCTACGCAAGAGTGGCAGAGGGCAATTAGCATTCCGGGGCTCTTTTTAAATCTCCCTAAGCAATATAGATAAGACAGCGGGTTAGATGAGAACAATTTAATTAAGCCGTAGAAAGGAGGCCCTTTGCCGGCGCCCTCGGTTCGTGCGCTCTGCCAACCGCGCCAACCTTCCAGTGTGGGACTGGCTTGGTGCCACACAGAACACACCCTGCCTGCTGCCCCCTCCCCTCTGTGCAGGATTAATAGCCCCTTTGGCTTCTTCTTCCCTCTCCCTGCCCCCCCCAAAAAAGCTGAAATTAAAAACCAAAACTGGGATTAAAAACAACCAAACACTTTTTCTTCCAGTATGTGGCTAGTGCCAGGAAAACCTACAACCCTCTTGAGGTGTGGCAGCCATCAGCTGTCCTCATTACTCAGTGAGATTTGAGGCTACTTGTCCCAGAGGGGAGATAAACAAGCAAATGTTAAGGACTAGGTGCTGTTTTCTTTTAAAAAATCACATTTTTTGTTGTTGTTTAAAAATTGTGTTTACATCCTGTGCTTCTGCCACAGAGCAATGGCCTCGGTTCGACGACATTATTATTATTCCAACAGGTCTGCAAGGAACATTAGGCCGTGATGGGCAATGAAATATCCCACTCAGCTTCATGGCTGAGCAGGGATTTGAACCCAGGTCTCTCTGGCCCGGAATTTTTAACTACTCAAGAAGATGTAACTCTTTAATGCATGCGGATCAATAGGAATCGCTAGCGTTTTTAGTGCCTTTATAATGAATGATACGTGCTAAGATCCCGTGGGAAGGTGGGGAATCCTGTCGGAGCAGCTGTGTGATTAAAATATAAATTGCAATGATGTGTGCGGTATTTTTTGTTGTTTCGGTACTTCAAGTCAATTGGGTGTAGCTTGGCATTTGGTTTTAAAATTTATCGCAGCCCCTTCGAACAGGGCAGGTTCAGTATGTAGGTGCAGAAACGGTCAGCTTTTAAAAGTTTTTGCTTAGCAAATCTTGTCAACCCAAGAATCCTGCATCTAAGAAAGACCAACTCTGAGGGAATCCTTTCTTCCAGATAAAAAGTTGTCCACACCCTATCATCCAACCACAGGGCTTGCATGTATGTCAAGAGATAGCATTTTCCTCCCCCCTTTCTGATACAGGCACTGGACCTTTAAAAAAAGCCCTTGATAGGCAGAAATTCAATAGGAGAATCTTGCAGTGATGGGGAAAGGTTTTGCCTGTTGCATTTCTGCTGTCTTGCAGGTGGTGAGGGGTCTGCGTTTCAGCTGACAGAGGGTGAGGAATTTCTGCTTGGCTCCTTTCCTGAAACTAACTGATTTCAGTAGTTTTCTCCTTGCAGGTGTCATTAGATAATAAAAAAGCGTGTGTTTTATTCTGTAATGGCTTCTCGGCTGAATCAGACCTCTAGCCCAGCTTTCTGCTTCCAATAAGGTCAGCCAAATACTTCTGGCAGATAACTGGGGCAGCCTGCTTACAACTCATGTTTAAACTTAGGTGCTGTTTTTTCCCAACCGTCTGCTCAAAAGCATTCTCACATTTCTTCCCCTCCCCCCTAAAAAAATCCTTATCTGTGCCTGCTACAGTTGTGTGACAGGCAGAAATTCACCAGGTGTAGTGTTTCCTGTCACGGCATCCTCATCCTGGAGTTAGCCACGCCATCTGAATTTCTGCCCATATTTTCATGTTGAAAATACCATGCATCCCGTGTCTGTGTGCATTTGTGTGTTTGCCTGCATGCATGTGATACTGCTGCAAATTGCATGCAGAAGCAGCTCTGTGCAGGAAATTTCATGCATGTACAGTTTGCCATGCTTAAACCTTGGAATCCACGAAGCAGCCTAGGGAAAGTGATCTGAGAGCCCTTCTACCTACTCAAGCATTTTGCGGCTGGAGATGAGTGCGTTGGACTCTCTCTAATGGATCCCTCGGGGTGTAAGCAATTGTGTTACGTATTCATTGTCTTTAAATGTTGCTAACCAGCCGTGAGCCTTCTGGGACAGGGCAGGTTACAACCCAAATAAGATGGATTTCCTGCAACTCTGGCTCCGGTTGCATCCGAGGGTGACCTCAGGGGCTAGTGTGGAGTAACTGATGGAGTGGCAACCTGCAAGGTCCTCACACTGCTTTGTAGAATGGCACACCCACTAACGGAGGGGAGAGAAACCTGTGGACCCCTGAGGCATTGCTGTACTCCAACTCCTAGATAGCTCAGTTGGTTAGAGCAACCTGCTGATACTGCCAAGGTTGCAGGTTCAATCCTCGTATGGGACAGCTGAATATTCCTGCATTTTAGGGGGTTAGACTCTACAATTCTATGAATCTGTGATTCTAACTCCCAGTTTGAACATCCAGAGGGCTGCAGGTTCCCAAGCTGTCAGGAGTGAGCCAGCAGTAAATCACACCATGCAAATTGCAATTGACTTTTTATTAGCAAGAACATGATCTTAGCAGAGTGCCAGGCCTCATGAGCACAGCAGCTCATCCCTCGTAGGTTTTGCCCCCACGAAGCAGTTGCTGAGACTGAAGGTCCCCACATCCCCATAGTCTCCTAAGCCCCACTCCCCTCCAGGGTTTCTCCCAAGCAATCTGAGACTGTACCAGTCTCTCCTCTGTGCTTTTCATGTCTCTCCTGGTTCTGGGATACCAGGGGGAAGGGAAGCTTGTTCCAGCAGGAGATACCTGGGACTCTTCACCAGCCAGACTCATCTTTGCCTCTTGGCCTCTCCTGCTTCAGCTGTTGCCTCTCATTCTGGACTTGTCTCTGCCACAGACTCTCCCAGCTCACTAAGCCCCGTTGCCTCTTCAGCTTCCGACACCACCTCCTCCCAGTCTTCTCCCTCTGTCCACCCACCAATCCCTGGACTCTTAGCCTTCTTCCCTCGGGGCTTCCCCTGCTGGTTCCTCCCACAATTCCTCTGCGTCCAGCCAGTCCGCGACACCACTGGAAGCTAAGTGGATCTGCCCCTCCCAAGCTGACTGCTGTGCTCCTTCCCGCAGGCCCACCTTCCGGTACTTCACCTGGCACACCTGTGTGCTGGGCATCGCCGGCTGCTTCGTCATGGTCTTCCTCATCAGCCCCATCTACGCCTCAGCCAGCGTGGCCTTCATGGTGGTTCTCCTTGTGGCCCTCCATTACCTCTCCCCCAGCAGCAGCTGGGGCTACATCAGCCAGGCTCTCATTTTTCACCAGGTAAGCACGGGGTGGACCCCCAAAACTAGCTCTCTACCATAGTCGGCAGCAAGCAAGACTTTCTCCTTTTCAATGCGAAATGTTTTAATCAATGTTTTCTGGTGCTTTCGTTTGTCGGTTGCTCCTCCTGTGGGAGAACGGGCGAGGCAGAAACACGGCGAGCAATCTCTTTTCCTTGCACACATAAACACCTGGAGCTGTGCTGACTAGTTTAGAGACAAGAGTTCTCCCTTTGGCAGCGTTCAGCCCTCTCATAAATCAGGCAGGGTGGGAGGAGGAGGAAGAAGAAGAAGAAGACCCTTTTCCAGGGATTTCAAGGCAGGGGCTGCAAGCCCCATTCTTTGGCCACCCAAGGAAATTGTAGGACGCCCGAAAAGTATGCATTTTCTGCAAAAGAGGCAAAAAAACTTTTGATTCCTGAATATGCTAAAGCTATTCAATATTAGAAGCGATGTGGAAGGTAGCGATATTTTTTTGTTTATTATGGGTTTATGGGCATTTATTTTATTTATTTATTAAATTTGTAGACCACCCTTCATCTGACGATCACAGGGTGGTTCACCAAAATAATAATAATAATAATAATAATAATACAAAAAGAACCCAGCAAGCAGGACCAAAGAACCCTCTCCCCAACCCACTGCAGCTTCCAGCAACTGGTAGCTCATTTGCAAAACGCAGGACCAGGGGGTCCTCCCCGCCCCATACAGATTAATTTACCTGGTTGTCCTAATAATGTTTTGAACTCGCCTCCACCCCTTCCGCAAGGGAGCTGCACGCTCTTATCTCGTATCCTTTCAGACAGGCGGTTTGTCCTTCCAGCTGGCGCCATTCCCCCCCGTGCTCTGCCCTTCCCTGGGATTCATTCCCAGACCCAGCAAGTTGGGCCCGCTGCCCAGCCCTTGCCTTTTAATTTTTGTGTCATAAAACCAACACTTAACAGGGAAAAAATCCTGTTAGCACGTAATGGAATATTCTTATTACCCAGCTGCTGTCTTGCTGGCCTGCCTTAACAAAACTCAGGCCCTCAGCCAGGCCTGGTGAGTCGGTTTTGTTGTGTTTTAGCAGGTTCTGAGCACCTAAAACCCACAACGTTAGTACAGAAGGTCCAGACCTTCCAATTTGCAAAGTCGATTCATTTATTTATTGTGGGGTTTCCCAAACTCATCCCTGATCACTGGTTCTGCTAGCTAGGGATGATGGGAGTTGTAGTCCAACAACAGCTAGAGCCCCAAGTTTCGGAAACCCTGTTTATTGCATTTGTGTCCCACCTTCCCTCTCAAGGAGCTCAAGGTGGCATATGTAGTTCTCCTCATTTTACCTCAGAACAACCTGTGAGGTAGGTTGGGCCGAAAGTGAGTGACTAGCTCACAGTTGCCCAGGGAGCTTCATGGCTGAGTCAGGATTTGAACCCTGGTCTCCCAGGTCCTAGTCCAACACTCTAATTACTACTAAAAACACTGTTTTAAGCTTCCCACTTGCATCTGAAGTGTTTGCTCGGATGCTAACAAAGCATTTATGTGTGACTGTAGCATGTTGGAAGAGCTTCAGATACATTATTTCAGTACAACAGCCCTGTACGGTAGGCCAGTGGTGGTTTCCCCCGTGTTGCAGATGATGGAGCTGTGGTTGAGAGTCGGTGAATTCATGGCCAGCGCCAGATCTGGGGACTTGAGCTAACTTCCTTGTAGCATCGCTCTCACGAATCGCTGGCTTGACCTGGAGTGTGTCCTGGTAACTTCCTCCCTTGCAAGGAGCAAAGCAGGTCCTGGCACGGCATTCCAGTGGCACACAGCCCGTCTGCGTTTCCTGTTTTCTGCTTGGCCCCTTTCTGCCAAACAAAAGAAGAAGAAGAGTTTGGATTTGATATCCCGCTTTAAGACGCAGGTGGCGCTGTGGGTTAAAGCACAGAGCCTAGGACTTGCTGATCAGAAGGTCGGCGGTTCAAATCCCTGGGACGGGGTGAGCTCCCGTTGCTCGGTCCCTGCTCCTGCCAACCTAGCAGGTCGAAAGCACATCAAAGTGCAAATAGATAAATAGGTACCGCTCCGGCGGGAAGGTAAACGGCGTTTCCGTGCGCTGCTCTGGTTCGCCAGAAGCAGCTTAGTCCTGCTGGCCACAAGACCCAGAAGCTGTAGGCTGGCTCCCTCGGCCAATAAAGCGAGATGAGCGCCGCAACCCCAGAGTTGGTCACGGCTGGACCTACTGCCTCCCGACACCCACATTTGGCTGAAATGCATCCACTTCTGGGGTGCAGTGCCCCCAACACCACTAATCCATGCTGAGCAGGCCTTACCAGGAAACAAGGGCGATCTCTGGCAAGCGGTTTGGGGCAGTGTTCAAAATCCCCCAGGTGCCAGGCTCGTTTTGCTACTGGCACGGGCCTATTCGCGACTACGTGGAGATTTGCGGGCACCAGGTTGGCGACTGACATCTCATAGAATCATAGAGTTGGAAGAGACCACAAGGGCCATCGAGTCCAACCCCCTGCCAAGCAGGAAACACCATCAGAGCACTCCTGACATATGGTTGTCAAGCCTCTGCTTAAAGACCTCCAAAGAAGGAGACTCCACCACACTCCTTGGCAGCAAATTCCACTGTCAAACAGCTCTTACTGTCAGGAAGTTCTTCCTAATGTTTAGGTGGAATCTTCTTTCTTGTAGTTTGGATCCATTGCTCCGTGTCCGCTTCTCTGGAGCAGCAGAAAACAACCTTTCTCCCTCCTCTATGTGACATCCTTTTATATATTTGAACATGGCTATCATATCACCCCTTAACCTCCTCTTCTCCAGGCTAAACATGCCCAGCTCCCTTAGCTGTTCCTCATAAGGCATCGTTTCCAGGCCTTTGACCATTTTGGTTGCCCTCGTCTGGACACGTTCCAGTTTGTCAGTGTCCTTCTTGAACTCCTTCTCTCCCTTGAGCTAGCTGAGTCACACACAGCCCTCCATCATCACATCAAGGAAAATAAGTGCAGGGCTGAGTACAGATACATTTGACTGTGCCTCAGCCTTTCCCCAATTTAAAAACTCTTCTGTAGTCCACAATTAACACCATGTCCATTTCCACTTTGAGTTTCTGCTTCTTGGATACTGGGACAAGTGAATTGTTGTAAGAGCAATGTTGCTGAGATCATGGAATTGTAGAATTGCAGCATTGGAAGGGGACCCAGGGGTCATCTAGTCCAGCCCCCCCTGATGAATAGACCTTTAAGGTGCTGTTTGGCACCTAGCTTATATACCTGAGTTTCTAACTCCGGTTTGGGGACACCAGTGTGGAGGGCAGAGGAATCTGGCCACAGCCCTGCGACATTTGCAGGCAGGGAAACGTCGGTGTGTTAGCTGGGGCTGCCAACAGTGCCTCTGCAGACATCCGTCTGGCTTTGAGACGTCTTGGCAGATTGATGGGAGAAAGAAGGGCCCCGTGCAGGTGGATAAAAGCAGGCGTCGAAAACGCCACCTTCCTCTTCTCCTTACTCCCTCTTCTCCCAGCTCCCCAACCTTTCATTCCTGGCCCTGGCACACAGAGACTTTGGCAGGGAGCCAACACCACAGATTGTGTGCGGAAGGGGGGGTGGGAGGCGCAGGAGGGAAGGAATGATCTCCTCCTCTGCGGTGCGTCTGGGGTAATAACATTTACTCACCAGGGTGATGTTACCCCGTCGGACGCTGATCAAATGCACTTGTCCCCGGTAGTGAAGACAAATGCCGGCAGCTGAGGAGGTAAATGCATTAGCCTGCCCTGAGCTCTGACTTGTCTGACTGACATGTTTGCTTGGTTGCGTGCGCGCGCGCACACACACACACACACACACACATAGCGAGGAAGGAAGCTAGCGGCTGGAGCAGATGATGAAGGAAGAGAAAGCGAGGGCTGTTTTTTCTCAGCCAAGAAGACGCTTTTATCATGGACAGTTCGAAGACCAGGGCTGGGGCAGACATCCCATCAGACATAATGTTTAATTTGTATACAGTGGTACCTCAGGTTACAGGCGCTTCAGGTGACAGATGCGTCAGGTTACAGACTCCGCTAACCCAGAAATAGTACCTCGCGTTAAGAACTTTGCTTCAGGATGAGAACAGAAATCACGCAGCAGCGGCAGCGGGAGGCCCCATTAGCTAAAGTGGTACCTCAGGTTAAGAACAGTTTTAGGTTAAGAACGGACCTCCAGAACGAATTAAGTTCTTAACCCGAGGTACCTCTGTACCGCCTTTCTATATTACTCTGCACAATGCCATTTGCAAGCTGAAGAAACAACAAAAAAGGCAGCAACAATCGCACACGTAATAATGAATCTGATCCAGTACAAAAAAAAGTCACAATAACCTTAAAATATATCAAATGAAGCAATATTTAACAATCTATTAGAATATAACAATAAACAGTAAAATTAAATATCGGCAAATAATAGTTAAACAGTTAAACAGTTGACACTTAAGAATTGCAATGAAGAATTACTAAACAATGATCAATAAAAATAACAGGAAGCCCCAACGCATAAAATACCACACTTATGTCTAATCCATCCAACTTGATGGCCCTCGCTGGCTCCTGTGGGAGGGAGTTCCACAGTTTAACTACACACTGTAGGAGTTTTCTGCTGAAATGCAGGTCATCGGCACTCTTCAGATACGTGCATTTAAAAAGGGGGAACTTGTTCTCTGAGCACCCAGAGAGCAAGACTGTGTCAGTATTTTCATCCCTCCCATTGCAAAGCTCACCAGATCATTTTGTTTTACTTTCTGCCTGTGAAAAAGGAGGGGGCGGAAACCACTCTTCCAGACTTCTGTCCCTAGTACTGTGCGGATTTTCTTTGATCTGTCTAGAGACAAGATGGCAGTATGAGAGAGCCGACTCTCCCGTACATGTTCGTTACGTTCTTTTATTTTGTTTAATCAGTAGAAATAAATTAGGTATGCAACAAAACCTCCGCAGCTTTGCTTCCGTTACTCTGCTGCTTTTGAGGGGCTCACAATAGCAAATTGCACCGGGACCTATTCCTTGGGAATGCTGTTCCTGCCTTCCTGGGATCAGAAAGTCGGAGAAGGTGCTCCTGACACCCAGCCCATGCAGGCGCTGAAGACATGGGCTGTATATGGGTGTACGGTCAGACTGGCTCTTAATAAAATAAGAAGATGGTTCTGGATCAGGCCAGCGACCCATCTAGTCCAGCACCCTTTTCTATCAGTGACCCCCAAGATCCAACTTTGGGAAGCCCCCCAGGCAGGACCTGATTGCAGCCCTGCGCTCCCTGCTTGGGATTCTCAGCAACCGCCATTCAGAAACCCATTGCCTCCAACTGTGGAGGCAGGACATAGCCATCATGGTATGGTAGACCCGGATGGCCTGAACATCCTCTTTGCACTTCTCTAATCTTCTTTTAAAGCCATCCAAGTCAAGTAGCCATCACTGCCTCCGCTGGGAGCAAGTTCCATAGATCTAACTGCGCCCTTTGCAATGACATACTTCCGTTTGTCCTTCCTGAATCTTCCCACGTTGGATGAGTTAGCTGTCGCTCTGTTAACAGTGTCTTACAGATTACAATTGCTTTACTGAAAATTTGTTAATCTACATGATTTATGCTGCGTTTGTGATGTTCTATTACGGTCTCCCTTGGGAGGTGGTGGGCTCTCCTTCCTTGCAGGTGTGTGTGTGTATGTATGTATGTGTGTGTGTATGTATGTATGTATGTATGTATGTATGTTTTAACATACCATTTTCAACAATTATAAAACATACTTTTATATCTTATACAATTTTTTTGACTTCCATCAATCACATCTGAAAATTTTCCAATCTTTTCCACTTAATTTACATTTTTTTATTTGCAATATTTCATACATTCTTCCTTACAAAACCTCTTGTAGTCTTACTAGCGTAATTTGTTGATTACAGTTGCTCTTCAAATAGTTTGTATATTTCTTCCATTCTTCTGTGAATCTCTGGTCCCGCAGGTTTCGAATCCTTCCTGTCATTTTATCCAATTTTGCGTAGTCCATTAATTTTGTCTGCCATTCTTCTTTCGTCAGTATTTTTTCTTGCTTCCATTTCTGGGCCAACAATACTCTTGCTGCTGTTGTTGCATATAAAAACAGTTTAATGTCCTGTCTATTAATGTCCTCCTTCCTTGCAGGTTTCTAAGCCAAGGTTGGATGACCATTTGTCATGGAGGTTTTCGCTGAGCTTTCTGCATTGCAGAGGGTGGGACTAGATGACCCGGGGGGGGGAGGGCTCCCTTCCAGCTCTGTGATTCCACAGTTCTATGTTCTAGCATGTTATTCATTGTTTGTAAGCCCCTTTGGGATACATTTGAATGAAAAGTATTATTATTATTATTAGCGATGCTCATTTGATCAGAATTAACACTCGGGAAGTAGGTGATCGGGACGCGGGTGGCGCTGTGGGTTAAACCACAGAGCCTAGGGCTTGCCGATCAGAAGGTCGGCGGTTCGAATCCCCGTGATGGGATGACCTCCCATGTTCAGTCCCAGCTCCTGCCAACCTAGCAGTTCAAAAGCACATCAAAGTGCAAGTAGATAAATAGGTACCGTTCCGGCGGGAAGGTAAATGGCGTTTCCGTGCGCTGCTCTGGTTTTGCTAGAAGCAGCTTAGTCATGCTGGCCACATGACCCGGGAAAACTGTCTGCGGACAAACGCCGGCTCCCTTGGCCAGTAAAAAAAGATTAGCGCCGCAGACCCCAGAGTCGTTCGCGGCTGGACTTAAGTGTCAGGGTTCCTTTACCTTTACCTTCAGGAAGCATCCATTGATAGTGCTCGCTTTGGAAGCACATATACTAAAACTGGAACGATACAGAGAAGATTAGCAGGAAGCATCCATTGATTGCTACAGGCCTCAGCCCCCAACCCTTCCCCCTTTTCCACGAAACTAACATCCCGGATGCCCGGATGGCGCCAGAGCTCGCTAAGGCTTCTCGCAGGGCCTGCCCACTCATCCTACCAGCCTCGGAGCCAAGACGCCTCCGTTGACTGGGAGCAGAGGGAGCCCTGAGCGCCGCCCGCTTGTCAAGGCGAAACCGCCGGCATATGGCGCTGTCAGCGTTTGCCACCCCCCCATTATCCCCTCAGCGCAGCGTGGGCAGTGGGGCGCTGAGGCGGAACCCTCCTCCTGCCAATCTGGGGCGCTGACAGGCAGGTGCCGCGTTCCTCTCGTGCTCCCCATCTGGCTCTCCTGCTTCAAGCCTGGCTGGCTGTGGCAGGAGTGCGCACCTCCTTCCCCAGGGGCGGGAGGAGGTGGCATCAGCCGGAGACGGACGTTGCTCCGCTCGGAGGGCAAACTTTGGTCTCAAAATGAATTTCTTAAAAAGCAAATCCTGTGGCACCTCAGGCAAAGCGCTTGTTTTCAAGGAAAAGTGGGAGAGTTTTGAGGGGAACCTCTCAAAGGAGTTCCTTGCGTTTCCAGACATATGCGCCTCATGTTCAGTAAAATCCTGTGTGGTTTTTTGCTGGATATTCACTGACAAGGGTGACTCAAATAAGACTAACCGGATTTCGCACATCACTTTGATATGACGGATACGGGCGACCGTTTTGTCACACTTTCAGGCGCACATTTTACCACACAACCGCGCCCGACCTGTGGCGAAATCCTCCGTAATATTGACAGGATGTTACCCATGAGGATAATCTCTAAGTTGTTTGGCCTCCTACCACCCCATCGCCTTGTGTCGGATTGTAGAACATATTCTCCTCAGCTCAGAGACCTGTCCTTTTCTATATTATGCACAAAGCACTGTGCACATCGATGGCGCTCTGCTATTATTCTTCCTCTCTGCATCAGCCAGTGAGGAGCACCAAATCCACATGGGCCCAAGGAAGCTGCGGCTAAACTGCCTCCTTGCTTAGCTGTAGAAACATGGGGCTTTGAGGAGGGGGCTCCCTCCACCACCACCTCAGATGCTTTGGCATCTGTCTGCCTTTTAAAACACACACACACAAACCACAAATTTTCATTAGTTTTTATACAAATACAAAAATCATTAAAAACTTATCCAGCAGTACAGCTAATGATGTTTGTTTCATCCATTGTCTCTAGACATACACTTACACATTCAACATTCATTTTTTTTTTTTTATAATATTTATTGGTTTTACAAAAACAAATTCCAAAAGATGTGGAAAAATACAAAAATTTGACAAACAGAAAACAACAATAACCATAACAAAAAGCAAACAAAGATAACAATATACCTAACACAAAAGAAAAGGAAAAAGGAAAAAGGAAAAAAGAAAAAGACAGAAAAATTTAAAAAGTAATATACCTTCATTTAACCTTCTTATCATTACCTAATTCTTTGACTTCCCACATCTCCCGCTTGTATTTCCATTTAAAAACTCCTTTCAGCAAATCCTTACCCTCCTTTCTTTATCTTAACTCAAAGTTAATCTATTTATATATAAATATTACAGCTTTATCCATCAAATATTCCATGCTCTTAATCACAAGACTTTTGCCAATACCAGTTATTTTCAATCAGACCTCAATTTAACATTCATTAATTTTATAGTATTTCTGTAGATAGTCTTTGAATTTCTTCCAGTCTTCTTCCACCGACTCTTCTCCCTGGTCACGGATTCTGCCAGTCATCTCAGCCAGTTCCATATATTCAATTACCTTCGTCTGCCATTCTTCCAGAGTGGGTAGATCTTGTGTCTTCCAATACTTTGCGATGAGTATTCTTGCTGCTGTTGTTGCGTACATAAAGAAAGTTCTGTCCTTTTTTAACACCAATTGGCCGACTATGCCCAGGAGAAAGGCCTCTGGTTTCTTAGGGAAGGTATATTTGAATACCTTTTTAATTCATTATATATCATTTCCCAGAAAGCCTTAATCTTTGGGCACGTCCACCAAAGGTGAAAGAATGTACCTTCAGTTTCTTTACATTTCCAACATTTATTATCGGGCAAGTGATAGATTTTTGCAAGCTTGACTGGGGTCATGTACCACCTGTACACCATTTTCATTATATTCTCTTTTAAAGCATTACATGCTGTAAACTTCGTACCTGTGGTCCATAACCGTTCCCAGTCAGCAAACATAATATTATGTCCAACATCCTGTGCCCATTTAATCATAGCAGATTTTACTGTTTCATCCTGAGTATTCCATTTTAGCAGCAAGTTATACATTCTTGAAAGTGTTTTAGTTTTGGGATCTAGCAGTTCTGTTTCCAACTTTGATTTTTCCACCTGGAAGCCAATTTTTCTATCCAAATTATAGACCTCTCTTATTTGATAATAATGCAACCAGTCTCGCACTCTATCTTTTAATTTTTCAAAACTCTGCAATTTAAGTTTATCTCCTTCTTGTTCCAAGATCTCCCAATATTTTGGCCACTTGGCCTCCATATTGGACTTTTTTAGGGCCTTTGCCTCCATTGGTGATAACCACCTTGGGGTTTTATTTTCCAATAAGTCTTTATATCTTATCCAGACATTGAACAATGCTTTCCTGACAATATGGTTTTTAAAAATTTTGTGAGCTTTAACCTTGTCATACCACAAATATGCATGCCACCCAAACACATTATTGAAACCTTCTAAGTCCAAAACATCAGTATTTTCCAGAAGTAACCAATCCTTCAACCAGCAGAAAGCTGCTGATTCATAATAAAGTTTAAGGTCTGGCAGGGCAAATCCCCTCTTTCTTTAGCATCAGTCAATATTTTAAATTTTATCCTGGGCCTCTTGCCCTGCCAGACAAACTTAGAAATATCTCTCTGCCACTTCTTAAAACAGTCCATTTTATCTATTATTTGTATCGATTGAAACAAAAACAGCATTCTTGGCAATACATTCATCTTGATGACAGCAATTCGACCTAACAAGGAAAGCTTCAAATTTGACCATATTTCTAAATCCTTTTTAATGTCCGACCAACACTTTTCGTAATTGTCTTTAAATAAATTCCCATTTTTAGCTGTCATATGAATCCCCAAGTATTTCACTTTTTTTACCACTGTTAAACCTGTCTCATTCTGAAACCTCTCTTTTTCAATCTGTGTTAAATTCTTCTCAAGTACTTTAGTTTTAAACTTATTCAGCTTAAAACCTGCCACCTGACCAAATTCTTGAATCAGTTCTAATGCTCTTTTCGTACTAGATTCTGGCTCCTGTAATGTCAATACCAGGTCATCTGCAAATGCTTTCAGTTTATATTGTTTCGCTCCGACCGTTATGCCCTTAATCAAATGGTCCCTTCTTATCATATTTAACAAAACCTCCAGAACAGAAATAAAAGTAATGGGGAAATTGGGCAGCCTTGTCGTGTCCCTTTCTCTATCTTAATTTCCTCTGTTATCACATTGTTAACTATTAATTTAGCTTTCTGCTCTGAATAAATTGCATTTATACCATTTTCAAACTCTTGGCCTACCCCCATCCCCTGAAGATTTTTCTTCATAAAACTCCAAGAAATGTTGTCAAAGGCTTTCTCTGCATCCACAAAGATCAAAACTGCTTTAGTATTGATCTCCTCTTGCAGCTTCTCCAGAATATCAATTATGTTCCTTGTGTTGTCCGAAAGGTGTCTATCTGGAAGAAAGCCAGCTTGGTCCTTGTGGATCACTCCTTTTAGCACTTTTTAAGCCTTTTGCTAAGATATCAGCAAAAATTTTGTAATCCACATTTAACAGGGATATGGGCCGGTAGTTCTTAAGCTGTGTCTTTTCAGTCTCAACCTTTGGTATAAGTGTAATAAATGCGTCTTTCCACGACTCTGGCGCTCTTTTCCCCTCTAGAATTTCAACATTCAAACACGTTGCTTAACGTAACCTCTCCGCTGAGAATATCGAGCATTTGGTATAAGATCTTGATATTGGTCGTTAACATATTTAAAGAAGGGGGTCTGTGTTTCTATTCGTTATGCCTCTAATCGCCCTCCTGTGTCTGGTGAGACGGCCAGACATTGCCGTATCCCAGATATTATTTTCCCATATGTTCGGGGGTATATCAGTCTGGTTCTTCCATTGCTGAGCTAATCATGCTGTGGTCAGTGAGAAACCTACTACAGTGGTACCTCGGGTTAAGAACGTAATTCGTTCTGGAGGTCTGTTCTTAACCTGAAACTATTCTTAACCTGAGGTACCACTTTAGCTAATGGGGCCTGCCGCCGCTGGAGCACGATTTCTGTTCTCATCCTGAAGCAAAGTTCTTAACCTGAGGTACTATTTCTGGGTTAGTGGAGTCTGCAACCTGAAGCGTCTGTAACCTGAGGTACCACTGTAGTTCACTCAAGTAGAGCCTATGTCCAAAGATATAGCCTCTTGGGACGAAGTCAAACTGCTGCATTAGCAACACCAAAGTGACCTCCACAGGGTCACGTGCCTGGGGGTCCTGGGCTGCCCAGACGACAAGACTCCCCTCTTGGCCTCACTGATGGGGTCCAAAGGAAAGCAGAGCAAGACATTGGGCACTGGCTTGGCTGCAGGAGTTGCCAGAAGGAGGCGTCCAAGGCACCATCCAACTGTCTTGGGGACTCCACTCCAGATTTGTGTAGGCTTTACTCCTTAGCCTTTTCTTCTCCTGAAGATGTCCCGCAAGGCAGCTGAGGTTCAGGATCAAAGTTTTCCTTCTCCTAGATCAGGCATAGGCAAACTTGGCCCTCCAAATGTTTGGGGACTACAACTCCCATCATCCCTGACCACTGGTCCTGTTAACTAGGGATGATGGGAGTTGTAGTCCCAAAACAGCTGGAGGACCAAATTTGCCTATGCCTGTCCTAGATGGGCTACGAGCCCCATCTGCTCCTCACCTCCCTCTACAGCAGGCTTCCTCAACCTCAGCCCTCCAGATGTTTTGAGACTACAATTCCCATCATCCCTGACCACTGGTCCTGCTAGCTAGGGATCATGGGAGTTGTAGGCCAAAAACATCTGGAGGGCTGGGGTTGAGGAAGCCTGCTCTACAGCATGTGCAGAAACTGCCTTCCTGACCATTGGACCTTCTCTTGGTCTCGTTGGTTCAATCTGCCAGATCCTGTCTTTGCATGCAAAAGAAGCCCCTAACTCCCCAAGCATTTGAGACCCATTGGTTGCCCTCCCCTGGTTTAGCCGGCCAGTGGAAGCCATTTCCTAGGTTGTGGCTGCTGTCGCGTGCTGACAGCAACTCGGAGCCACAGGTGAGAGCTGAGTGCTGGGGTGGGAGCAAAGGAGAGCAAACCACCCCAGAAGGAGCAGAATGTGTCCCCCACCAGAGGTACTCCCATCCTCTAACACCCCATTGACCCCTCCAGCCTGACTCTTTTTTTGGGGGGGTATTTTTATTAGGAATTTCAACATAACAATTTATCACAAATACATCATCCTCATCCCCCCCCCATTTTTCCCTCCCCCTTCCCCCTCAAAAGAAGAAGAATCCCCCACCCCACGCCCCAGACTTCCCTCAGCTCCTCTCTCTGGTTTTTCAGCACATGTTATTCTCTGCATATTATAAAATTGTAAAGATCCTTAACTTATCTATCTATATATTACTAATAAAAAGTTTGTGAATGTTTATTCAAAACCTGCCAAGGAATCTAGTTCATTTTGTTGTTTCTCTAAGTACTTTGTAAAAGGTTCCCTTTCTTCTTTAAAGTCACAGTTGTCCTTATCATGTAGTTTGTGCGTCAATTTTGCCAATTCCGCATAGTCCACTAGTTTCTCTTGCCACAGTTCTTTAGTCGGGGTTTCCTCATTCTTCCATCCTTGTGCTGTTAAGACTCTTGCCGTCGTTGTTGCGTACATGAATATGTTTTTCAATTTCCTTGGCAGGTCTTTTCCTACAATCCCTAACAAAAATCCTTCAGGCTTTTTTACAAGTGTTAAATTCTCTCTCTCTCCCCCCTCCCAGGTCCGCAAGTATCTGCTGATGTTGGACATCCGCAAGGAGCACGTCAAGTTCTGGCGGCCGCAGGTGCTGCTGATGGTCCGGAACCCGCGGACGTCCCTGCAGCTCATCAGCTTCATCAACGACCTCAAAAAGAGCGGCTTGTATGTGCTTGGCCACGTGGAGCTGGATGACTTGGGTAAGGGGGCAGCGGGAGGCCAGCCGGGTGACCCCCCAAGTCCTCTGGAGAGATGTAACCATGTGCCCCAGGGAGAAGGCTCATAGGAAGCTGCCTTGGACTGAGTTGTACCACCCACCCACCTAGCATGGAGACCTTCAGCGGCTCTCCTGGGCAGGGGGGACCTCGGTAATATGGCACCCTGTGTGTGGCCAAGATTTGACACCCCCTTCCCCAGCCCTCGCTCCAGCCAAGCAAGGCGCCAGGCCTGGACCATAGCTGTCAACCGTCCCTTATTTGGCGGGAAACTCCCTTATCCCAGCGCCGTGTCCCGCTGCTGTCCCGGATTGATGATGTCCCTTAAATTTCCTGGGTTTCATGCTCGCCCGGCTCAGGAGGGAAGCAGCAGCTCGGGGTCCTCCTCCGTGAGAGAGTGCGCGCGCACGGGCTGCCGCATCTCCGTCTCTCCCTTTTCCCCCTCAGGGGCACGTCGTGAGGAGACGGGTGGCGGCAGGCGGGCAGGCAGCCCCTCTCTTGCGAGACTTCTGCCGCGCTGCCAGGGGAAGCCGGAGGCGGCGGTGGCTGAGGAGGCGGCCTGAGGGAGGAGGAAGAGGAGGGGATGGGGAGGGATGCAGAAGGGCAGTGCTTCGGTGGCCGCCGCGGCACCGCAACTGCCTCATGCCGGGCTCGCGGGTGGTGTGGGCGAGAGTCTCTCTCTCTCCCTCCCTCTCTCTCGGGCGAGGAAGGACCGATGGAACTCCTCGCCCCAGGACGACGGCAGCCCTGACGTGCTGCTTAGCATCCCCTCCAACTAGTGCAGCATCTTAATGTAGTGATTTCCCCCTCTGCATCCCTTTCCTAACTCTATTTTTATAAATCATCTCTCCATCCATAGTTCAAATTTTTACTATAAGTTTTCTGTCAATCCTACCAATGTATGTAACTCTTTACAATAGCTTTTCAACTAAATTATAAGCTTTCCCCATTCTTTATTAAAGAGGTCCTCTTCCTGGTTTCTAATTCTGCCTGTAAGCTTTGCCATCTCAACGTCGTTCATCAGTTTTGTCTGCCTCTCTTCTTTGGTCAGAGTTGTAGACCCTTAGGCTCATCTAGTCCAACCCCCTGCAAAACACAGTCAGTCGCAGCCAAAGCCGCATGGCTCCATCAGTGGCGGGTTTCTGTATAAGCTAAGCCAAAATCCCTTATTTTGGCTGCTGATCCCTTCTTTTCGAGGCTGCTGGTCCCTTATTTTCAAATCTGTAACTTGACAGCTATGGCCTGGGGAAGGAGGCGTGAGGCTCTGGCTGGGTCCCAGAGCCCTCCCGCCTCCTCCCCAAAGCTGGTCAAGCGCTAACTGGGCTCTGGGAAGGAGGTCTTTGGGACCCTGCCAGGGCCCTCATGCCTCCTTCCCAAAGCCCAAAGCTTTCTAGCCTCTGGGAAGGAGTCCCTGCACCTGTGGGGGGGGAGCAGTGACGCTGCCCCAAATGCGCTTCTGCTCAGGGTTTGATAGGCCAGGGACTGGCCCTGGGGCCTTGTGCATAGAAAACACATGCTCTAAGCTACGAGTCTTCTCCTTGTATTGTGCGATGGGAGGGAGGAGGAAGCCATGGCCTTCTATATGTTGCTGGGCTCTGACTCCCAGCAGCCCCAGCCAGCCAGCACGCTGAAAGATGCAGACTTGCTGAGGGCCGGTCCACTGTCCCTCAGACCTTGTGGGGGGCCAGGCTATATTTTTTTGGTGGGGGATGAACAAATTCCTATGCCCCACAAATAACCCAGAAATGCCCTGTAAATAAAAGCACACATTTTACTTCTGTAAAAACACCAGGCAGACCCCACAAATAACCCAGAGATGCATTATTTATTTATTTATTTATTTTTTAAAATAAAAGGACACACTCTACTCATGTAAAATCACGCCGATTTCCAGACCATCCGCAGGCCAGATTGAGAAGGCGATTGGGCCAGATTTGGCCCTCGGGCCTTAGTTTGCCTACCCATGGCCCAGAGCAATTCTCTGTTTGTTAGAGAAAATAGTTTCTCTGATAAACTGGAACCGGGCTGGAGGTTTTAGTGGGTTTCATTTTAGGGCCGCAATATTCAGTAGCTTAATCAGATAGATGACTTGATCAAATACTTTATCACGGACTAAACGAACGTGCCCGGTTGCCTGGCCTCGAAAACAATATTGTAGAGTTGGAGAAAGTTCAGTAATGGGCAATCAAAAGGATTGAGGGGATGGAGCGACTCTCATGAAGAAAGGTTGAAGCATTTGGGACTTTTCAGTTTAGAGAAAAAGGCGAGGGAGAATCAACAGGGTAGAGGTTTGTGAAATCATGTGTGGCCTGGAGAAAGTAGATGGATAAAACTTGTGGACGTCCATTGAAGCTGAATGTTGGAAGAGTCAAGGCAGATGAAATACTTATTCACGCTGCACATAGTTGAACTATGGAACTCATTCCCGCAGGCAGCAATGATGGCCCCTGGCCTAGATGGCTTTAAAAGAGGATTGGTCAAATTCAGGGAGGAGGAGAGGGCTATGGATGGCTCCTAGCCAGGATGACCTGCTCTGCCTCCATGGTCAGAGGTACCAATGCATCTGAATACCACAGGAAAAGAGAGGGGTCTTGTGTTCGGATCCTGCTTGGAGATTTCCTATTGGGGCTTCAGGTTGGCCACTGTCAGAACAGGATGCTGGACTAGAAGGGCCATTGGTCTGATCCAGCAGGCTCTTCCTATGTTCTTAAGCCAATAATAATAATAATAATAATAATAATAATAATAATAATAATAATTTATTTATACCCCGCCCATGTGGCTGAGTTTCCCCAGCCACTCTGGGCGGCTTTCGACAGAATATTAAAATACAATAGTCTATTAAACATTAAAAGCTTCCCTAAACAGGGCTGCCTTCAGATGTCTTCTAAAAGTCTGGTAGTTGTTTATCTCTTTGACATCTAGTGGGAGGGCGTTCCACAGGGCGGGTGCCACCACTGAGAAGGCCCTCTGCCTGGTTCCCTGTAACTTGGCTTCTTGCAGCGAGGGAACCGCCAGAAGGCCCTTGGCGCTGGACCTCAATGTCCGGGCAGAACGATGGGGATGGAGATGCTCCTTCAGGTATACTGGACTGAGGCCGTTCAATGGATGGCTCAGCAGATTTTCCTGCCAAGTGCATGACTGTCATTTCCTGGGTGGGGTGAGGTGGCAGGAGTGCCAGTTTTGGCTTCATCGGTTTGCACCAATTTGCACTGCTCCGACGTTCTTGCTCCACTGAGAGCCAGTGTGGTGTAGTGGTTAAGAGAGGTAGTCTCGTAATCTGGGGAACCGGGTTCGCGTCTCCGCTCCTCCACATGCAGCTGCTGGGTGACCTTGGGCAAGTCACACTTCTTTGAAGTCTCTCAGCCCCACTCACCTCACAGAGTGTTTGTTGTGGAGGAGGAAGGGAAAGGAGAATGTTAGCCGCTTTGAGACTCCTTAAAGGGAGTGAAAGGCGGGATATCAAATCCAAACCCCTCTTCTTCTTCTTCTTGCCAGCTCATCTGTCCCTTTCCAGTTAAACTATAGTAACTCACCTGGCAGGAGGCTGGAGCAGAAACTCTGCCCCACCAGGTGAGCAGCCTCTGGTTGAGAATTTTGAGTCTCCCAGAGTGCAAGTTTGCTGCAAGAGTTGATGTCTCAGCTCGGCCTTTTTGTTTACTCTCAGTTGTGAGCACGTGCCCCTTCCGGTGAACACGTGTTCACCAGCACGGCGCTCCTCACGCTGCACGGATGCTCCAGCCAAAAGCATTCGCAAGCGCACCTGGGTCTGTACTGGGTCTGTGCGCCGCCTGCCCAGGCTCCCACTTCTACCTGCCTGCTGTCCTTTGTACTGCAAATTGATTTCTCAGCTGCTTTTGTGAAGGCCGCAAAGGGCCCCTCCCAGAGCTGTTCTGGTTTCCATGGTGACTAATGGATTTCCCCCCCCCTCCCGCTGAAAAGAGGGGAAAGTAGAAAGAGGAAGATGGTTAATTTCATTTTTCAACCACACACACACACACACACAGAGAGAGAGAGAGAGAGAGAGAGAGAGAGAGAGAGAGAAATCAGACCAGAATTCTAGGGCAAATATGAAAGATAAAGTACGGCAGCTTAGTTGTGGTGGATCAATGAGAAAGGATTCCTGGGTCTTTGGATGGATAGGAGGTGAACTTGGTGCCAGGTGTGAAGACACTCTGCGAATGCACTTGTGAGCTCCAAGCACTGTCAGAAGCTGCTTCTTCCACCCACATTGGGGAACTTTGTGGCAGAGGGAGAAACAAACCGTTCTTTGGTTTGGCGAGACGCAAGTCCATCGTCACAACACACACGTGACACAGAATTCTCTGAAGCAGTGAATTTTAAAGAGAGCCGTGCGGGGAGAGCTTTCCATTATCTTTTAGGGCATATAAATGGTGGATTGCAGAGTTGCAAACGATATCTCATCTTAAAAGTGTGGAATATGTAGGTTTATACTTAAAGTACAGTGGCATTGTCACTTCGTTCGCCCGAATCAGAGGCATGGCGTAAAAGAAGCCAAGAATGCGAATTGCAGCTTTTGGGACCTTTGCAGCTCTCGACTGAGGTGTTATGGAGTGTTCCTGGACATCCCAACTGCTCATGCGCTTTGGGAATCGTCAGCACATGAGGCCTAGGGACAGCTAGGGCTGTGCTTTGTTGGTGAGAAGGGGCATAGCCGGGAAGGAAGAAGGCAGCACAATATCAACGTGTTATCGGTCAGCAGTCAGGTTGTTGCCGGAGAGAAGTGAGGTGTGTCTGGCAAACATGAGTGGTAGTGTGTGTCCGCAACAGTACTGCACATGAATCATAGGAGCCAACTTCTAGGGGCCATGGGGGCTTCAACCCCCACAATAAAATATTTGAAGGGGCCGGGCCCCCACAAAGTTGATGGGCATTCCCATTCAAATGGTGTGTATGCATTGCATCATGTGATCGATTATGCAGGGCTGGGCTTACCTGGGGCCCCGCAATATTTTATTCAAGTTGGCACCCCTGGTGTTCCTAGGATGGCTCAGTCTGTAGAGCTTGAGACTCTTCATCTCATGGTTCTGGGTTCAAGCCGCAATGTAGGGCGAATGATTCGCGCATTGCAGGGGGTTGGACTATATGATCCTTGTGGTCTTTTGCAAAATAATAATAATTATTATTATTATTATTATTATTATTATTTATGCCCCGCCCTCCCCGGCCAGAGCCAGGCTCAGGGCAGCTAACACCAGTAAAATTACAGTAAAAACATAATAGGGGAAAAAACCAATTTAAAATACAAGTTAAAATGCAGCCTCATTTTAAAAGTAGCCGATAAATCAAGACCATAAGGGGAGGGAAACGTAAGGGTCAGACTGAGTCCAAACCAAAGGCCAGGCGGAACAGCTCTGTCTTGCAGGCCCTGCGGAAAGATGTCAAGTCCCACAGGGCCCTAGTCTCTTGGGACAGAGCGTTCCACCAAGTTGGGGCCAGTACTGAAAAGGCCCTTGCCCTAGCTGAGATGATGATGATGATGATGATGATGATAATAATAATAATAATAATAATAATAATATACCGCCCTTCATCAAAAGATCTCAAGGCAGTTCACAAGATGATTCTATGAAATTGGGAACTCTGTGAGTGATGGGGAATGGGTACCAGTAAGGTGTTGGAGAAACTATAGCCATGGATGTGTGTGTGTGTGTGTGTGTGTAACTGGCTAGGGTAACTGGCTACCCAGAAGATGCTGGACTCTCCAGTGTCATTATCCCTGACCACTGCCATTCTGGCTGGGGCTGATTTGGTTGAGAGAGTCCAACAACAGATTGAATTCTGATGCCTTCTGCAGCTGTCTCTTAAAGTTGTTTGCCCCTGTTGATAGACTTATAGGGAGGTCCCTCCACACGCAGGTCCCCTCCATATGTGTGAATGTGTCCCTGCTTATCCAAGGGCTAGCCTAGGTCACCTCCCACTGTGGGCTTTGCTCTGGAGCTCCAACGCAACTCCGGCCAACTGACCCTCTCCTTTCTCTCTTAGACTCCCTGCCTTCTGACCCCTTGCCGCACCAGTCTGACTCGTGGCTGCATCTTGTGGACAGACTGAACATCAAGGCCTTCGTCAACCTGACCCTTTCGGACTCCATCAGACATGGCACCCAGCAGCTGCTCTTCATCTCTGGCTTGGGTGAGTATCCCTTTCTGTTTGGGCCAGAGAACTGGGCAGCTAAGGAGGAATTAGGTGCAGGATGTCTCAGAACTGATTTTTGTGAGCTGCAGTTGCAGGCTGTGTGTGAATAAATACTGCAAATGAATACATTTTGGGGAGGGGGTTACAGTTTTGTTTTTCGTTACGAATTTTGTGTTTTTATCTTGTATTTTTATGCTACAAACCGCCGTAAAGATCTAAGGATGAAGGGCAGTATACAAATTTAATAGATAGTACACATGAGATTCAGGCATGCTTTCTAGTGGTGCGGAGGGCGTACTTTGCTGCCTGCAAGGTGCTTTGACGTCCCAACTTCAGGACTTCAAAGCGCCTGGAGAAATCACTTGGCTGCCTTGGTGACCTCAGCTGACGGACAGGCGAGCCACCCCTCTTGCAAATTTGGTCCACGAAACCAATCCAGATCTGGCCCACAGAGTTCAAAAGGTTCCCTGCCCCGCAATATGGATTTAGTTGAACCAAACGCCTAAGCTGCCTCTGTTCCTAAACCCCACAAGGCTGACCAATGAAATACAGCAATATTTCTTTATTTTTGTGGCTGCGTCAAATATAATTGTAGGACGGAACTGGCCACCAATCCATTTTCATTCCTTTGTTTTGGGGAGGTAGGGTTCGTGAGGGCAACTTTTACCATCAGCCACCTACCCCCAACCTTGACCTTGTTTGTTGCTGTAGCCCAGCTCCTCCTCCTTGATTTGACTGGGCTCAGTCGGTAGAGCATGGGACTGTTGACTGTGGATTTTGAGTCCCAGCTTGGGTGAAATATTCCTCCACTGCAGCAGGGGGTTGGACTAGATGACCCTCAGGGTCCCTTCCAACTCTACAATTCTAAGACTCTGTGATTCTACTTTCATTCCGCTTTCCAGCAACAGAAGTTTTTGTTCAAAGCTCATGATAGACACAATAGCATTAAGAAAGAAAGCAGAACAATGTAGATGCCACAAACCAGAGTTTTCCAAACTTGGGTCTCCGTCTGTTTTTGGACTACAGTTCCCATCATCCCTGACCCCTGGTCCTGCTAGCTAGGGACGATGGGAGTTGTAGTCCAAGAACAGCTGGCGACCCAACTAATACTTCCTTGCCTCTCTCCCTCTCCCAGGAGGCATGAGGCCCAACACCATCGCTCTGGGTTTCTATGACGACACGGCCTCGGAGGACCGCCTCTCCCAGCACCCGGCCTTCAGCAGCGGGGAGGAGGTGGCCTGGCAGAACTTCCCTCCACCGTGGACGTCGGGGACGCAGAAGTGCCTCTCTCCCCGGGAGTACGTGGCCATCATCGCGGACGCCCTGAAGATGCAGCGCAACGTGCTGCTGGCGCGCTCCTTCGAGGAGCTAAAGCCGCCACAGGAGCTGGGGTGGCGGGCCCAGCCCCTCATCGACGTCTGGCCCATCAACCTGCTGCGGCCTGACAGCGCCCACTACGTGAACACCTGCAGCCTCTTCCTGCTGCAGATGGCCTGCGTCCTGGCCATGGCCCGTGCTTGGCGCCGTGCCCGCCTGCGCCTCTTCCTCTGCATGGAGAGCGGCGCCCGCCCCCGGGGCCAGGAGGACAAGCTGCGCCAGCTCCTGAAGGACCTGCGCATCCAGGCAGACATTCACACGGTGCTGTGGGACAGCGCAGTGGCCCTCCACTGGCACCGCCAGCAGCAGATGGCCGGCGACACCGACGCCTTCGGCTTCTCCGGAAACGCGGCACAAGTGACGGACGAATACCTGAGCGCCGTCAACCAGCTCATCCTCCAGCAGAGCTCCGCCCCCACCGTCCGCTTCCTTTACTTGCCCCGCCCCCCAGCAAACACCCGGCTGTACGGCAGGTACTTGGAGCAGCTGGAGGTGCTCACTCGAGGGCTGGGCCCTACACTGCTGGTGCACGGGGTCAGCGCTGTCACCAGCACTGAGCTCTAGGTTGGGTGCTGCGCGAGGTCGGCCCGAGCCGTGGCTGGCTGGCTTGCTGATGCCCCGTGACGGTCAAGGGTTGGGGAGTGGCAGGGCACCAGAGCGGTGTGGTGTGTCAAGAAGTGAGGGCGGGCAGCAGGTTATGCTGGGGCTGATCTCTGGGCCCTGCCGGACTGGCCGCGGGCAGCCTCAGGTTCCTCTTTCACCAAAGACTGGGCCCACTTGGAGGACTCCTGGGCGCGGGAACCACGAGACCCGCTTCTGGGGCCCAGCAAAGCCGTCCGGCCCAAGAGGAGACTGTTATGTCCTGCAGGGACGTCCCGTCAACACTGGTCCTTTGGAAGGCTCTGTGAGCTCACGCAGAGGGGGACCCGAGCGAGACCAGAGCAGTACCAAGCTAGCACTTTGCCGAGTGGCCTTGGAAAAACTCTGCAGCAACCCCGGTGCCTTTTGATATGTGTAGAAACAGGAGCCAAAATAAAGATGGTCCTGAAGGATCTGAGCAGGCTGCTGTGGTGGCGCTTGGGGTGTTGATGGCAAGGAGCTTAGGGCAGTTGTCACAGGAGTGTGCTGGTCAGTAATCGTTGGAAGTAAATCTCTCTTACAAAAACACGAGCTCCACAGACTTGGTTGAGTGTCAGGCCTAATGAGCAGAGCAGCTCGTTCCTGGTGGTCTTACTCCATGAATATCAGCTGCAGAGACTGAAAGCCCCCACCTCCACACAGCCAGCTAAGTCCCCTCCTCTCCCAAGCAATCAGAGACTACACCTGCTTGCAGTCAACCTCTGCTCCGCCTGTTTCAGCCCATTTCTGGTCCTGGGAGGTGGGAGGGGAGCTTGTCACAGCAGCAGGAGGAGACACCCGGGACTCTCCAGCAGCCAGATTCATCTCTGCCACAGCCTCTCCTAACTCACTCAGCCCTGTTACCTCTTCTGCGTCTGACGCCTTCTCTTCCCAGTCTTCTCCCTCTGACCACTTATCATCCCACCACCACTGCCCGGGCTCTGAGCCTTCTTCCCTTTGGGGTTTCCCAAAGGGTTCCTTCCACCATTCCTCCACCCCCAACCAGTCCATGACTGGTGGTCTGAATGGCTGATTCATTGCAGCAGTGTCAGGCTCCCACCACCACCACCACCACCCCCGGAAGGATGGAGAGCATTACAAGGGGGAACACCATTATGCTGATCAGGTTATAGCTCCATTTTCATGTGAAATTTCGGATGCAAAAAGCGGCAGCTGATCCATTTCAACAACAATGTGAATGGAAAAGATAATCATTTCTGAATTTCCAATCCAGTTGCCTCTCCTCCCTCCTTGGGCCCTAGAGGTTTTCTAGTGGGTCTACTGTGGAACCAAAATTACTTCTGTCCTCAGACTGAAGACAGAAGTAATAGTCTTAAAAGTGGTCACAGTGGGCCAGCAACACAGGACTCTTGGTCCCTCTTGGCCAATATTGTCTCTTCACAGACTGGCAGTGGCTCTCCAGGGTGCGAGAGGCAATTTCCTCCCAGTCCTGCCAGGGTTTGAACCTGTAGCCTTCATATGCTCCACCCATGAACTACAACCCTTTCTGCGCTCTTCACCTGTGGTGTGAGCCTGGTTTTGTCTTCTGCCATCAGTCAGTTTAAAACCTGCAAAAAACACCACTACTGGAAAAACAGTTGCAAAACTCCTCTTGGGTTTGGGAGAAGCAACAGGATGTTGGTTACCTCACAGGTGCTAGCCAGTAGCTTACCCACCATATCCATCCTTTGCCCCACCACACACACACACACAAACTTGCAGAAACCATTTGTTCCCACCACTCCCAACAGGACAGAAGAAAATGTCTGCGTCTTCAGAGCAGTGAAGGAGCGTCCAGACCACCTCGGCCCGTGCATGAAATGTTACTTCTGTCCCCACCTTTTGCTTCTGCCTCCGCCTTCATCGGTCCTTTGTGCAGATTTCTTTCCAGATATCCACAACGGCCGGCAAAGTCTGTTTCTCTGGAAGAAACATGAAAATCCGACCTTGACACTGGCAGTAGCTTTTCCTCCACTCACCCTTTCACTTGGGGGACAGGGAGTCTTTTATTATTTAGTACATTTATATCCTACCCTTTCCTCCAAAGAGCTCAAGATGTGCCATACATGTCGCCTCTTCGCCTCTTTCTCCCAGTTGTATCCCCACAACAGACCTGCAAGGGAGGTTAGGCAGAGAGTGACTGATGGGGTAGCCATGGCTGAGTCGGGATTCGAATCCTGGTCTCCCAGGTCATCTGCCTGACGCTCTGACCACTGCACCACACTGCCCGTAGTGACTGGCACCTGGGACCCTGCGTCTCAGCACAGTGCGGCTATTGCACTTCCCTTTCTGTGCCCTCCCTGTTGCCTTTCCGCAGCCCCTAACCGCACCGGTTGAACGGCTGCTTGCCAACCTACCCCTGTGAACCGCCACCTTACGTCCGGTGCCAGGCAACTCGCGTGGGCACAGAGCAGCCTTTTCCCAAACTTCCGCCCTGCAGATGGCATCTCTCAACACGCTGACACATGCAAATCGCTGCCATATCAGTGGTGCCCAGCGTCTCAAGCAGCGCTGCCCACGTAGCCTTGTCTTTTTCTCCTTCGCTGGCCAGGCAGGGGCGAAAGGGGAAATCTGCCAGGAATCAATTACTGGTGTCATTGCTGCCTGCTAACACCGGCTCCCCCTGGGCTTCTCCTCCCTTCATCAGGCTTGTCACTTCTCCTGACAGGCTGCCGCTTTCGCCGTCGCCCCTGCGCTTCCCCCTCCGCCGCTCAGTTCTCAAGGAGACACGCGGTGGGAATGCCCCGCGGGGCTGCAGACTCTGTAATGAGTACAGGGAACGGAGGGGCTGACCCAAAGGGGTGGAGGACGTGAGGGCAGGAGACACTAGTCTTTTTGGAGACTCAATGTGCTAATCGGAACCCAATCCATGGTCCCTGTGGAGCCAAACACGAGCACCTGAGCCCAGGATGGGTGGAATTACAGAACTGGAGAATTGTATTGTTGTAAGAGTTGGAGAATTGTATTGTTGGTGCTGGAGGAGACTCTTGAGAGTCCCCTGGACTGCAAGAAGATCAAATCTCTCCATTCTGAAGGAAATCAGCCCTGAGTGCTCACTGGAAGGACAGATCCTGAAGCTGAGGCTCCAAGACTTTGGCCACCTCATGAGAAGAGAAGACTCCCTGGAAAAGACCCTGATGTTGGGAAAGATGAAGGGCACAAGGAGAAGGGGACGACAGAGGACGAGATGGTTGGACAGTGTTCTTGAAGCTACCAGCATGAGTCTGACCAAACTGTGGGAGGCAGCGGAAGACAGGAGTGTCTGGCGTGCTCTGGTCCAGGGGGTCACGAAGAGGCAGACACGACTTAACAACTAAACAACAACAACAATGTTTAGTTGGAATCTTGTTTCTTATCATTTGACTCCCATCGGTTTGGGTCCTACCTGCCGGAGCAGGAGAAAACAAGCTTGCTCCGTCTTGCTCGATCTTCCCTGTGACAGCCCTTCAGGTATTTGAAGGCAGCTGTCATATCACCTGTCAGCCTCCTCTTTCCCAGGCTAAACATACCCAGCTCCTTCAAGCGCTCCTCAAAAGGCTTGGTTTCCAGACTCAATAGTCTTGGTTGCACTATTCTGCACACGTTCTGATTTATCAATATCCTTTCCCGCTGTGGTCTGACCAAGGCAGAATAGAGTGGTACTTTTACTTCCCATGATCTCGAGACTATGCTTCTCTTGATGCAGCCTAGAATAGCATTCAACTTTTTTGCTGCTACATCACACTGTTGGCTCTTGGTTGCCCTCCTCTGCACACCTTCCAGCTTGTCAATACCCTTATTCACCTTTGGTTCCCGGAACTGGACACAGGACAGCAGGTGGGGTCTACCCACGACAGAATAGAGTGGTACAGTCATACCTCATGTTACATCCACTTCATGTTACGTTCTTTCAGGTTACGTCCCGCTTCGACCCGGAAGTACCGGAAAGGGTTACTTCCGGGTTTCGCCGCTCGTGCATGCGCAGAAGCGCAAAATGACATCACACGCATGCACAGAAGCAGCGAATCGCAACCGTGCATGCGCAGACGCGCTGCTGCGGGTTGCGCTCTTTTCATGTTGTGAATGGGCCTCTGGAACGGATCCTGTTTGCAATCAGAGGTACTACTGTACTAAGTTGGTAGAACATGAGGCACTTAATCTCAAGGTCGTGGGTTTGAGCCCCACTTTGGGCAAAAGATTCCTGCCTTGCAGGGGGTTGGACTAGATGACCCCTGGGGTCCCTTCCAACTCTACAGTTCCGTGATTCTAAGGATCCACACATTACACTGCATCAGTGCCTCCAACTGTGGAGGCAGAACATAGCCATCATAGCCTAGTAGCCATAAATAGCCCTCTCCTCCATGAATTTGTCTACTCTTTTAAAGCCATCCGAGTTGGTGGCCATTACTGTGGGAGGGAGTTCCATAGTCTGACTGCATGAAGAAACACTTCCTTTTCCCACATTCTCCCTGCTCTGGTACACTAATTTTGTAAGTTGCTGAGGAAAACCTCCTTGAGGAATGCAATAGATAAATAAAAGAGAACTGTGCAGCAGCTGTTGTACAAGAAGTTTGCCACTGTATAATGACACATTTCCAGTTTCCCTACCTACAGTATTCCGTCTCTGAATGTGCTTTGCTGTTAGTCTGCAGCGCAGGCCCAGTAAGACACTGCAACAGCTACATCCTGCCTGGTCTGCTGCCCTTACTAAGCCTCGCGCTAAGCTGATACGTGGCTTTTCACCTACCACCTTGGAAAGCAGGCCTAAATTTTTCCTACCAAGAGGAAACACTAAGTAAAGTGAAATAGCAGCAACAACTCTTGATATATTACATTGACCTTCCATGACCTCCTCTGTCTCTCTCATATCCAACTCGCGGCCAGGGACAAACCTCCTCCTCGCTGCATCCTGGCTCCACTTCTCCCCTCGAGGGGCTGATCCATTCCTGCCACCCTCTCCAGGTGTCCTGACAGGCTGGCAGCCAGGGAGCCCTCTTCTCCAGAGGAGATGCAGCTGGCAGTGCTATCGGAATCGGGTGGAAGCGCTGAACGGCCCTGTCATTTAAGCTGGCAATTTCCTCCTCCGATAGGCATCGGAGTGACACTATTCATTTTCCTATTGAGCGCGGCTCTATTGATTACGGGGAGGGGAGGAAGCGGCTGGCAGGACGGCAGATAAATGTATTAGCTGCTGCCTGCCACGCCGGACGGGCCTTTCACACTCTGCAATGATGGATGGCTTCCTATTAGCCCTGGAGCAGGTGGGAGAGTGGCAGGGCTTGGGCTGGGGTGGCGACGCCAATGGACCAGGGGACTGTGGCCACGGAGACACAGAGAGGCGTGCAGGGTCTGAGCAGGAAGGGACCTGCTCCGTGTGACCAAGTAGGCTGGCACCTCCTGCTTGCCCTGTTGGCACCAGGAGAAAAAAGGTGGCCGGCTTCCCTGCAGCAAATTGCAGAGTGTTTACTTGGAAATTGTGAGTAATAGCTCGGCTCGGCAATACAGCAGACACCTTCAAAAGCAGCAGAAAGTGCTTCTTTTCCTCCTGGAGAAGTGCAGGGTGGTGCCAACACACACACACACGAATGGAAGGATGCCCACCAGCTTGGCTGTGTTGCACCTTCTCATCACAGCCCACAGTGGTGAACGGGTGCGGTTCAAGGGGGGAGAAGAGAAGGGGGCAAATGCTTAAGATCCAGCCTTTCACACCTGAGAGGGTGTTTCCAGGACGCACCCGCCATTCTCCTGCAGGATATCTTTGGGAGAAGAAAAGCCGAAGGTGTGAACCCTGTACAAATTCAGATTGGTGTCCCTAAGGCGGTTGGATGGCGCCTTGTACACCTCCTTCCGGCGACTCCTGCAGCCAAGCTGGTGCCGAATATATTGCTTTGCTTTCCTATGGACCACATCAACATCATCTGGGCAGCCAGACGCACTCCCAAGGCTTGTGCCGGGGGGAGGGGTCACTTTGGTGCCACTAACACAGTGGTTTGGCTTCACCCTTGGAGACGCACTCCATTGTCTCTTGAGAGGGACAGGTGCCAGGAAATTTGCTTTAGCATTTTAAAACTCTGGTAACCTACCTTGGGTCCTGCTAGTGAAGGGCGGGTTAATTAATAATAATAATAATACAGTGGTACCTCTGGTTGCGAATGGGATCCGTTCCGAAACCCAGAAGTAACGCTTTCCGGTACTTCCAGGTCGCCGCAGGACGTAACCTGAAATAATGTAACATGAAGCAGATATAACGAGGTATGACTGTAATAATAATAATAATAATAATAATAATAATAATTTATTTGTACCCCGCCCATCTGGCTGAGTTTCCCCAGCCACTCTGGCCAGCTCCCAATCGAGTGTTAAAAACAATACAGCATCAAATATGAAAAAACTTCCCTAAACAGGGCTGCCTTCAGATGTCTTCTGAAAGTCAGATAGTTACTTATTTCCTTGACATCTGATGGGAGGGCGTTCCACAAGGCAGGCGCCACTACCGAGAAGGCCCTCTGCCTGGTTCCCTGTAACCCCTCTTCTCGCAGGGAGAGAACCGCCAGAAGGCCCTCGGAGCTGGACTTCAGTGTCCGGGCTGAACGATGGGGGTGGAGACGTTCCTTCAGGTATACAGGACTGAGGCCATCTTGTATTATTATTGTTGCATTATATGATCCCATCGGGGATTCTTTCGCTGCGGCTCTTGCATTGCAGGGGGTTGAACTAGATGACCTTTGGGTTCCCTCCAACTCTACAACCTATGATAATAATATCCCATCATTCTCCTGCTTTCCCGATCTTGGACAGCCATCTCTGTGGGGGTCTGCATCACCGTCCACCAACCAGGGAGAAATTATTAGGCTGTCTCTCCGGAAGAAAACCCCTGGAAGGTTCCTTTTTGTGGAGGCCCATCCTTCCATCCCCAGACATGCTCTTTAACATCTGGAAGCCATTTTGAAAAGCTGGAGGCTCCCAGCCACCTTCCCTTAAGCACTTAGAAGTTGGAAATCATAGCATTCTCTCTCCAGCCCAGCACCGCCAACTAGAGTGGCTCTGGGTCCTTGTGTCTGTATGAAGAGAGATCTCCTTGACTGGAAGGGCGACCTGGTCCAAGTCCAATTTAAAGACCAAGAGCGCCGGCCAGAAGACTGAGCAGCCACACGAGTCAGCTGCCTCCCGTCTTCCCCACTCTGCCGAGATGCGTTGCCTTTCTATTTAAACTACAGTGATTATTTTGAAATGTGCTCAAGCAAAACAC